GTATGCGTGGATGGTTGGCTTGTCAATTTGGGCTTGTCATTTATCTAATAATGACAAAAATAGCAGAAATGTAGTGTGTCTTCTGATTTTAATTTAGACAAGGAGTGGACACTTTCAGCTTTGATTTATTAGAGTAATTCCCAAATTTCGGAGATTTGGTTGAGTGTGTAAAGGGAAGAAATTATTATCTTTATTTCTTCATTCCATATATGAAAGGAGTTTTATTTGATTCACATTAATGGTGAACCTTCAATACCGTTATTGGCAGCATGCAATATAATCGCATTAATCTCTATGTTTCATGAATTTTTCTCAACTCTTTTGGTTATCTGATGTATTTGCCAATGTTTCTTTCCACAGAAACTTGACATGTCAGGCTGTCAAAACATAAGCCACATAGGTCTTTCTGCCCTAACAAGCTGTTCTGAATGTATTGAGCAACTTACTTTATCAGATGGTTCTCCTGTAGGTCTTCTACTCCATTTCTATATTTAAGCACTCAAAGATTTCATTTGTTGCTAATTATTTAGAGTTGATGATTTAGGTGACCCCTGCTCTTGCTGATGCTCTGAATAAACTTCCCATGCTGCAATCAATCATATTAGATGGCTGCCTGGTTACTTCTGCTGGATTAAGGGCCATCGGAAGTTCATGCAAATCATTAAAAGAGCTGAGTTTGAGAAAAGGTTTGGGAGTTACTGATGAAGCTCTCTCATTTGTTGTGTCCAAACACAAGGATTTGAGGAAGCTTGATATTACATGTTGCCGCAAGATAACTTATCTCTCAATTGCCAGCATTGTGAACTCATGCAAAAGTCTCACTTCCCTCAGGATGGAATCATGTACCCTAGTTCCAAGAGAAGCATTTGTGAGGATTGGACAGCAATGTGATTCCCTTGAGGAGCTAGACCTTACAGATAATGAAATTGATGATGAAGGTTTTTTTCTTGCCTTACTCAATTGGAATTCTGAACTACCATGTCAGTGGTTCTTACTTCTCTTTTCGCAGGTCTTAGGTCCATTTCTAGGTGCTCCAGACTCTCCAGTCTAAAATTAGGAATCTGCCTGAACATAACTGACAAGGGACTTGCCTATGTTGGCAGGTCCTGCTCAAAGCTAAAGGAGCTAGATCTCTACAGGTTTGTAGTTCAACTATGTAACCTTTTGCTATTTCCTCAACTCCATCATATTATTAAAAGTCCATGTGCAATTTGGTGTATTTAGTGATTGATTTGGAGAAATTACAGCCTAAACAATGGAGCAGACTTACTAGGTAAGGTTAGCAGTGTGCAATCAACTAGAACTAAAGTTTTTCATGCTCAACATGCTTTGATATTTAGGCTTGTAACAAAGGCTTATAATTTGGTCTATCAACAGAGTGCAATCAATGCCCAACAAAATGCATTATAGGAAAATTATGTATTTTTTCATGTAATATTTTTGAAATTAAGCAATATTCTTTTGTATAAAATAGTATGGAGACAGATTTGCATTTTAAGGGTTTGAAGTTTGAACTTTGAAATTAATAATGGGAACAAGATCTGCGCTAGCAGATATAAGAAGACGACTCTTGAGAAAATTTTGGTTTGGTGTGTTGACCAACTAAGTCTACGACAAGTTTTATGCTTAAGGTTATTTAGTACTTGCCTGTGCTATCTTAGGGTGTCTTTGTTCTTTTCCTTCCTTAAAAGCATGTGCTTCTTTAAAATAGACTATGATTTCATTTCTATTGGGAACTATATTGTAGTTCTTAGACACTACTCATTAATGAACTATGTTGCCTGTTCAGGTCCGCAGGAATAACAGATGTAGGCATTTCAGCAATTGCTTGCGGTTGCCCTAGGCTTGAGACGATTAATGTTGCTTATTGTACTGACATCACTGATTGTTCCTTAATCTCCTTGTCAAAATGCTCTGAGTTGAAAACGCTGGAAATCCGTGGATGTCTTCTTGTCACATCTAAAGGTTTAGAAGCTATTGCACCAAATTGTAAGCAACTAAGTCGTCTGGATATAAAGAAGTGTTACAAGATTGATGATAGTGGGATGATTCCACTTGCTTGTTCGTCCCAAAATCTAAAACAGGTTTTCTTTCTTATTTCTCAGGATTTCTGTTAACATAGAAGAGGCAAGAAAATTTATTCCGAGACTCTAAGGATATGTCTTTTGCTTTGCAGATAAATTTGTCATACAGTTCAGTCACAGAAGTAGGGCTACTATCACTTGCTAGCATCAGTTGCCTACACACCTTTTGTCTTCTGACCTTGGAGGGAGTGACTCCAAGAGGACTTGCTGCTGCCTTGTTGGCATTTGGAGGGCTAAGAAAAGTGAAACTCCACGTTTCCTTGAGATCAGCACTCCCTGAGCCTCTTATCAAACACATTGAAGCACGTGGCTGTGTTTTTGAGTGGAGGAATAAAGTGTTCCAGGTATAAGATTGTTCAGGTTCCTCTCTCGAGATGTTGTGAAACCCAAGTATTCTTGAACTTGTCAGTACTGTGGATTTTATTTTGGTTAAACTAAAGAGACTTTAAAATCTGTAAATAACTCGAGGATGGGTTGCAGGCCAAAAAAAGAGAGGCTGGGTTGATTTGCAGTTCTGTTTGCTAAGCAGTAGGCTTGCATACATGATTATCATACTTGTTTAGCCAAAGTGCCAAATTCAAGTAGTGGGGATCAAGATTCAATGAAATCAATATAAATATCAATCAACACGCACGCGGGCACAAAAGCCAGTGGAAAACACACTGTTCATGAGAAATCATGAACAAAGCTGATTTCAACCAGCTCAGTGTTAGTGCAACACCTGGGCCCAAAATCTAGTCAGGGTAAAAAATATGAAAGGGGTTACCTTAGTTGATAACAAGAGATTGTTTCTCTGTTCATCTTGGGGAAGCACTCTGGAAAGGAATTTGAATAACAAATACACAAAAGTAATGGAGAGGTAGTGGGTTCTTAGGGTCACCTAGGAAGGAAGTTAGACTTTGCCAAAGATCACCACTCCAAACTGTGATTTTAACTAGGTTTCGCAATGTTATTTGGTTATCAGGAATTTTAATTCTGTTATGATGGTTGTTGTGGTGCCATTTGCAGGCTGAGATGGATCCCAAGTGTTGGAAATTACAGTTGGAGGATCTGATGGAAGTCGTTTAAGTTGAGAAGCAGGCTACAAAAACAAGTTTAAGCTGATTTCTTCTATAATCTCTTTTCCATCTCACTCCAAAATGGATTCTCTACAGTTGTGCTGTTCTTTCAGGAGGAGCGGAGGAATAAGAATCGATCCTCACTCTCCAAGTAAACAAAACTATGTGCACGACTCTCGGATCGCCCGCTGCTCTGAAAGCAGCCCAGTAGACACTGTTGTGGCCTCCATACAGGGAATGTTTTGTTCAGCTCTTTTTTTTGAAAAAAAAAATGAAAAAAGAGGGCAAATGCCGCTTTCCTCTGCGGCGTCTCACAGTCCAAGGATCTTTTCTGGTCTCTAATGTAATTGTATGCACATATATAGAGCGAGCCCCAATGCTGTCCTCTATTAAGAACGTTAAAGAAAGGGGCGGCGAGAGGTACTCAAAGAAGACTTGGCAACTGTGGAGAGTGAGACACATCAAGAATGGAAGATGTTAAACGATCATATATCTTTGCCTTTCCCATACGATAAGCTAATATCAAGTTAAAATCTCTATGAAAAGCTGTTTGCTTAGCCATGGTTTATAAATAATATACTTTCGGCTCGTGTATTCCTGCATTTCATTTTCTCCGGTTGTGTTTCGTGACCCTTCATTGTGATGACTGCTTCTTATTGTTATATTTATGACTTTGAGTTATATTTAAATTATTTAAATGTTTTATCACTTATAGGGCTTTTAATATTTTTAACTCGTCATTATTTTATATAAAATTATGGAGGAATTGAATGTGATTTTTTTCAGCTTTGAATTGTGTACAAATAACTTCATAATATCTACCAATAAGTGCCTGATTGAATTGGCAAGTGATTCCTCTCACTTAACTAGTGGTCTTGTATTCAAGATTTGATGTAGTTGTGTTAAAACATGTTGGGATCCAAAATGGTCCTACAAAATTCCATCCGCATTAGTCTAACCTCCTTGCTATTTTGATATTTAAAGCCTACTATGATGAGGATTTATATGCTGCAAAGTTCAGGGGACTGCGTAAAATAGGAAACCATTATGATATTAAAAAAATTAAAAGGCTTACTTATATATTTGGTCTTCTCTCCTTTTATCTTTTTTTCTTGGGTCAACAGTACACACATGACATTTGTTTGAATGCCTCCAAAATGCTTTACGGCTTACAAAATTAAAAAATAGGTCCTACCGGGAGTCGAACCCAGGTCGCTGGATTCAAAGTCCAGAGTGCTAACCACTACACCATAGAACCTGGCCACGCGGGCACGAACTGGCATTAAATAATACATGTTATACTCAATAATCGTCCTTCCACGACCCATCTCCACCAGTTTCTGGTCTCCGTGCGCCTCATGCTCGTATTCCTCAACGTTAGGGGTCAATTTCGTTGTTAAAGTCCTATCTATAATCTATCTGTGGGTGTTGAGTTGTTGTTATTAATTATGCAGAACCGTTGATGGCCCCAGGAGCCTTCCGTGTTGCGGGGCGGTTCGCAGACTCATGCCATAAGTCACCCACTCATCATATTATCCACAGATGAAGTCGCCTTAAACGGTTGGTTCTAGTTTTCATGGGCTTAAAGTCAAATGAACCTCAAATTTGGGATATAAGTGCAACTGGCCATAGTCAAGCTGAGTTCAAACATTTTATTAATGAGTGTAAGGGATATCAAATTAAGTACTATAATGTAATGATGAAGACGACGATGAAATAACTACTACGGAGGGGTAGTGCATGACCAAAATAAATAAATAAATATATATATATATATATGATGAAGATATGAAACAAGGTTGAGTGCAAGGGAAATCATGCATAAAGCTTAAAATAGTGTGTGTGGGAGATGATCAGATCAGATGTAATCAGGTACGTAAGTGGATAGTTTGTAGACAGAAAGGAGAGCTGAAAGTGCCAAGCAAATGAAGGCCATAATTGACATGCCAATGGCTGCACCTGAACGCTCCAGAAACATGTCCAGTTTATGATTCCCGCCGTAATTCCTCATTCCATTTGTCCGTGGCATCCCTGAAGATGCTGCTGATATCAATAGATATGCCATCATCTGAAATCACCACACATTTTTCACTTTACATACATACATACATATATATATATATATATCCATCTTTGTAGCCCATCATCGACGACCCAAAATTAAAGAAGGAATATGCCAAACCTCATCTCCAACAAAGTCAATCAACGACGTCTTTTTAGGCTGAAGAAGGTCTTTCCCGTTGCAGAGTTCCTGAACTTGACGATACACTTGGCCTATTGTGTACATTGTGCATATAATTGTCACAGCCAGGATGTACCTATGATTCCAGATTTCTACGTCCGTTTAGTTCAAAACCAAGAAACAATATCAGTTATTTGATGAAGCCGTTGAATCTTAACGAAAAACCTACCGGTATTCTTCGAATTTATTGAAGTCAAACCCATGGCCATGACTATTGCTGGCCATGACCATGAAACCAGCCAGGGAAGAAAGCAGAGCCATTACCCTCAAACCTAATAAGCTTCTCTTCAACAAATTCTCCCTCTTTTCCCGCTGCAGTAAGTCAGAAAAGCCACCACCTCCAGGTGCCGTCAGGGCCTCATCTGCTGCCGCCGGCTGAGATTCAAGTTGGGTCCTCGCTTCTGAAGATTCGCCGACGCTCGACATACTTGATGCGTACACTCTTCCAACTAGTAAGATTGGAATTTACAGCTTCGGGAAAAGGAACATAGAGATTGTGGTGCCAAGTTTGGGTGCTTCTCTGTTTCCCTATAACGATATTTTGTAGTTAACCGTTTCCCGGGCTTTCGCAAGTCAAGAGGGCTCGCTTTTTGAAATGACGTGGCGTTAACGGATTGACTGCAATGGGGTGACTTGGTTGACGCAGAATGGCTTTTATGTCTCGCAAACATCTATAAGTTGTATTTAAGTTTGAGGAAAAAGGTCGACACCAATGATGCAAGGGATGAATTTTTATTTCAGAAAAATAAGTTAATTTTTCAAAAATGTAGTTTTTTTTTCTAAATTATATTATATTCTTCCGGTTCTAAATATAATATCCAACTTGTAGTATAAATTATATTATAAAATAAGTTTTACATTTAAGATAATAGGCGGTAAAATCTTAAACTAACATCTTCATATGATCGATTAGCCCAGCCAAAGCACGCAAGAGTTAAAGCATAGAAACGAGATATAGGAAGAATTATAAATTATACTCCTCCGGTCCTTAATATAGGACCCAATTGTTGAGTTAGTTTTGGTCCTAAATATAAGACCCATTTATCATATTTATCAATTTTCTCTAAATTACCCCTATAGATACTTCCTCAACCATAATCAAGTAGAAGAGGAAGATGGGTATTAAGAAAGATGATTATGGTATTTTAGGAAAAACGTGTCACATTTCTTATAATTAACTAACTTACCTAAATTCCTTAATCTAATCAAATTAGTTAAATGGGTCTTATACTAAGGACCGGAGGAGTACTTAAGAACCAAAATGCTAAGTTATTTACAAATAAAGGTCTTAGATTTTTAAAATTATTTTGCATGACCTAAGATCATTCTCATAATTAAATAGAAGGGTAACGACTAAAATGCTCAAGGGACTAATAGTTTTTTTCGTTTAATTCTCACATATATATAAGAGAATTAATATTAAAAAAGAAATATCACACACACACACAAGAGATTTAATATTGAGAAAGAAAATTTCATAATGATGAGGAATTTTAATTTCGCAGTACTAAATTCATATACATGATTATTTTGTCTCATAGGGTGTTTGACAATATAAAAAATTATTTTTAAAAAGAACTTTTTCATAAAACGAGATAAACTCCTTCATATATTTACTTTATACACCGTAAAAGTATTTTTAAAATCATGATTTAGTTTTCATCCAAACACTCTCTTAGTATTAAATTTGTTATACTATAGATGTGACTACTAAATGAGCCAAATTCTTTGTATCACAGCCATTCTAGTTATTACAATTCTTAATTTTCAAAGAAGGATATTGGTTCTACAAAAGAATTATAGATATTAAGATCTTTATTTATAACCAATTGTAGTTTAAATTACGCTCTTAAGAATTCTCCCAAACTAGTACCTGAGCACAAAAGCAGCTCTTCATGGGAAATTGAGTGGTGTCCCTTGGCTTGCTTCAATGGTCGCCTTTGAGGATTGGATGAAAAGAAAAACAAAACAGCTTCAAAGCCTCTCAAAGTTCCATTTGGTCCATGCTTATAGCATTGGGCCAATCATAAAAGAAATCAAATAATATATATAGTTTGAATTGAGATGCATATTTAACTTTTTAGATTTGATCCTTGTCGCTTGATATTTTCCAAAACAAGCATTTAATTAGCTTACCACGCCAGGATAGGCGTATCTAACTATTGCTTATTTTTTTATTTTTTTATTTCTACATGAAGTTCCTAGTTAAGCACATTGTACAACAGTACAAGTGTAGAATCATGCATATGCCTCACAGACACAAAGGGTGAGAGATGAGTAAACCCATTAAAATTTTTCCATATAGTATGGTATAATGGGAGGACAATGAACTACTCCTCCGATCCTTAATATAAGACCTAATTGTTGAGTTGATTTGGGTCCTAAATATACTCTAAATTACCCCTATGGATATTGCTTCAACCATAATCAAGTAGAAAAGGGAGAGGGGTATCAAGAAAGATGATTATGGTGTTTTAAAAAAAATATGTTAGTTTTTTTTATAATTAACTAAGTTACCTAACTTTCTTAATTTAATCAAATTAGTTAAATGGGTTTTATATTAAGAATTAGAGGAGTAATATTAGTTTTTTTTTTCACATGAGAACTACAAGAATTACGAATTGAGAATGAATATACATATATATATATATATAATAGAACTTTACTTTCTGACCATAGTTTCCTCAGATTTGTCGAAGAAATTCGGAGGTTGTGGAGGAGAGAGGATGCATTGGCTGTCCCATGTGGAGAGGGAGACCCTCCCTTTGTTTATTTTAATCATCTGATGATTCACGCATGCTTCTCTTAGCTGTCCTTTTTATTAATTTCCTCACCGTACCATTTGACTTGTCCCTCTCTCCCTATCTGTGATAAGCTTTTTCAGTTCTCCCTTTTGGATTTCCAAATTCTTTGTTACCATGGATATTTAATTTAATCTCACGAATCCAAAAGGAGATTGTGCTTCTTGGCTTGTATTTTGTTCTTCATTTTATCAGATATAAAGAGGCTAAGGAAATTTTAGGTTGTGATTTGATGTGATTCCAGTTTCTTAGTTGGGATTTAGATCAAACTGGCCAAACAAGCCAGTCAAGCCAAATCCATATTATTTCATTAAAAAAGAATTAAAATTTTGACACCTCATCCTTTGATCTGTTTGAAAAATAACGGGGGGAAAAACAAGCTAGTTAAATTTTGACACCTCATCCAAGGCATATTGCCTAAGCTGACTACTGAGACAACGTCTAGTGTTATAACAAGTGGATGTTAGATATAATTAATTCTGTTCTTATTTTTCGAATACTAATATGCGCATGCTGCTCAAATGTCTGCTCCTTAATCTTTCGACAACATTCCGTGGTGCAGGTGAAAAGCAGTTAATAAAAGGACAGGGGCACAATATTTATAAGGATTTGACCAGCGTATCATGTCATAATAAGAACAAAAGGAAGAATCATCGATGATGGTACAGGCTATTGTGCATTTTTTTGTTATCGATATCATCTCTATTAAATATATGATTATTTTATTATTTGCCCCTTTTCTCAGTGGAAGCATATGTAATTTCTTAATCATCATCCTACTTCAGCTTTTAATACACACTTATTTCTTTCTTTATGTAAAGAAGTATCACTTTCTCATGTGTAAGTTACTTGTACTTGTTCTTGCATGTTAAGAAATAATACATTAAATTAATAAAACTTCTCATATTTACTTCTATTAAAAATAAAGAATATTTTTTAAAATATCTTGTATATTTTATTTTATTTATATTTTTAGTATATTTAATATTCCTCCTGTCCTTAATATAGGACCTAATTCTTGAGTTAGTTTTGGTCCTAAATATAAGACCCATTTCTCATATTTATCAATTTTCTCTAAATTACTCCTATAGATACTCTCTTACCCATAATCAAGTAGAAGAGAGAGAGGGGTATTAAGAAAGATAATTATGGTATTTTGGGAAAAATGTCTCACTTTTCTTATAATTAACTAACTTACCTAACTTCCTTAATCTAATAAAATTAGTTAAATGGGTCTTATATTAAAGATCGAAGGAGTATTAGTAAATTTCAAAAAAAAGAATAATTACCCGCAAAGTTTAGGATCAAATTTTTCCGTCCAAGTGACTCATATATAGATGTAGAAAGAGCACCCAAATATCAAATCGTGTTCGTATTTATCTGTTGAATGAATGAAGGACCAACTTAACGCCGAGGTGGTCAATAATATGCCATTGTTTTCTACTCCCTCGGGTGCTTTTTATAAGAACCCGAAATTAAATTGTTTTGGTCTTTGTTATACGATTCTACCTAGAGTTAATAATATAAGTTGTACCTGTCAACTTTTCAAAAAGAGAAGGTTAAGGTTGGCTAAATATAGTTGTCTGAACATTTAGCATATTTTTATCATTTTACCCCTAATCAATTATATACATTGCATTAATTAAAATGTTTACTATATTCTCTTTCATATTTTCTTCTTCTTACTCGCTCATTATAAATAAGGGCATGTTTAGGGAAAAAATTATTATTTTTATATATTTATTATTTTTAATTAATTTTAACTAGGGGTGTTCATGGGACGGGACAGGACAGGGATGACTCTGTCCCAGTCCCGTCTCGATAATTGGGACAGGACAGCTTTTTCGTCTCGTGTCCCGTCTTGTCCGAATAGCGTCCCCTCCTAATTGGAACAGGACATAATTGGGACGGGATAGGAACGTCCCATCTCTCTCTTTTTTTTTTTTTTTTTAATTTGAAAACTAACAATATGAGAAATGTAAAAAGTTATAACAAAAACTATGTGAGGAAAATATAAAAAAATAATGAAACAATGACAAAGAAAATGTTTTTTGTAACCATAAGAGACAAAAAATAAACAAACCTAAAATATTCACTACAAAAAATATAATGTAATCCATACAAAAACAACTTATAAATAATTAAAAATAACAATTAATAAATATCATTACCAAAATACTATTACAATAATAAATAAAATAAATATATAACAACTAAAAAAAAATAATATATTGGAACGGGACACTCCCGTCCTGTCCCCTTCCGAAACAATTTTGTCCCGTCTCACTTTCGTCTCGTTCTAAAAACTTTCGGAACAGGATTGTTCTGTCGCAAAATGACTGAGACAGGAACAAGACATTGGGAGGAGACATAGTCCCCTAATTTTAACTATTTTTTTAAACTGAATGATTTAATTATTAGGCTCACTGGCTCACAAGGCTAAAAGCCACTGTTCCATAAACTGCCGAAGGCTGAAATAAGCGAATGGGTCACGTGAGGTGTTGGTAGGCACAGTTTGGCTGAGCCAAGCAAGGGGAGAGCAAGCACAAAAGCAGAGGAGGGGTATTCTGGGGATTTCAATTAATTACAGAATGCCACCTAATGTCTTAATTATAAAATTTCTAGGCTATAAATAACACCTTATAACTCCAATAAATAGTACCACGAACTTAGGTGACAGCGGAAGGGCCAACTGGAATTGGAATAACGCCTCTTTGAGCGTGTCGTTGGCCCGTGATGCCTCAGGCTCACAATCACATGACCTCCTTCTCTCTCCAGCATTTGACGCTTTTTCTTTCCTTGATTGTTTTATTCAAGTTTTGGACTTTGTCTCTCACCTTCCCATATCACTAACGGAATCGCCTTGAGACCTGAAACAACCTGCTTGTGCGTTGTATTGTAGATTAGTGTGGTTTAACAGTCGAAAAGGGTCGTTTCTGGTGGTCCTCTTGCTCACTACCAACCAAGAAGCGTGACAGTTAGACTAGGCGCGGCGCACCTTCACCTGCAATTAACGGTTCTCTCCCCCCCCCCCCCCTCTTTTTTCCTTCGCTGCTTCCCTCCTCCATCCTCAAGTAACATGCAGTAGCATCCTGGATCTGGCGCTCCGGCAGATCCGCTTCCTGTCTACGTGTCACCGCCTTCTCCTCTCTCCCTGCCTCCCCTCTATTTATCCCCCCCCCCAACCCACAAATTCACTACTCCGACTACTGCCCATTCATGCTCTCCCTCTCTGTTAAATAGATATTATATGCAGTCCTCTCCTTCGTTTTCTTTCTACCCAACCATGGCTAAACGTTTTGCCCCTCCCTACTTCCCACTCTTTGCCATTCCTTCCTCCGCCAGATCATGCCTCATCGGAGCCAACCACACCTCCGCTCGTTTCTGCTCCCGTTAAGCCCCCAGTTATCGTTACTCAAGCCTCTCCAATCGCCTTTTTCTTATTCTCTAATTGAATTTTATTTTTTGTTTTCCCTGAAAACTGCCCCCCTCAGCTGCCAATGCCATGGAGCCCACCGCAGGCAAGCGAGGTTCTCTCAGGAATTTTCTTGCCCGGTTGCTCCTCTTCGGCGTCTTCCTCCTGCTCCTAAGATTCGCTTACGTCATCACCATCACTGGTGATTCTTGCGGTTTCGGCTCCTTCTGTTTCTTTTCGCCCTCGGAGAATGTCCATTTTCTGGTCTCCGGTTATGATCACAGCACCATCGGTGCTCGGGCTGTTCCATCCAACAGAGCCGTTCGATCCGCGCTGCGGCCGGAGCTGTATAACAGCCGAGAATGGATCAAGGGAGCTCAGTTCTACTCTTCCGTTTTCCGTAATCTGATTTCCGAAGGCTACCTTACACCGGAGTCCAAATCGTTGTGCGTGGACACGTCTACTGGAAGCGACGTCTTCACATTGAAGGAGAATGGCATTTTGGATTCCATCGGAATCTCCAAGAAAACCGGGAAGCTTCATCGCTTACCGCTCGGAGATAACACGTTTGACTTCGTCTTCTCCGGCGAAGGAGGGCTCGACAAATCGGCACGGCCGTCGGAATTTGCCTCTGAGATTGCTCGGACGCTTAAACCCAAAGGGTTTGTGGTGTTCCATGTAAGGGCAAACGATAGTTACAGTTTCAATTCATTCCTTGATTTGTTTAATTGTTGCAGAGTAGTGAAATCACGTGATATAGATGGGTTTGATTCCTCACTGCCTTGTGTCCGCGAAATCGTTCTGAGGAAAGAGAGTGATGGAATTATTGGTCATGAAAATGAGAAGCAGAATTCCAATGGCAATTGCACTGTTTTAGGGTATAAACAAGAATTGGTCGCAAAGGCCGAGCCTCTGATTGCTGAGGAGCCACTGAAACCTTGGATAACATTGAAGAGGAACATAAAGAACGTCAAGTACCTGCCATCAATGGTTGATATCAGCTTTAAGAATAGATATGTGTATGTAGATGTTGGAGCGCGAAGTTACGGCTCTAGTATAGGAAGTTGGTTCAGGAAACAGTATCCGAAACAGAACAAGACCTTCCATGTCTATGCAATTGAAGCTGATAAAACTTTTCATCAAGAGTATGGGTCGAAAAAGGGAATCACGTTGTTACCTTACGCAGCTTGGGTGAAAAATGAGACCTTAACCTTTGAAATCCATAGAGAGCCTGGTAAGCGAGAGGAAACTAAAGGTAGAGGAATGGGTAGGATTCAACCTCTGCAATTTGCTGGTGACTATGATGGGGAAGCGGAGAAGATCCAAGGGTTTGACTTTGCGGAATGGTTGAAGAACACAGTTTCAAAGAATGATTTTGTTGTGATGAAAATGGACGTGGAAGGTGCTGAGTTTGATCTGATTCCCAGGTTATTTGAGACTGGAGCTATTTGTCTGGTAGATGAGATTTTTCTGGAATGCCACTATAATAGGTGGCAGAGATGTTGCCCTGGGCAGAGGAGTTCCAAGTATGAGAAAACATACGGACAGTGCTTGGCACTGTTTTATTCTCTTAGACGAAGGGGAGTTCTGGTTCATCAATGGTGGTGAAAATATGAAATCCTTTAACACGTTCAGATGTTCTGTGCAACATTTTTATTTCCCTTTTACCTTCCACGCGCTTGTTTAGAGTTTTCCACTTTTAAAACCCACCAAAACAAAGAGAATTGTCATATGCGTTTCAGTTTTCCATTCATTTCTACCAGTGCAATCGATAGAATTATATTTGTTCACGAGTCCCTTCCGATTTCAAAGTTGTTTTTTTGTTGCTGTTGTCATTGTTGTTTTTTGTTAATGACATGATAATAACAATGTTTACGAAAAATAATCTCCATTGACAAGGAATAAGATACTACCCTTCCTTGCAGTAGCCGAGCTAACCTCTCTTCTTGATCAAGAACAATGCAAGTAATGTTGGCCTTGCTCAAAAATTTCCACTGTAAACCAGAGTGGGTGTTGTGTTTATAAATCGATATGAGTCAACCATTATGAATATACTATCTCTGGTCATAAATATAAAAGCTAGTTGACTAATTTGAGTAGATTAAGAAAATAAGTTAAGTTGGTTATTTATAATAAATAGGTGTTGTTTTTTCTAAATATCCTTACTGATCAAATGTATTGATTAGAACTACTATTATTATTAAGACTACCTTGAAAAAAAATATAAGTATAAGAGATAAAATAAATTAAGATATTATATTTAGAATCAAAATAAAAATTAAACAAAATCTTATATTAAGCATAAAAAGTAGTATTTATATTATATGCTTCATCTTTGATGGCAGTATATATATAGATTTGATGTTGATGGTTTGTAGAAGTTGGCATTTCATCTGGACATCCTGGATTGGGACCTGTTTGCCGGTGGGTCATGGGAGGGAATATCCATTGAATTCGGAGAAATTCTTAGGTGCACTGGGAGCACCAGTTCATTTGTACTCTATCCAATAAAAACACTCCAACTCAGATAGTTTTAATCCCACGTGTCAACTTATTTATTTCTATTAATTTATTGTTTTAAAAAATAAAAACATCAGGGTTTAGTAATTTCCTTTCCTACCCCCTCTCTTTTCTCGATAGCTTTCTGTCTCGCGTCTGAAACCCACCCTCCGTCCCTCCCTCCATCTCTCCCTATTTCCTTCGCAGATCTGGACTGCGGCGGCATCTCCTCCACAATGATGGTAAAAATCCTTCATTAGCAACCATGGTGATTCTAGTCTTGAGCCCAAAACACAATAGGCTGTAGATCCAGTTCCACTGTGCGTTTTTTTCCCTTCCACTTTGCAAATCTGGATCTACAAAGCTTCTTCTCCTTCTTCTTGTTTTAATCTTTGAAAAAAAGAAAAAAAACAACAGCAACAAAAAGCATTCCCCTCATGCTTTCTCTCTCTTAAATTGCCATTTCAAGTTCTCTAACCGCTTGCTCTAATCTAGCTAAATATATTAGTATCCATAAAAGGGATGTGGATTAAGATCTGGTGTTGGGACTTTCGAAGTGGAGCATTTGGATGCGAGTAAGAGAATCGTCGGTGTTGCAAGAGAAGCTATGGCGGAATTTATGGTGACGAGAGGGGGTGGCGCCGGATGAGGCGGAGGGGTGTCCTGGAAGGACGGACGTTCGATTGAAGGAAGGAGCGAGGAAGAGGGAAGGAGGGGCACCTGAGGAATTTACAAAGCAAGGCATTTTTGTGGGATTAAAAAAATCTGAGTTGGAGCCTTCTAATTGGATAGAGCACAGATGAGTTGGTGCTCCGGGAGCACCTAAGAATTTCTCTTGAATTCGAGCCTGTCCTGTTGTCCTTTCTTGTACTGAGCCGAAGGTGGATTTTGCTCGCAAATCATTTTGCTGACGTGTGTGCGGGAGCGCTGACTGGGAGTTGTCAACGATTTAGGAATTTTTCTACCAATATATTACCTCCGATCCTAATTATAGGATAAAAACCAGTTGATTAATTTAAAGAAATTAAAAAAGTAAGTTGAATTAGTTATTTGTTCTGAATAGGTGTAATCTTTCCTAAAATATTCTTACTAATCAAGTGTATTGACTAGAACTATTATTATTAGAAGGACCATTTGGAAAAAATGTATAAATATGAGAGACAAAAAGGATTGGGGTCTTATATTTAGAACCAAAATGAAATCAAAGAGAGTTATAAAAGACCGGAGGTAGTATTATACAAGCCCTGATTTTATTTTAATGACATAATATCCTCAACATTCTCTTTTCTTATGTCGAAAAATAGGTGAACCAATTATTAAAAATAATTGATTAATTTAAAATTAAAACTTGATGTAATGTTATGAAAAAGAAAAACAAATTTTCACAGTATTGTCCAATGGAAGGCTTGCATCTCATAACCTAACAAACTAAAAGATGAATCATGAATTAACAAATTATTAGTTGAGGTAGCAAGCAATCTCATTTTCGTAAGGAGAAGAATACAAGTTTAAATTTCAGAAAATGTATTGATGGGGAGTAATCCAATTTTAATACTTTTGACTTAATAGAGATTAGTCCCAAACTCATAATAATTTAATGATATTATGAATTAAAAAAAAATCAACCATGAGGTGACAATGACACTTGTAAACATGATAATATCTCTAATCTTAATTATAAAACCTTATTTATAAACTATAAATAAAGTCTTATAATTAGGATCAGAGGTAATACTTGATAAAGGGGTAAGTATATTTAATTTTCAAACATAATAAGTCACGTGTATTAAAGAATTGAGAGTATAACTGCAGGGACTTTTGTTGTTTTTTAACAAAAGTATATATAATTACGTTAATTTTAACATTTTAAAATTATTTGAATATTCCTCCAAACAAAAATCCATGCTAATATCGGCGGAGGAAATAGGGCCAGGAAGTGATTGAACAGAGAGAGACTTCAAATTTTATTGTGTTGTGGTAGTGGTAATTATAGGGAGACAATTGGGAATTGATTACTTCTAGGAGATGTTACAGAGCTCACGGCGACTACTAACAGTGGTTTTGGCGAGAAGGCATTGGAGGATATTGGGTGGCAAAGAGATGTCGTGGGGGAGTTCTGAGGTGAAAAAAAAGAACTGAACTCATGAGGGAATAAGGCAGATGGGAGAGAAAAATAAAGAGGGAATAAATTCCATGACACACCTGTAGAACAGTCACAAACTCTTCAGATTGGAAAATAAGCTCCCTCCTTCTAGTTTATTCCAACCGCATGTTCAGAGGGCTTAAAATCCAATAAGCCCAATACATAATAAGCCCTGTCAAACATCACACCATCTTCAATTGGGCTTATCTATGAATTTAAGCCACGTTTGGGCCAACAAACACTAACCCAAATAGGCGCATAAAAGGTAGGCTATCGACGCATCGTGGGTAATGGGCGTAGTTGTGGCACTGGCAGGTGATGGGTGCGGATAGCAAAGAGATGATGGGTTGGACAGGGGCCACGCGTGGAGGCAGACGTCGAAAGGGCATAAAAAGAATAAAGGAAGTAGGCGGTCATAAATGTAATTTGAATCAATTTATGTTTTTTGAACGGAAATCTGAGTACAACTAAAGGCCTTCATCACTTTCGCCTCTGAAACAAAAATGGAGGTTGATTAAAGATGCAAAAGCTATTAATTACAGTATGAGACAATTTAATTAAGAAATCCGCAGTATGGTTTTCTTCCATGTGAACATGATGGCCTCGAATTACCCAATTCCTTTGAATTAAGATCCCAGCATCATTCACAATATCAAAAAAAGGTGATCACTTGTGCAAGCCCAAATTAGCATAGCAATAGCTTCTATACAATTACTAACAAGATTAATTTTCCCTAAATCTCTATTCCAGCGCATGGTTTGGCCATGAATGATACCGACCAACTTTGCAATAGTAGGTGAAACATTTCAAAATATAACTTACTTTAAAAAAAAAAGAGTTAAGTTACATCCAACAATTCAAAATATTTTTTCAGGTGCATTAAGTATTTCAAAATATTTTATGGTGCATACACTTGACATATTTTTTAAATGTATTTAGCACTCTAAAGTATTTTTTTTATCTTGGTGTTGGATGTATCAAAAATAATTTTAGATGCGGGACATATAAAAAAAATGCTTTGAAGTATTGGATATACTAAAAAATATTTCATGGTGTTGAATGCATATAAAAAGATATTTCATAAAGCTAAATATACCACAAAATATTTATAATACTAAATGCACCCAGGAAATATTTCAGGATGCTGGATGCATTTTAACCCTTAAAAGAATGGTTTAGAAGGTATTTGTATTAGCTTTTTAAAAACAATTTTAAGAAATTTGAAATAAGTATATAAGAAAAATTTTATTTCGACCGGTATTAAAATACTTTTTAAATGTTTTTACTATAACAACATCCCCTTAATTTAAAATATAAATCATTTAAAAAATAATTAATACTTATTTGTTAATTTTGTCCTTATAATTAATGCTCAAATGTATTAATTATTTATATCTTTTTTTAATCTTTTTCGTCCCTCACAACCTAATTTAAAACGTATAGGGTTGAAAAAAAATTAAAATTTTAGTTACATTTACTGAGATAACTACCATTACTAGTATTTGATTCTCATAAGTTAGCTAAAATAGGAAGTAAATAATTTCACAGATAAGTAAATATAAGAGTGATTATTTGTAAAAGTAATTATTTGTAGTGAAGGCAATCGGGACCTGGATCCCTCCAAGAAAGCAATTCAAGCGTGCCAATTGAACATTCCATTTCCAATTCCATCTCTTGCAGTTCCAAAATACCAAATGCAGCCTAAGACTTCAGTCCAGCCACAGACACCCACCATTTCTTCTTCCAACAATTTTCGGCTCTAGAGAATCCTTTTGCTTTTTTTAGACATTTTGAGTCCTTTGGCTCTTAATTTTGCATTTTTATTTTTCTTTTTTAAGAAATCCAGTTAAGACGGCCACCGCGAATTCAGAGAGCCAACAACCAAATGTTCTGCGGAATCTCATGCCACAATATCCCAATTTCGAGCTTATCTCAGCCTGACAACTTCTTCTGTTGCAGCCATTCCATATATTTCTAGCCATGTCTACCGTTTTTCGAGACCTTTATCAGTTTTTTGTTGCCACCTTCCCCAAACCCTTCTTAATCGGTTCGAGCTTTTCCGGTTTCGAGCCTTCCTCCATTTTCTCGCTGGTTTCCTCGGGAAACTTTTTGAGTTTCGACTGCAATTTCGTGGGGTCCCCTTGGTTTTGGAATTACCATCGTTGGGCCTTTAGATATGGGAGGATGCTGCAGTTATGAGATTTCTTGTGGAGGCAAGGTGATTAGGCATATGGATGATAGAGAATATGGTCGCCAAGAGCGCGAAGACATTGCTTATGGAGATTCCGGAGCTCGAATAAGATTAAGAGGTTCTTCTAAGTTTGTATCAATGTACTGCCAACAAGGAAGTAAAGGGATTAACCAAGATGCATTAACGGTTTGGGAGGTAAAAATTCTCTTTTTAAGGTGTCCCCGTTTAGATTATTTTCTAATTGAAAGAAAATTGTGATGATACATTATTGATATGGAAGCCGCACGGGATTCTTATCAATTGGTCATTTAAGATCTTTTAAATGCATGATCACATTTCTCTCAGGATATGTTTTGATGAGGGAGATGATGGCGGGGAAGGAAAATTAAAGGAATGTTTAATTAGATTTCAACCCCCCACCCTTCCTATATCCTTTATAGTTTGTTTCGTTTCTTTCCCTTTATTCTCCTTCCAGCTCGCAAACATACCATGTGGGTGATATAATCTTTGGTTGTTGTATTGAAGTGCAACCATTTTTAATTGATGAACGTATACGGTTAGGATTAACGTTTAATAAGATGTATAATCAGGGCTTTACTGGAGAAAAAGGCAGGATCTTCTGTGGTGTGTTTGATGGTCATGGTCCTCTTGGACACAAGGTTTCACAATATATACGTGACAATCTCCCCGCAAAACTCTCTGAATCAATCAAAATGACTCAACAGAAGAAGGTCGGCAAACTCTGCGATCCTTATCCTCGAGATAGAAGCAGCTATGTTAATCTGTCTGGTGAAAATGGTCAAAACATGTCCCTTGCTTCATGGGAGCGCACCCTTGTCAAATCTTTCAATGAGATGGATGAAGATGTTGCTCGAGACATCAACACTGACAGTTTTTCCAGCGGAACCACTGCTGTCACTGTAATTCAACAGGTATAACTATAATTTACGTTCACAATTCCACAATTATGATGGAAGACAGACACTAATATGAGACAAACACACAGCACAATTTTGACCCTTAAAAATACACAATCACGACAGGCATATGGAAATGTTAGCATGCACGTTAATTTGTTGGATGTTAGTAATCCTTGCATGAGAAGTTTTGACAAAAAAAGTTCCTACTTAAAGAAACAGAGTTATGGGTACTTAAGACATTTTATCATAAACACATTGTAAATGAAGGGTGTTTTTTTTATTTTCCCTGAATAAAATAATTGCTTGAGAATTTATTTAGTTAAATGACTTGTGGAAAACACAGGAGGCTTTTGTCTGAAGGAACCCCATGTGGAAGTTAGCAGTGTCTCTTTATATATTTGTTGTTAGATAGAAAGATAGGCATGTTCTTGCTTCTTCTTCTTTTTTTTCTTTCTTTTTTCCATTTTGGCTTGGATGGAAGATAAGTATGTGACCTTTCAGGGTGACCAGCTGATAATTGCAAATTTGGGAGATTCTCGTGCAGTTCTTTGTACAAGAGGAGATGATGCCGAGCTTCATCCTGTTCAACTCACTGTGGACTTGAAACCTGATATTCCAAGTGGGTGTTGACTGTTAATGACGTTATTTCCAATGTCTTATGAAGCTTTCAAGTCTGTGTCAAACTAGCTATTATTGTTGTCATTGATCAGGCGAAGCCATGAGAATCCAAAATTGTGAAGGCAGAGTTTTTGCTGCGGCAGAAGAATCACAAGTATACAGAATATATATGCCTGATGAGGACTGTCCTGGACTAGCTATGTCAAGAGCCTTTGGAGATTTCTGCCTAAAAGATTATGGCCTCATCTCAGTTCCTGACGTCTTCTATAGGAAAATAACTAAGCAGGATGAGTTTGTCGTGTTGGCAACGGATGGGGTAAGTGTATCAAAACCTCAACATCCTATAGAGAACATTAATTACCGGGCAAATATCAATATCAATCAATATAAAATGTACAAAGTGTTGGGAGTTTTACCATTTACAAGCTGTGAACAATGTGATTTATACAAATACATGGATCCACCCTAATTCTATCTAATAGTGGAAGCAAATAATTTTTTTCCAGATTTGGGATGTGCTATCAAACGCTGAAGTGATAAGTATAGTTGCTTCAGCGCCAAGGAGGTCCATGGCAGCAAAAATGTTAGTAAGGCATGCTGTTTCTGTATGGAGATACAAGTATCCTAATGCCAAGATCGATGATTGTGCAGTGATATGCTTGTTCCTGCATGAACAGCCTCCTCTACCCGATTCTCTATCTACTAGGAGCAACGTAAATAAAAGGAAGCACCTCAGTACTCCTGCCTCTAAACCCACTAGAAATGATGGCACTGAATGCTCGGTAGATGATGGCAAGAGTTCTGTAATAACGTTAGGGCAAGAATTGGATGGTCGTGGAAGATTGTCTAGGGCCAACTCTGTATCCAATTCAAAATATCCACGACTCTCTAGGGTTGTGAGTAGAAAATCTTCTCAGTGCGTTGATGGGGTTGAAGTTCCTTAGCCCTGCCTTTCGAATTCAGTGATACATATTAGACTTCAAGTTGTGTTACAAGGTGTTGGAGATTGAGGCTCCAGTATATGATTCCACATAAAGTAGTGGATTAAATCAGCCAAAACCACACAAGATATAATAAGGGTTGTCTCCTCAAAATACTACCAGACGCCGCCATAACGGCAAGAACTGAAAATGGAAGAAAGAAAGGGAAAATGAAGACAAACATTTTGTAACATTTGTATTGGTACTAGAAAATAATGAGAGCCGTCGATAGCAAGACTTGTGTCATATTGATGTAAAACAAGAGTTAGCGAAAAAGATGGAAAACGAAAACATTATCGATTCTAACACGGGGATTTTATATTTAGCACATAGTTTGTTTTTCATTATAAAGTTGAATTAAGGCTTGTAATGATATCGATGAAAATTGATTTAACTGGTTCCCTGATAGAATTTTTTTGAAGGCATTTAATATATAAAATAGTATTGTGAAAGTTCATTGTTTTAACAGTCATGGACAGTCATATGACATCTACAATTTCTTTGGACGATCATTGAAATCAATGATTCTAGTTTTAAATCGTGCTTTCGATTATTCGTACTTCCATTGTAATGGGCTTCTGATCATATCCCTTTCTTGCTCTCTATTCAAACAATTTCCTCGCAAAACTAGTGGCACGCATAATTAAGTTAAACCGTGAGATTCCAAAGGCTTAATGCAGAATTCTCAAGGTTAAACACCGGCAATTTCCTCGGACATAAGCACAAGAACTTTAAGGGTTTCAGGTGTTATAAAACACATGCAGATCCTACTTGTGCTTTTTAGAAAAAAAATCCCAAAGTCAAAATTAATTTGCTGAGACAGAGATGAGAGCAAAAAAGCACTGGCCACAAGTCTGAGCACATGCATCGAATGATTGCACTTGAATCTGACAGTGCAGGAGAGAAGAGCTTTAAAACAAGAAACAAAAGAGATGAGTAAATGCAAATGTGAGCTAATCTAGTAATCTTCATGGTCCCAAACATCGGCAGCACTCCTGAGTGGTCCCGCGCTTTTGTTCACAAAGAGCTCTTTACCATCCAGTACTCGTCTCTGCATCCACCGTTCACATTTCACATCACATCAGCATTAATTAATCAAATTATCTGGAGCAGCACACTTTTCTCACTTGTTTCTCCGAATAATAAATGGAGTTGTGAGGGGCTTGCATCTGGGATGCTGCTGAATGGTCCGGAATGGTCCAGTTGAAAACACTGACATTTTCTCTCATCCTTTCTGGTTTGGTTGATTTGGGGATGACACTTGTCCCTCTCTGAATGGCCCACCTCACCAACACCTGTCCTGGGCTGTTGTTCAGCTTCTTTGCTATCCTATCCACTGTCTGATCATGGATCAGATCCCTCCCTCCTCCTGATGATTCAACTGGTGAGTATGCCTATCATCATAACCAACATCCTTTGTCACACGAATCAAGAAATTCTAATTCGCTAAGGAAGTTTAGTGTAATTCGTTACAGTGACATGAATGCCTTTCTCCTTGCAAGCCTCAAGCATCTTATCATTTCTCCATCCGGGATGCATCTCCATCTAAAACATCATCAACTATAATACTTCAGGAACTAATAGTGCTATTAATTCAATTAACAACTTTAGAACATATGCTTCCTTTGAGATGTCAAAGAACCAAGTCGAATCTTGTACATTATTAATGTAATCATATATTCGAAGAGAAAGTGATGTAAAAGAACAAGTTTTATGATGCATGAAGATGTTGGAGAGGCATATGATTTGACCTGGCAGACCGAGGGTAACACACGAGCAAAGCCGAGCAGCTTGTTGAGCTTGGTGAGAGTGAAATTGCAGATTCCAATGTCTCTAACAAGCTTCGCGTTCACAAGGTTCTCCATTTCTCTCCACACACCTTCCATGTCAAACTCCAATACTTCTCCTTCGTTTGGTGGTCTGCTTGCTCCTTCTCTTAGATGAAATGGCCAGTGAATCTGCTTTCTCGAAAATAAATCATGGTACAGCGATTCTTTATCATTTCATTTATATACTCATCAAGGAAAGATTTTTTTAAAAAAAAAATTATTACTCTTGTCATTTAAGGAAAGTTAATTACTTCACTAAATATAACAACTAATTAATCTGCAAGAGTATCAAAATACCCAAGCAGGTATATGAAAGCTTAATGAAATTACCAAGTAAAGATCAAGGTAGTCAAGTTGGAGTTCTCGAAGGGTATTGTCCAATGCAGGCCTTACCCTTTCCGGGGCCAATTCAGTGCACCTACGTATCCAGGTTTCAAAAGCATACATATTCGTGTGTGTGTGTGTGTGTGTGTGTGTTTTATATAGGCAGATTAAGTTAAAGATTAGAATCTCATTTCAGTCATCAAATCATGAGTTTTATATCAATAGATGTTTTTTTTTTAATATGTTTTATGTCACTTAATTTATACTTTTGTTTCAATTATGTACATATATATACTGTGCGCATAATAAGGTTAAAACTATGTACCAGAGCTTAGAGGTGATAAAGAGATCCTTCCTATCAATTCCTGTTTGCATGGCAGATTGGAGTGCCTCTCCCACCTGTAAGTAGACATTTTCAGGACAACATACAGTAGAAAGGGGATTCAAATCTATGAAGATAGACTTTGGTAGTAGGTAGACAAATGTCTTAGCATTAAAGTTGAAGAAGTCGACTTTGATAAACATATGTTGTGTGCAACAAGTAGAAGAAACGGAAAATACCTGTTATTGAATTCTATAATGCCAAGCAGTGTCAATTTGCCTATAACCAGCCTAGAAGGAGCAGAGCAATATTGCACAGTTAAGAGTGAAAACGGAAGAGGAACCTAAACACATAGGGAATTGTACCTCAACAACAATGGCAGTACTCACAGAAGATGAGGCATCAGAACCAGATTTCCAGGTACCCAATCCAACGGCTGGTATGGAATGGCCACTGCAGAGATCAAACGACTGATGTAGAGGGTCATGTATGGGAAATGCTTGAGCCATCTTTTTACCTTAAGCTCTCAAAAATGGCGCTATGGTTTCTGCTTGTTGCTGTTATAGCAACAGAGACCCTTTCAAATGGTTGCCAACAACTAGGAGCTTACTTCCTCTATTACTATCCCTTTTTGGCTCCCTCTTTACCACGTCTTCTTCTTTTCTCTTCTCTCTCCATCTCTTTCTTCTCAACACTATATATATATATATAAAATTATTAACAACTTTGGTAACGATGAAATAGAAATAAATAGAAATAGGAAAGCATGTTGTGCAGTATGTCTGACATTATGTATAAAAATTCATCAAAAAGGTAATGTACTATTGGAATCGAATGTGATCATGTTTTTTCTTACCCTTTTCAGACTTTCTAAGTGGATATGCTATAATATGCCGCCCCACTTGTACCATTGTCCTTTCCTACTTACTGCAAACACTACAAATGTTCCCCCCCCCCCCTCTATGAAACCACCAGCTGGTCCCAAATTCCCACTTTTCCCATTAAAAAAAAACGTAATATTTCCTACTTTTATGGCATTCAGGCCAAGCAACATTGGTTAATTTCAAAGTTACATTTAGTTTTCTTAATATAGAACTTTAACTAAAGTTAATCACCATAAAAGAATGAAAACGCAGCTTTAGGTAGCAGCGAAGCACAAACTTTCGGACAAAAGGTGGGCAGATCGGGATTTTTCTTTCTTCTTTTTTTTGGGCACGAATTGCTCATTAATTAATATATTTTAGTATTTAGAATTTAGAATTTCTTTTTAAATGTTCTGGGTTATTTTTTGGGTCACTATATTATTTTTTTAAATACTTAGTCCAACTTAAAAAAGGTAAACTTTACTGAATGTTGCCGATCATAAAATCTGATCTTTTAATTTTATAAACCTTTGCACTGATTTTTCAAACTCCTACTATTTTTTAAATCTGCAACAACTTCTCTATAATACATAAGGGCTTAAATATAAAAGAACACAATTTCTGGATAATCACAATTAAAAAATACTCCCTATCCTCTTATAAAAGAAACAATTATCACATTTACTTTGTCCCCATTTATAAAAAATATTTACAAGATGTCTCAAAATTTCTTAGTTAATTTCTATTTTATCCACATTAATTACTTATTTTAATACTTAATGCATTTATTATCTCATTTCCAAAACATCATTCTCTCTATTTTGATAATTTCTTTATTCTCTTTTTTATACTCCCCCCATAAATAAATGTATTTTTGAGAAAAACTTATAATGTTTAAGTATTTATTTTTTTAATCAATTTTAACTGACTTTTTTATCTATTATTTTTTATCCATCCTGAGAAGCGCACTATTGAGAAGGCTTTGATATTTATACTCTTAATTTGATCGAGATTAATCTGAAGTGTAAAGTGAATTGAAGATACTTTGAATTAAAAAAAAAAATTCTTATCAAATAGATGGAGGGAGTGTAAAGTGATGACTAGATATGAGCCCACAACATTTTGCACAAAGCTGAAAAATGAGCTATGTTATTAATAACTTATAAATAATACGGATTATTATAGTCTTTTTATATTTTACATTGATGATTATAATTAATTTTTTAAAAATAATTTTATTGTATAAGGTTTTAAATATCACTTTCCGCATTGTCAAGGTCCTTGAAAAGGGACAGACAAGGAGGCCTGAGCCTGACAGCACGAAGAGGCACCCGTGAAGTGTTTGGCGGGCGGGCTTTGGAACTCAGAAAATATGAAATTCAAATCACACTTCCCCGTTCATCCACACCGTTCTTCCCTTCACTCTCAAGTCCAAAGCAATCCCAATTTCCAGAAGTTAGCATTAATCAAAAACCAATCATATTTCTTACTTTAATTTAATGAAACTAAAGCATGGCTTCAACAAAAGCACAGGCAGTAAAAGCTAAAAGCCTTTCTTGTATTACATAGAACAAAGTAAGTACCATCACCAACATCACCATCGCCTTCTCATTTTTTTTCACATTGCAGGCAGCTATTACATTACACAACCTTAAGCACTTCAAAAAAGCATACAATACAGACACGAGAAGAAGCAATTTCAGTCTGTGTTGCTGCATTTGCGCACGATATAGCGATAAGCGGCAACCTTTTTCCTGCGAGAGCCACTGTTATCCACAGACAGTACCAACTTGCCTGCCTCTTTTGATGTGAATGAGTTGTGTATTGCTTCTTCTGATGCTCGCATCTTCCTCGCCTTTTCTACTGCTATTATGTAGCTTCCTTCTGCATTTGGCACAAACTCTGCACTGTACTCTAAGTCCCACCCTCCCACCACTATGTCCCATGTGATTGTTGCTCCTGCCTGTACGTAGTTCATTTTCATTACATTAATGATCTAACTATTCATTTGATTTCACCACAAGTTTTATTTATACAGTTAGATTGATGCTTTTACAACCTTCCAAGTTTTATTAATGACGCTGATATGTCTTCACCTGAATGAAGTAACTATTGAAGATTAAATTTTGCAATTTCTTTTTTCTCTTAAAAACATGTGCATAGTGCATAAGAAAAGTGTCACTGAGGAATATCACCTCAATTCCTTCAATTTGTATGTTCACTTTCTCCCCTCCCTTTACAGTGAACTCAGAAGCAGGTTTTGGGGGACCATTCTGCAAATCAACAGGTCTACACAGTCCTCCGTACTGAACTGGAATATCCTCGGGCCTTACAAATCTGATCACAACAAAACAATCCACATCTCAGATCGCCAACCCGGTGCGAAAACTCAAAGCATGTGAGGATCATATAGGTAACAGACAAAAAGAAATGCAGAGGAACAGCTTCAACATTGGAAACCAATGAACAAAACCCAAACCAAACTTTAAAATAAACAGTTCATTTGCGCATAGTGAGAGACTGAACCAAAAGGAAGCATAACCAAACAACTCACTTGTAGAGTGTCTCCACAGCATTTCCTTCCTTAGAGATCACAAATTTGCTCTTAGTTCGTTGGGTCAGAAAAGGACTGAACATTGAATACAACAGACTGAAGTACCACGGGACATTGATGAAAATCTGAAAGCAAGACAAAGAAAGTAGTGAAGTTTCTAGCACACCAAGAGAACAAGAGGACCATCATGTCTCATTTTTCGAGTAAAACAACAAAAGACAAGACAGACAAACAATGTACCTTGCGAGCCACCATTTCTGGGTAATTGTCTTGGAACAGATTGAGGATCTGATTAGAAGCCAACCTAAGCTCTCTCCTAGGCATGTCCTTAAGGTCAGTAACTTGAATAATAGAATTGACCCCACCAGGCTTGAAATGAAGAAGCTTAATGCCTCTCTCCAAAACTTGAACTCTCCACCTCAGAAATTTCTTAAGCTTCTCTTCATCAGCAAATATTCTTTCGTACATTTCTTTATCTTTGAAAACACCGTAAGCATTGTAGCACACGGGGTGCCCCTCTCTGTCATATCCGTGCATATAGGCTATAACCCCTTCAAGCTCTTTGAAGCCCAAGTCCTCCTCAACGATGTCGTCTGCTCCGAAGTCCTTCCTCCAAGCCAAGCATTTCAGAAGCATGTTAAGAGCATCTCCGACTCTGAAATCTCTGGCTCTCAGAAACTTCAAGAGAATGACATCAGCTTTTTCGTCACCTCCAAGCAGGGAAACGCCCCACACGGAACATTCAGAGGAATTAGAGGCTTTAAGCTGGTCTTTGAGCTGTTGAAGAGCCTTCCTCTCAGAGGATTTCAAGTGGGAAATGAAGTAGGTGTCTTCTTTGAAGGAAGGAGTCCGAAGGGTGGCCGCTTCCATTAAAGCTGTGACAAGGCTTTTCTTGTAAGGTTTCGGAGAAGCTTCTGGAAGGCCTTGCAAAGACATGGGAGAAGAGGAGGAATCCATTAATGGGGATTGGAAGGGACGAAGGAGAGAGGCTGCCAAGACGGAGCTTATGTGAGGAATGGGAAATGAGGGGGTATTTGAAAGCGGGATTTTGAAAAATGCAGCAAGCACGGGACTTTATCGAGTGGGTCACAGAGGCAGAGAGAGAAAGCGACGGGGGAAAAGGGAAAGAAACAAGGAAAGAAAAGGACGGGGAAAAGAAAGGATAATTGGAGCCGCGATTTTGGTTTAAAGTTGGGGAGAAGGGACGAAAGTTCAGCAAGCAATCAAGGAAGGAGTCAATTTGAATGGAAATGACACAGTGCGTGGGAGAGAGTGAAGGCACGCTGTGTGTAGAATCATCGGTCATGTGCCACAATTGCTGATGGAAACAAGTTTTAAGGAAAGATAGTAGTGAAAACAGAGGGAGGAACTAGGAAGTGCTTACTAACTTGGGTCTAAATATGAATATCTCAAATATGAATTTGTCTCTAATCATAGCAAAGAATTGAGGCATGGATGGAATAGTTACGTAGGGTGCGAGAGCTTGGAAATGTGGGCATGGGGTTTAAATGTAAAGAAATTAATAATTAGTAATTGTATGGGTGCTTGTGAATAAATGAAGAGACGGAGGCATTGAAATATGTGAGCCATGGCTTGCCGCGAGTGTTGAGGGGAAGATTTTCAATGAGACAATGAGATGGAAATGAAATATTCCAACAAGCAGGGCCCATTGCCTTCCACCTGGCGGCAACAAATCATGAGATGATGATCATTATTAATTAATTCCTGAAGATAGGAAAAGGGGGTTTCCGTTGTAAGTTGGTGGAGAACATGCACTCGTTTATCATGTTGACATCGCCCCCTGGGTTTGTGTCTTCGTCACGCCCATGCCTTTTTTTTTTTTTTTTCAAAAGCTGAATGCCCGTAATAATTACTTCTCCGATCCTAAATATAAGACCTATTTAATTAATTTGATTAGATTAAAAAAGTTAGGTAAGTTAGTTAATTATAAGAAACATGACATGTTTTTCCTAAAACACCATAATCATCTTTCTTGATATCCTCTCTCTTTCTTTTCTACTTGATTATGGTTGAGGGAGATCCATATGGGTAATTTAGAAAAAATTGATAAATATGATAAATATATCTTATATTTAGGATCAAAATCAACTCAACAATTAAGTCCTATATTAAATACTAGAGGAGTACTATATATTTAACATTTATTTCTCAATTTTACTTTTATTTAATTCACAAGAAATATGAATACTCATATTTGAGATTGTGAATTCTCTTATTAGTTTTGTAATATTTATGTTTCTTGTGAATCGCTGAATTTAGATTGTAAATAGTTGAATTTTTATTGTAAATTGCTGAATTTCATTTATTCATTTATGCTCAAACACTTATATTTTGGGTTGTGAATTCTCTTGTATTTCTTGTGAATTGTCAAATTTGGGTTGTAAATCCATAAACTTTTATTGTAAATTTTCAAATTTCACTTGCTCATTCACACTTAAACACTTGGATTTAGGGTTGTGAATTCTATTATATTGCTTATAAATCATCAAATTTTTGTTGTAAATTGCTGAATTTCACTTGTAAATTATCGAATTTCATTTGTTAACTTACACTTGGACACTTGCATTTCTTTTGTTATATATATATATATATATATATATTTGCATCACATAACTAAATAACTTGATTGGCTTGGTAGTCATATCATTTTTGGTATGCTAAGGGGTCATAGTTCAAACCTCCCCTTGGCCACTTCATTCTAAAAATATATATTTCGGCCACCAGAACTCCAACTTTTGGCGGCGGGCCACTTGAGCACCGGCCAAACCTCCGACTTCTTGTTGTCGAAACTCTGACGACAGTTAATATTTATTTTAAAAAAATAAAAAGAGGGATATTTTTGTAATTTTACCCTTAATTTTAATTTCATTTTGGTTCCCGGGGTTGACTGAAATTTTGAAATTTTTTGGGGTTTAACTAATATTAATTGGCTACAATGGTCCTTAAATAAAATTTTTCCATATAAGAATTAGTTGACTAATTTGAGTAGATTAAAAAAAAGTTAAGTTAATTATTTGTAATAAATATGTATTGTTTTTCCTAAAATATCCTTATCAATCAAGTTTATTGGCTAGAACTACCATTATTAGAAAGATTGTCTTTAGAAAAAATGGACAATTATGATAGACAAATTAAATTAGGGTTTTATATTTGTGACTAAAATAAAAGTCAAGCGAGGTCTTATATTAAGTATTATAGGTAGTATGTTATGATTTGAGAGTGTTTTCTTAATATTTGAAATCTCAACATATACACACACACACTACCTCCTGTACTACTTCCAGTCCTTAATATAAGAGCTAGTTGATTCATTTGAGTAAATTAAAAAATAGCTAAGTTAGTTATTTGTAATAAATATGTATTGTTTTTTTTAAAATATCCTTATCAATCAAGTGTATTAGCTAGAATTGCTATCATTACAAGGATTATATTGGAAAAAATGAATAAATATGAGAAACAAAGTGGATTGAGATTTTATATTTATGACCAAAATAAAAATCAAACAAGCTCTTATATTAAGAACTGAGGTAGTACTTAATATAAGAGTTAGTTTACTAATTTGAATAGATTGAGAAAATTAGCTAAACTAGTTATTTGTAATAAATAAGTGTTTTTTTTAAAAATACCCTTTATAATTAAGTGTCATTTGATAAAATATTTAACATGTGTAAATATTACAAGGACTATTTGAAAAGATGAATAAATATGAGAAACAAATGAATTAAGGTTTTATATTTAAGATTAAATTAAAAGTTAAATTAACTCTTAATCACAGGAGAATACTAATAAATTTCAAAATACAGACAACGTGCGTGACCATTAAAAATGAAGTGAATGCGAGAGAAGTGAACTTGTGTTTAACTGTATATCATGCAAACAATCTCGCTAAAAAGAAATTGTCATGTATCAGATACGAATAAACGACATAAACATGATGAATCAACACTTGTCTATTTCGTGGTTATAAAAAATTTAGATGAGTTGCGTGTGAGGGAAACACTTGTTTATTTCAAATGCTTATACTTGGTGTTCTGCTCGATATTGAGAATATAAATAAATAAGTAAATGCAAATAAAATTCTGGCCAAAAAATAAAAATTAAAACTAAAATAAACTCACGGTAATAAAAAATATGATATATATACAAATTTCTTTTTTTTAACAATATATATATATATACGTTTCAAATCATTTTTAAACAAAAAAAAGCAATTTAATCCATCAATATATAATAAAATTTATAATAAGTTACTACCTCCGATCCTTAATATAAGACCTTGTTTGACTTTTATTTTAGTCCTAAATATAAGACCCCAATCCACTTTGTCTCTCATATTTATGTATTTTTTCTAAGGTAATCCTTCTAATAACTGTAGTCCTAGCCAATATAATTGATTAGTAAGGATATTTTAAGAAAAACAATACCTATTTATTACAAATAACTAACTTAACTTCTTTTCTTAATCTTCTCAAATTAGTTAATTGGGTCTTATAATTAGGACCGGAGGTAGTACATTATATTTATAAATTACTAACAGTTTAATATATTTCTCACACTTCATGAACAATGTTGAGAACATTAAATAGTTTAAATTTTATTGAGAGAAAATATGCTTTGAAAAAGACAAAAAGTAAAATAGGATGGCAAACTAGCAAGAAAGTCATGTAAATTTTATACTCAGTGTAATATTTTTAGATTATGAAAAGGCTAATTAACTAATATGAGCAGATTAAGAAAGTTTGTTAAGTTAGTTATTTGTAATAAAAAAGTGTTATCTTTTCTAAAATATTTTTGCTGATCATGTGTATTAGTTAGAATTATTATTTGATGAAATCTTTAACACGTGAAACTACTACAAAAACTACTTTAGAAAAATTGATAATTATGTGAGATAAAGTGGATTGAAGTTTTATATTTAAGACCAAATTAAAAGTTAAACTAACTCTTATATTAAGAATTGAAAATAATATATCTATTTAAAAAGTTCTATTATTTGTCAGCTTTACGCTATGTGCATAGACTCTAATTGAACATATATAATACTTCTCCGGTCGTTAATATAAGACATATTTAATTAATTTGATTAGATTAAGGAAGTTAGGTAAGTTACTTAAATATAAGAAATATGACATATTTTTTCTTAAAACACTATAATTATATTTCTTAATATCATCCCTCCTTCTTCTACTTGATTATGATTGAGGGAGTATCCACAAGGGTAATTTAGGAAAAATTGATAAATATGAGAAATAAGTCTTATATTTAAGACTAAAACCAACTCAATAATTAGGTCTTATATTAACGATCGAAAGAATATAAATTATCCCATTTTTAATTCTTATTGCCAAATTATATGATACTTCAAATTTAATTTAGTTTTATTCTCATACAAAAATTGTGAAAAAGTACTAAACAATGCGATCTTTTTCTTGAATTTTATTTTTAAAAAAATGCAGCCACGTCTAATTTTGCAACTTGTAAGTGTCAGCTTTTTTTTTTCCGCTAGATTTAATGCATAATGTGAAGTCCGAATCAATTTTTTTTTTAAAAAATAATTTTTGCTACTGTACAAAGAAGCTATGGTACGATCACCTGCTATATAAGGCTGTTCGCTCCGATGGCATTTGGCGCTTGTTTGTGTTCTTACACCGGAGCGCTCACTCTCGCGTTAGTAGTGGCGGAGTACCTTTCTCTTTTCAAACCCTCATTCTCTGTGATTTCTTTTGCATGTTCTGTCCATCATCTCTGTATTCCAGGAATTGTGGGAAAGCTAATTGCACAGTCTTTTTTTATAGTTTTTTATGTATTTATTTTAAGCGCAATGAGCTCTTGGTTTGTAAATCATCTGGTGATTTCTGGGCTTATGAGGTTAGGGTTAAGTCCATTTGATCAGTTACGAATTAATGAGTTTGGGTTTCTTCGGGCTGTCATCTGTCTTGTCTCTTTCAATCCATATTCCGCTTGACATTCTGCTTTGTATAATCTTCATCCGGATACCAAAAACTTTTTCTTTTTGAAGAACTAGATTTCTAGATCTTTGTTATTTGGCCATAAATGGAAATGATTGATTTAGTTTTTAGTGATAGGTCCCGTGAATCGGAATGTTTTCCAGGATGACTTTGTGCTGCTGGATAAACTTCCCTGCCTCAAATCTCTTGGTCGCATTGACATTATTTTTTAGTTGCTACTCAGGATCATGTTGCTTTGTGCTTGTTAGTGTTATTGCGGTCATGTGCTAGACTCTATACTGTCTTGCAGACTTGAGGTCAATGCTTAGTTAGTAAGCGTTTATGTTATTCTTTTTCCTTTTATTTTTGGTCTAAAGTTCCTATTCTATGCATTGGCAAATCTCGGAAATGTGATGATAACGTTGATTGGTTTGATTCTCTTTTAAGTTCATGTCACGTACTTTCTTTACGCTTCTTGCCTTAAAAGTTTGTGCATCCAAAAACGAACAAGGCCTGTGCTTCTAAAGCTTTAATATCATTTTTTGAGCTACTGCATTAGTTAGTTAGCTAATCCAGTTTCATCAAAGTCTTCAAAATATTCAACTTCTATAATGGCATTTTTGTGAATTGCATTCATGCTATGATTCATCTTTTATTCATGAAAGGACCTCTTTCGTAACTTGCAATAGGGGGAAAGCAAATCTGTGGCAACAGCTATCTGTTAGGGTCAGGGGAATCAAAGGCTTGCGTGCTATTTTCTTAATTCATTTGATTGCTCTTGTTATATTTTCTATTTACAATGGGGCTAGTACTTTTTGCCACAGCTAGAAATTTTTGATCATTTGATGGATACATTGTCAACATATTGACAAATTATATTTCTTTAAAATTACTTTCTTCTATAGATCGCCAATAGTATGAGTTATCTCCTCTTATACCAGGATGGGGGCAGGAAGGAAAACACAAATTTTCTACGTCAATGGGACTCAGTCTTTCGTTCCAAATTCACCTGTCAGTTCTGCGTGTGGCAGAAATTTGAGAAAAGATCAACTTGGTGGTGTAATATTTGGTTGCAAGAATGCTACCATCAAAGAATGTTTATCTAAGCAGCTTTTTGGTTAGTCTCTTGCATTTGGTTGCTTTTTTAGAAGTTTTGGAATAGCTCTTTGTAGGTGTAAAAAGACAATAAAAGTGACATTTTTTGGGTGCCCATATACAAGTCTCCATCCTTTATGAAATGCAACACAGATATCTTTCAAATAAACTTAAAACTGTAAAAACAATATTGTTGTGTAAAGGAATTTATGCTATGGGTTTTAACTTTTTCTTAGGCTTGCCGGCTCAACACTTCTCCTATGTGAAGAATATTGATCCAGGGCTGCCTCTCTTTCTGTTCAACTATAGTGACAGGAAGCTTCATGGAATCTTTGAGGCTGCTAGCAAGGGGCAGATGTCTATAGACCCTTATGGATGGACTGCTGATGGCTCAGAGAGAACACAGTATCCTGCACAGGTTAATATAGTACTACTAAACTCTGATTGGCTTTATTCTACTTCTATTGCATGTTATCTTGGTCATGATTGAAGTTTATGTTAATGTTTAAGGTGCAAGTTTGTGTTCGGCTCCAATGCCAGCCACTCTCTGAAGATAAATTCAGGCCAGTAATTGCTGACAATTACTACCTTAGCAATCACTTCTGGTTTGAGCTTGACCATGGACAAACTAGAAAGCTTATTTCCTTACTAGCATCTTCAGCAATTGGCCCGGGTACTTATATACCACAGAATACAATGAAGTGGAAAACCGTATCTCGATCTCTTCCATCACATGAAACTTCAGTGGAAGATGAAGCATTTAAAAAACTAACATCAGAGGTAGAGCAATCTACTCAATCAACTAGCAGATATCATTCTCCTGAAGTTGCTTCCATGGATGCTGATAGGGATATCCAGCGAGATTTTCAAGTGGTGTCAACGGAGGCAGAACAGGATGAAAAATCCCTTGTACTAATGAAACTAAAAGAACTGGCTTTGAATCGTGAAAGTCAAAACATTTCTTTCTCAGACGATGTGAAAGACACTCCTGATGAGAATAACCTGGACTCTGCTGAGAAGGGTTGTCTGGAGGCATTAACTGGTTTGGAGAAGAGGGAAGAGTGTCCTAGTCCTCCGTTTGAGTATCAGTGCATCATAGTCCAGGTAGTTGAATGTTTGGATGGAAAAATCTAAACTCTTTACTCTTTAGTTCTTTTCTTCTGGCAAGTAACTTCTAGTGCATTTCAGTTGATGCAAGAGGTCAAAGAATTGACAGCTTTCAAGGAAACACAAACGCAGAAGTGCCGTTATCTGGAGCAGAAGCTGGTATCTTTATTTTGTTGTTTATGCTAGCTAAATTGCGTAACATCTATTAATCTTTCTTGCATGTATTCAAATGTCCATGGTATTCATCTGATTTGACTATATTTGGAACTCCTCAATCTGTTTCATCTATGTCTTCTTGTTAAGTAATTGTCATTATATTAAAATAGACTCCTGCTACTCTCCGAAGTCCAAAAATTTGTAGATTACGTACTCATAGTCTTAACTGTTGATCATTAAATTCTATTCTCAGATATTCATATTTATGTATCATGCCATGGAATTTTTGGTTAATATCTATTTATGTCATTCTAGGTGGACGCAGAATTGGAAATTCACGATCTAAAAGATCGCTGTACGATATTAGAATCTGCATGTAATCTTTCTCTGGAGCATGAGGAAAAGACAGTCATTCAGTCTTCTGATCAGCAGCATTTGGACCTTAAAGAGTCATTGTATTTAATAGGAGGCTACGATGGAGAATCCTTTTTAGCATCTATGGATTTGTATTGCCCTTCCCTGAACGTGATGAAGCCTCTAAGGTCTATGAGCTCAGTTCGCTCTTATGCTTCAACTGTGCAATTGAATGGGGAGCTTTATGTGTTTGGCGGTGGAAATGGTAGTATTTGGTATGACACAGGTACAATATCTTCCTGAATTTACCTTATACCGCAACATTCAGCCATAATGAAGCTTTTGATATTTCCTGAACTTTTGTTGATGTAGTCGAGTCATACAGTCCAATTTGTGATAAGTGGACTCTGTGCCCATCGCTAAATCAGAAGAAAGGAAGCCTTGCCGGAGCTGGTCTAAGCAACAAAATATTTGCCATTGGCGGAGGCAATGGAATTGATTGTTATTCAGAGGTTGAGATGCTTGATCTAGACATAGGAAGGTGGATCTATATTCGTTCAATGCTTGAGAAGGTAAAGTATATTACCTTATGTGTAATACACGATATAAAATCTGATGCTAGAGAAGCTATAATAATGCATTATTTTGAAAGTCCTGAGGGTTTGCGTGGTTTGAGGCTTAAGCTTCTCAACATGCCAGTCTGTAACAAACATTTGATTATACATTGATTTACTTGTTTGAGTTGCTTTTGTGTTTTCCTCTGGACATGTCTATGAAAGTGGGCACGAACTGTTACGTGGAAGCAATATAGTTGGCCTTATTCTCTGTTAATTTTTTTTATACATTAGTCACTTTAGAATATGAAGTCACAGATATGCATGGCCTAGTCTCTTTAGAATATGAAGCAATGTAGTTATGTTGTTTAGACATTAGGCCTTTTGGTTTACTTGTTTAGGAAAACCATCCCAGCTTATTGAACTCAGGACTGTGGTTTGATATTTTCAGAGGTTTGCTCTCGCTGCAGTGGAATCCAATGGTGTTATTTATGTTACTGGTGGATTTGATGGAAATGACTATTTGCAGTAAGATTTATGGTTTTATCTCCTTTAACTTAATCAGTTCATTGATATCAAGAACCCATATTTATAAGCACTAGCAGGACCTGCCCATATAGGTATCTAGAACCAATCAGATATCTTCATGATGCTCCTACTAATACATGCTTCATTAGCCCTATGTTTCGAAGATTTATGATCTATCTCATATTTATCACATGTTGAACTTTGCTGGAATATATATCTATGTATCTGTATTACTGTTTCTCTGCCAAACTTGTATCTATGCGAATGTATTACTGCTTATTGTACACAACAATCTTGCCACGGAGAGTTGTATGTTTGGTTGATTTAAAGTTAATAGAAAATGTTCAGAATGATACGAATAATATTGCTATACTGTTTTCTTATCAGCGAGGTCATTGTCTAGAAAATTGTCAATGAATCGACCTGATTCAATCACATTTTCACGGTTAACAGTTCGCAACCATGTTTTCATTTGATCCACGGAATAATAACACCGTCCTGAGTGGGTTTTCTTTCTGACTGTGGTTCTAGCATCCTCATTTCCTACAGACAGTTGTCTTCTCATATTCTACAAGCAGGCAGCATAAAGTAAAGTTGATTTGTACCTATAGAATCTCTGTAGGATTTTAATACTCTGCTTCACCTTCTGAACATGGTTTGATCTTCATTGTCGAAGAGTATTTGTGATCAATTTTATATTTATATCTGAACTGATGGGAGTGGCACTTGAAACTTTCTTTAGGTCTGCTGAAAGATACGACCCTAGGGAACATCGTTGGACCAAAATAGCCAACATGAATACAAAGCGGGGATGCCACTCATTAGTTGCCCTAAATGACAAGTTGTGAGTTCAGCTCTTTTTCCTCTGGTTTTCGTCATTTTTGTCTTATCAATGCTCTGGGACTTGCTCAAATGTCCTTCATTGTAAATTATGGGTTGGACTTGAATTAGTTGACATAAGGCAGCTCAAAAATTATCCTAAGTTATGTTGACTACATTCACAGGATGATTTTGAAAAGCATGCAGGAAGATTAGGCTACAATTTCCTGCCCACATTGTGGTTAAGTTGCTTAAAGTAATTTTAACAGAAGGATTTTTGTTTTCTACAAGTATTTGTTCTTGTTTGTGAGCTTTCAACATACCTGCCAATGACTTTGTCAAAAAAATTAATGTTCACAAAGAGGGTCAAAATGAGTATTGCTATTGTGGCTGCAGATTTTACTTTCCTTTTCAAAACTTCCAGCCTTAACTGATCCACGACTCACCTAAATTTTATCATTTACGCGTAGGTATGCTCTTGGTGGCTTTGATGGAGATGCAATGGTTCCAAGTGTTGAAGTTTTTGATCCCCGACTTGAGACATGGATGATGGGGAAGCCCATGAATCATCCTAGGGGTTATTCTGCTGCCTCAGTTGTGAATGATTCAATTTATGTGATTGGGGGAGTTAAATTTGGCGAGAACATCTTAGATAATGTAAGTATAACAGTTTTTTGAAAATTTTTTTTAAATGGTGATTATATTAGGAATAGCCTCGTGTTTATATATCTGAAACCCAAATGACAAATGACAGGTTGAGAATTATAAGGAAGGTCAGGGATGGCAAGAAATTTGCACAACAGTCGTTGGCAAAAGGTGTTTCTTGTCAGCTATTTCCCTGTAGAGTTATGAGCCGCCCAAGGTTCAGACTGCATGGATAAGGCACATTACTAACATGACCTCTTTGATGCTCTTCATTGTTAATCAGAGCGATTGCTTGATATATATATTGGTTGTAACTTTTTGGATTAATAGATGGGTATATATTTTGCATTGACCTAACATAATGTCACTGGGATTTTACAAAGAAATTTCATATATAGAGTAAACTACCATTTGGGTAGTTGATCGATGCATGTTCCATTATTACCATTGACATTTGCACATGCATCGTCGTTACTTGTTTCAGATTCAGTTGGGTCATTTCAGGTGAGCTGAATCTGATGCTGTTAACGTCGTCTGCAGTTTCCTCATCAAGCGGGGGGAACTTATTCTAATAATGGCGTTTATAACAAGAATCACCCGTGGGATGCTAAGGCCCATGAAACTATTCCCATGTCAAATATATTTATTATCATTATCATGAACCTAAAGTAAATTAGACTCTGGCCTAATGCCAACCGATTAAAACCAAATAAATAATTGTATTTTTTATGAGAAAACTTATAAACTAGTTTCTGAATTCTATGCAATGTTTTTTCAATTAGAAACTGTTGTGATGGGGAGTTAGCTATGAATCTGGATTTGGGTTGCCACGTTTAGCTTAAAGTTACATCTTAAAGTAATAATAATATCAGATATTATAAATAAAAATATCATATCTCGCACCATAAAGTGGTGAGGAGAGGGGATGTGACGACAAAAGATGGATATATTTCTGTACATTCCCGTCATTTGAAACGCGGATTGCTTTCACCAAGATATCTTCTTCTGCGTCCTTTTTTTTTTTTGGCCAAAAACCAAGATAGTACCTTCTATCATCTTATATTAAACGGACATTTATTTAAGTTCCTTAATAACTGACACCTGGTAATTTGTGCAAAGTGTATTTTCAAATGTAAGGAAACCGATGTGGGATCAACTAAACATATGAGGTTCCGTTCAATGTTGTTATTTTCAAATTCATATTAATTTAGCAATGCCCAAAGAAGAATTATTTGTAAATATCTTGGTTCGGCCATCGGCCTGGTTTTCAATGAAAACAAGAATGTGATGACAATTACCCAGACCGAGATGTTTCCCACGACCCAAAAATTAGACGCTGAAAGAGGTCGTCAATTCGCGACTAATTTATTTGGGTAATCAGTTAGTGGCTGAAAACGACATGTTTCTACCGGTCAAAAAAAAGAAAACGACATGTTTGAAAATGCAAATGTACGACTTAAATGCACATTCAATGTATAGGGATGGTCTCTTGGTTAATTAGGCAGTAATGTTAGGACTGAAATTATGAAAGTTATGAGAAAAATCACGTACGCACTATTCAGCCACGTGAAAAAAATGCATGTTTTATTAAATAAATGTGATGTGCTTAGTCCACCGAAAAAACAATATAATGTGCTTTAGATCTTTTCCCCCACAGTAAGAGAATCCAACCAATCAAATTTTCTTCAGCGGAATATTTAGAATATACTGTATCATCACAACATCCGTATCGATGTGTGCATATGCGTGTGTTCTGTTTCCATAAAATAAGGTTACGATGAGCTATTATAAGTTACTCCTCCTAATCCTTAATATAAGACATGTTTAACTAATTTGATTAGATTAAGAAAGTTAGGTAAGTTAGTTAATTATACAAAATATGACATGTTTTTTCTAAAACACTATAATTATCTTTCTTAATATCCTCCCTTCTTCTTCTCGTGATTATGGTTGGAGGAGTATCATAGGGGTAATTTAAAAAAATTGATAAATATGAAAAACAGGTCTTATATTTAGGATAAAAAACAACTCAACAATTACATCTTATATTAAAGACGGGAGAAGTATATCATAAATTAGAAATTATATATATATAAACTCATTTCTTATATTTCACATAATGCATAAAAAGGGGTGAGTGTGTGTGAGTATATATATTAAAATTAATAAAAAGTCATATTCTTTTATATTCACATGTTATATTTATAAACTGGTCATAAAAATTTAAATCATAAAACATGGCATCAAAATTTGTTTGTGAAGAACGCAAGCCGTATATTTAAAGGGGAAGGAGACATGGGAGTCGCTTTCGTCTGGATGATTCATGCAATCATACACCTTTTGAAAGTGAAAACTCATCTTGTTGGGATCGCCACCGTTCAAATTGCCGTTCCCAATTCCACTGACGATAATAGGATTTTGAGAAAATGACAAACAAAAACCTCATAATATGTAAAATTATGATTTGGGACTCTCAATTTGAAAAATAGCAAATAAAGACATCATAATATGTAAAATTATAATTTGAGATCCTCAATTTGAAAAATAGCAAATAAAGACCCGGTCTCATATTATAAATATGAAATTTTGGTGAAATGTCTGAAATACTCCTAGGCCAAGTAACAAGTTGACTATAAGAAATGACAAGCTCACTTTAGCAAATGATAACTTCAGTAGACCAAATCACAATTTGGCTGAGGTGCATTTCAAACATTTTACCAAAATTTTATATTTGCAATATGAAACCGGGCATTTATTTGCTATTTTTCAAATTAAAAGTCCCAAATCATAATTTCATATATAAAGGGGTCTTTATTTGCTATTTTTCCTAGGATTTTATATATTATATTTCTTATTGTCTTTATGTTGAAAAAATGCACCAAACTTGGGGAGGATTCGGCAACCATCCAACACTCCCATTTTCTTTTTTTTGGGGGGGGGGGAGCCTTATAGGTTTAAACCAAACATTTCTCTTTAATTAATACATGGTAGCTTCCAAATGACGTCACATATATTCAATTGTATGACCAATTATATCGGACCATCACTTCTATATATTTTGAGCACATATGTACATTGCATCTTCTCCTACATCATCGCATTTATCTTCTATTCTCATTTGATCAAATTTCTCGGCTTGGATAATATAATTTTCCCACCATCCACCTTATTGTGGCCAAAAAGATTCTTGAGATTGGAAGCTAGGATCTTTAGTTAGTGTTGGCATTTCACAAGTGGCAACAGAAACTTTTTATTGAAAGCTGATTGGGAGAAATTTATAGTTTTTGTGGTCTAGCTTGTTTAGCTGACTCCAATTGATGTGGTTTCTGAGTGTCTAGCAACTTATTTTATTTTTGTGGGGGAAAAAAAGGAGTGAAATAAATGGTGGGATGCATGATGGAAGGTTGGAATGAGATGAATGAATGTGGCTGTGTGAAGGTTCGTGGGAAATGATGATGGATGATATGTAATGGTCACGGCACTCATACATAATGGTGGGATCTCTCCATGTGCGGCATTCTTCATTTCTCAATTTAAATTTGTCTACTCATAAATTGACATTAGAATTGCCTTCCACTCAACACCCACAATATTTCCATTTTCTCCCACCAAAATAATAATTGGCCACACAAAAAAATTCCCTGATTTTAATTTATTTGTTTAAATATTTTGTTTATTTTGTCACTTTCGCAATTTTCGTGGAAAGGTGTCGTACGTGCTTCTGCTTTCGTTAATTTTTGAGAAAACAATTCAAGTATTTGACAAAATAGAATTTGAAAACTTTTATTGTGTTCAAAGTTAGAGTTATTCCTCCAAATAAATCGGCAACCAATAAATATTACGAGCTAAGCCAACCATTATATTCAAGTGGAGAGCTAAATTCACAATATAATACTACCTTCTGTTCTTAATACAAGAATTCTTTTGACTTTTATTTTAATCCTAAATATAATATCACAATTTACTTTATGTCTTATATTTATTTATTTATTTTTCAAGATAGTCTTTATAATAATAGTAATTCTAGCTAATACGCTTGATTAGTAAGGATATTTGAGGAAAGACAACACCTACTTATTATAAATAACTAACTCAACTAATTTTTTTAATTTACTCAAATCAGTCAACTAACTCTTATATCAAGGATTGGAGGTAGCACAATTCATCAATGACCTCACCACGTGACAAATGTTGTATGATCATTTCAATCTAAGTTAAACATTGGTTGAGTGCACGTTTTAAAATCCGTAATTAGTTATCACAAAATTTATTTTGAATCACACCTAAGTCCTCAAAAAGTATTTTCAAGATATTTAAACAGCTAGCAAGGATTAAGAAGTCGGGCTACTTTTCAATCTTTTTTTTTATCCTTATATATAAGAGACTACTTTTCAATCTTAAATGTAGAAAATTTGCGAACATTAAACGATATAGAGATATCTCCTTAACCAGACTCTACACTAAAATAGAATCATACATACATCCCACTCATATACCTTGGACGTTAATTGGTGTCGGATCTCTAGCATTTTTGTTAAAAATATACTACCTCTGATTGTGTATAAAAGATATATAACTAATTTATAAATATTAAAAAAATTAATTAAATCAGTTATTTATAATAAATGGATGCTGTTTTTCTTAAAATATTTTTGTCAATCATGTGTATTAGAATGTAAATTTTTTTAGCTTGTGCAATTGCTATAGGAATTACTTTGAAATAAATAACTAAATATAGAAGAGAAAATGAATAAGAGTCTTATATTTAATACCAAATTAAATTTCTAATTAGCTTTTATACTTAGGAGCGGAAATAGTACATAAGGTACATCTTATCTAAATCACTTAGATATTTGAATAGTTTTAAACTCATTATAATTTTATAAAATACCCACCATCTTACCCTGATCTTGATAGTTTAAATTAGAAGTGCATCCTGTGCACATTCCAAGAGATGTATAGACAATATGAAAAGTTTAATGTTTTTGTTCATGGACTGAATTAATCATAGTAGAGTTAAAAATATAGGAACTAAAAGTTACTTCAAATCAATGAGTTTTAAATGAGTCTAAAGTCTCAGCTGAATGGAGTAAATAATTAATTTTTTCCCATTAATTTATGTTATCAAAGGAGATATATTTCATTTAGATCAGATGTGTATGCATGGCCATAATTAATCATGAGAAATAAAAAATGCATTAACTTTAATTAATGCACATACATGTACTCAACGTTATCTATATTCTATTAGTTCTTGAAAAAGATATAAAAACCCAGAAAAATCGTAAAAAAGACTCAAAATTTTTTAAAAAAATACATATAAGAACCCATTCATAAAAATTGTTATCATCTGCTTATTAATTATTATCAAAACTAATACTAATATTATAATGGGTCCTTATTTACAATTTTTCTATTTTTAAGATTTTTTTATAATTTTTCCAAAAACCTATGATAATAAAAATATATATATTGAAAAAATAAATAAATAGTAGGATAAGGTAGTGTCGTGTCAAAAGCTTAGGAGGGGGGCAACATGCAGTGTTGGCTTATAAATAGCAATGGAATGATGGGCATATTTTATGAAGAGTCCTCTCTTTCTTTGTATCAGAATAAAAGAAACAAATCAACTAGAAATCACATTCCAGCAACATGCCTTGCCTTTACATCACCACCAACGTTAACTTGGATCAAATTGACACCGATCCCATCTTTTCTGAAGCTACTTCTGCTGTCTCTTCCATCATCGGAAAACCCAAACAGGTGTCTCTCTCTCTATTCATCTTCCTCTCTTCTCTTTCTTAATGCTTCTTAGGTGTTTGTGCTTTTCAAGCTTATCAGATTTGGCCCAATCTATTTACAGTTCCTGTGAAATTCTTATTGGGGCTCAAATTAAGTTGGCATTATTTAAGTTTCTTTTCGTCGGACTTCCAGGAATATCCTATATACCCACAGATATGAATTCTTTGATTATTCCCTGGAAACATGGATTTGCTTTTCAGGAAAGAGATTACTTAGCCATTTAGAAATATAATATCACTCTCTCTACACTTACCTTCTGCACAGTTCTGCGTTGACCGAATTGATATGCTATTATATACTATTTGGTCATAGATATGAATCCTTTGATTATTTTCTGGAAGCTTTGGATCAGACGACGGATCATACTATCGTTAACTATTGATTTTGTGTTAGGAATATTTCTTCATGCGTCTGATTATCAAATCAAACAGCGTAAGTTTTCAGCAGCTAGTCTAGAGTCTACATGTTATTTAGTCTAAGGTTGAAAATAAAATAATGGAATAATGATTGAGAAACTATGATTAATGTAAAATAAAGTCGTGATTGTACAAATAAACAGTATATATGGGAAAAGTAAGTTCATTGAACCGTGCAGAAGAAAACAACAACTGATAGATACTTAGATACGGGTTGAAAATATTTAAACTTTAAAGTATCAAGTGGGCAGTATCCTTCCAAAATTTCTTCCGTACTTCTTTCTTTTCCTCTATCACAAAGATAAATGGACTCTGTACTGCTTCTGCAAATTGCACATCAATCAGGAGCACTAACTAACTAGTGCACCACTTGATCCTTTTTCCCACTGTTATTCGGATTACATTATTTAATGCATAGCAAGTGAGTCAGTTGTCTATATATTTTCATTGAGTTTGAGGCCCCTTTTAATTTTCTTTTAAAAGCACCATAATGAGCTGTTTGGGATTATCTCCAACAGTAAGGATAACGAGTGAATGATGACCATGATTCAAATTAATAGTATTCTCTATTACATGATATGACCAATATATTCTTCGGTTGGTCGATCATCATCATCATCGATATTTAATTAATAGCATTTGTGTTAGAAGAGGTATTTGTCTGGTTGACACCATCATATTAATTATTCATGTTTAGAATATTAGTAGTACTTCAGAGATGCAGCATCAGTTTAATACATATAAGACATGAATATCGTAAGTAATATATTGTACACCGTCACATTAAAAGAATAAAGATCTTAATTACACGGAGATCAAATCACTTCAAAACTTGGTTAATTTTCACAGAATGCTTCTAATAACGGGCAGCTGAATTTGACTAATTTGCACGCTGAATATAGTACAGGAATTTGATCCACACATAATGATGATATCGTGTATTCGCCACGTATTTGATAGATGTACTAATAATGTCCGTGACACTAAAAAGAGATGCGATATATACAAGGGACTGTCTTCTAATGTGGCTCAAGCAATTAGTATAATAATATGATTAGATGATTAGGGAGGATTGTTATGAGTTAAAATCTGGAGCATGTAAAATTGAAAAGATAAGGTGCTGAGTAATAATGAATTGATGATTAAAAATGCAGTTTGTGATGGTGGTGTTGAAGGGGTCAGTGCCAATATCGTTTGAAGGGAACAAAGAGGCAGCGGCATACGCAGAAATAGTGTCAATGGGAGGAATCAACTCAGAAGTGAAGAGGAAGCTCATTGCTACGCTGGGTTCCATTTTGGAGGACAAGATTTGTGTCCCCAGAACTCGCTTCTTCCTTAAGGTCTTCGATACTACTGTCTTTCGCAGTGTCTCTAAACTCTAATTCACAATCCTCCATTATGACCAACAACCCTTTCCATTGATCACTTTCTAGTAATGATCAATCAAGTCATATTTTGTACTCCTCCTATTTGTTTCATTACATATTTGCAACTTCATGTTCAATTCCTCCAGTTTCTCAATTACATGAATCAATTTTGTAAAGCTACTGGGGAATATACTACCTCCGGTTCTAATTATAAGAGCCCGTTGACTAATTTGATGAGATTAAGAAAATAAGTTAAGTTAGTTATTTGTAATAAATAGGTGTTGTCTTTTCTAAAATATCCTTGTTAATCAAGAGTGTTGGTTAGAACTACCATTATTAGAAGGTACAATTTTGGAAAAAAATACATAAATATTAGAGATAAAAGGGATTGGGGTTTTATATTTAGGACCAAAATAAATGTTAAATGAAGTCTTATATTAAGGACTAGAGGTAGTAATATTTATGTTGATGGATTAATTAATTCAAATTTAGCCTAACTTTTTAAGATTTTGATCACAACAAAAATCAGACCATATATTTGAAAAAATAGACATTTTGTCCTCATACAAAATACATATTGGCCAAGTCGTCATAGGGTGGTTGGCCATCTTAGTGTTTGGGAGAAAATTTGTTAATCGAATTAATTAGGATAGTGGGTGGTCCTGGTCCACCAGCAGGCATGCCCATATTGATTGTTGAGAATGGAGTACAGTTGTTGAAGTGCTCAAGTATATTCACAGTATGTAGATTATTAATTGAATGATAATTATATAAATACATATGCACAGAGCTAGTACTTTACAGATTCAGATTTTAATTTCACTCTTTTTTTTTAAAAGACTGTTATGAACTCAGAAGAATTGGGTTAAGAGGAGGCTACGGCCCAAGTCCAGAACATGTACAAAGCAGTCACATGAGGAGTCAAAATGAAATGGGTTAAAAGGAAGCTAATGAAAGAAGTCAGTCTCTTATGGTAAATTAATATTTGAATTCTTATTGAGAAAGATGTTTACATTTAGCACACAACAAAATCTCTAATAAAAATATACTTATGTGTGAAAAAAAAATGAAATGGGAATTGAACGGCGATACGTATCTAAAACATAAATTACATAAGCAAAAGGAGAAAATCACGAGGACAAGTTCTAAAAGAAACTGTTGAAAAAACTTGTAGCATAAGAAAGATGTCCAGCGATTAAGTTTCAGGAGTGAAACTGAGACAAAGTAAGCTTAATCCAGAGCACAAAACGACCAGGGTTAGCATCTAACTGCCCCTCCATTCTGAACCCATCTTTACTTTGGATGGTTCAAATGGACTCACTGGATTATTAGGGCCATATATATATATATATACACTCCTCCGGTCTTAATTATAAGACCCAATTGACTTATTTGAGGAGATTAAGGAAGTAAGTTAAGTTGGTTATTTATAATAAATAAGTGTTGTCATTCCTAAAATATCCTTGCTAATTAAGTATATTGGCTAAAACTATCATTATTAGAAGGATTATCTTGAAAAAAAATGCATAAATATAAGAGACAAAATGGATTGGGTCTTATAATTAGGACCAAATAAAAAGTCAAATTGGGTCTTATAATAAGGATCGGAGGAGTATATATATATCCTTACCGGTCCATTCGAACATTTTATTTACGGAATTGGTCAAGTTTAATTTTTAAGTTGCGGAAGTTGAGTATAACAAAAACAAAAAAAAAGTTTATCGTAACGTGACAAATCAAGGTTTAAACTTTTATTGAGAGAGATACTCTATATTTAGTGTCTGATAATATCTCGAATAGGATTCATTGACAAAAAGTTATATCATCAAATTGTCTCCTACCTCATCAAGGAAACGTTAGATAATCACACGAACAAAATTTCATTATTCTAATATTATAGTTGGAAACTATTTTAATTTTTCTTTATGTTTCTTTTAATAAAAGCATTTATAAAATTAATCTATACAGCTTTTTATCATTAACATCAGCCATATTATTGATTAATTGTGCTAAACAACAACGGATTTAATTGGAGATATAACCTCGGTGAAAAAAAAAAAGTGAAGTAATTCAAAATTTATTTTAATTAAAGGTCAACTCATAATTCACCAACAAAAATAAACTCATTCATAGATGATGTGTCAAAATAGTTTATTTTATACGTGATACTAATTGATTTAATTTTTTTTTATTTTTCATTTTGACCTGATAACTTTTTGCCCCTTGACGGTCTAGTAAGTTAGTTTAAGGTTTCGTTGACATTTTGCTGGCAAAAAAAATTCATTGACTTGGGGTCCCCTTATTCAACTAGTAAATCATTAATAAAATCAATAAAATCTAAAAGACTCATTCAGCTCTCTTAAAAAGGTGCAAACAGACTCAACCACTACTCCGGTCTCCCTGTTTCTCCTCTAGTGCGTTAATGTGCTGAGAGTCCTATCACGAAAAAAATTCATTGACTTTTTTGGAGATATTTTTTTATCCGTTTATAAAGCTGGCTGGAGTAGAGTTGGTTTTGCGCCATCGTCAATCGGAGGAAGCTACGGGTTGCAAAGGGTGAAAGAGTGAAGAAATATGCCGTGCTTAAACCTCTCCACTAACGTTAGCCTCGACGGCGTCGACACCTCCGCCATTCTCTCCGAGGCCACCTCCTCCCTCGCCAAGCTTATCGGCAAACCTGAGGCCGTACGGTCGTCCTCCATTCCTCTGTTCATTTCCATCCTCATTTCCCGACGTTTCTACACCCCCCCGGCAATTTTCTTGTCTAGTGTTCCTATTCTTTCTTTTTTTTTCCGTTTTTTCAAGCATGATTTAGGAGTTTCGGTTCTTGCTATCTTTGCTGTAAGTTCGTAAATCACTAAATTGGTACATTTCGTTCCCGCTTCTGCTGGGATAGATGGTCGTCTATCTGTTTTCTTCGTTTGCTAAGTGGTAATTATTAATTTGGTTTGATGGGAATTACCCCTTTATCAGAGATTATACTGTTATCTCAAACAAGAGACTTTGTTCAGTAATTCTCATAAGGCTCTATGGAATTTTAGGTATGTCGGATATTTTGTCAAGCTTTGGTGTATTTCCCGACTCTTGATAATTTATCTGGTGAATATTTCTTGAAGGGTCTATATATAATTTGATTAATTTCACATCTGAAAATTTTCACGAGGCTTTTTATGAAGTTGTAAATTCCTTGATTAAATATTATAAAGTTTGTCATGTTACTATTCCTACATCTGGAGGCATCTAAGTTGCAAGGTATTTTGAATTTTTTTTTGGCTTAATTTCTAGGTATGATTCGGAATTCTTGAGTTTAAATTTACGCCTTCTATCTGTGAAGTTTCCTAGTGATGATGATCTCACCGAATTTGAACTTTATCAAACTGATCATTTTTCTTGAGTGTGAAGAATGCTTTTGGGAAGATCCAGAAACCTGATGTTTTAGATAAACAAAATGACTCTTTATACTTTGGTGAATGATGTTTCTATTTTGCTGACACACCTATATACATAGGCACTTGTTTTCTCCTGTTTTAGAGTGTCCTTATGCCTTTATATTGTGCTCTTTCTCGTATTTGCAGTATGTAATGGTTGTCCTGAAAGGATCGGTGCCCATATCTTTTGGTGGGAATGAACAGCCAGCTGCTTATGGTGAACTGGTGACCATTGGTGGTCTTGGCCCCGACGAGAACAAGAAGCTTAGTGCTGCAATTTCCTCAATTCTTGAAACCAAGTTATCTGTTCCCAAGTCACGGTTCTTCTTGAAATTCTATGGCTCGAAGGCAAGTTTACCTATAACGTCAAGTTGTCCTGAAAATATAGGAAGAATTACTCTGTTGCTCTTTCCTTATTTCACTCTTCATCTTTCTTTAGGTGAATATATGTCAAGAATATGCAATATTTTCATGCTTTTCCCCAGTACTAGATTACTTAAAATAAATCTTTACTGTTCAAGACTTAGTGTAGCTCCTTTCTGCTGTTCTTGGTGACAAAAACCTTAGGTTGACCTGATTATCTACCGTTTTGGGAGAGTCATGTCTCAAAAATTAACTAACAAGGTTGCAGTCCTTTTATAATTCCATACTTCCAATTTAGAATCCACAGTCCCATTTGGATGGATGCTAAAAGCTCCGATAACATTAATACTCCGGGAGAACCCGACTCTAAAAGTTAGATTGTGAGATTCTTATTTTTGGCCCATAGATTATGAGATTGGAGAACTTGTGATTCACGTAAGCTCTACAATTAAATCTGATGCTTATGATGGGGAGCTGAAGCCCTATACCTTGTACGTAGTTGACTCATCTTCAAAGGAGATAACTTAAGTCCATCGTGAACAGACAACCAAACGTACAAGCATGTATGCTCATCATGAACTTCATCAACTAAAAAAAATCTTGCGTGCTTGATAATCCAACTTATATCTGTCCATTTAATGTACATTGGTTTCTTGCTGATTGACGGTGCTTTTTTGTTGTGCAGGGTTCCGAATTTGGGTGGAATGGATCTACATTCTAATTCCGTTTTACTTTGGCTGTGGGGGATTCAGTGTTGGATATATTCGCTGTTTGTAAATGTCATGTCATGAGTACTCCGACTTTCTGATCATGAATGGTGACTTTGGGAGGAAGCGTGAGGGAAAATGAAGAAAATATGAATCTTACTCTAGAATAACTAAGCAGTGTGCTTTGCATGAATTTGAAATGAATGGCATCATGGACGTTGGTTGTGGCTTTTTAAAAATTCTATATCATATGTTCATCTTTATCTACGTATGGTTGTGGAGGATGTGCTTGATACGCTGCAAGTATGATAGCATATAGCGGAAAAAAGCAAAGTAATAGTATGGGTAGTGTTTTGTTAATAAAACAAAAGTACAAAAGTTGCTCTTTTCTTCCGTTGTTGTCTTCTTTGCGTTTGAAATTTGATCCTCGCATGTTTTCGCCATTGTGTATGGAAATAACACTAAGTATAGTATTCACCTTTTCTGGCAATAGCCATGAAGTCAGTGATCCAAGGAGAGGGAGAGATTAACGATACTACTTTGTTTTAATTTCCATTCTCTCTCATTCTTTCTCCTAAACACCGAAGTACATTCTAACAAAACAAACGTACAAAATGATCACTATTCATGCTCCGAGCACAAGGATCCAATCTTGGAAACATTATCCAAGGGAAATCAGTGCTCTTAAATCCGATTACCTGTAGCCGTATTTGACCCCTCGCTTGCACGTTGCAAAACCTCCCAAAAAAAAAACAAGGGTTAATATAATTTTCAGTCTTTTAAAATTGTCCTCATCTCGGTTTTGATCCTTTAAATTTTAAATTATAGGTTTTGGTTCTTTGAAAGGCAAAATGATTAAAGTTTTTATTAGATTATAAGAACTAAGGTTATAAATGAAAAGAAACTTAAGAGATCAAAATCTATAGTCAAAACTTAAGGGACCAAAATCTATAGTTCGAAACTTAAAAGACCAAAACTAAAAAGAAAACAAACTTAAAGAAACTGAAATTTGTATTATCCACAGAAAATTTGTAATCATCTCGATACTTTTATTAAGCTTTCCACCGCCGGCTTCATTTCTGTTGTTGCTATTTTATCTCTGTTTCAATTTACATGATTAATTATTAATAATCCTGATGCCGAGCTGTGGATCGAATGGGGTCTATTACGGCGGTGGAGTCCAGGCAAAGGCAGAACATGGACAATAATGGTTGTCAATTATAAGGGACTAGCTCGGCTGTGCCTTACAGGCTGGCGAATGTGTTGAAGATATAAAATTAATGGGCTTTATCTGTCAGACTGGCTTCTTAAATCTCCGATTGTTCCGATTGATTGTACTATATGGAATTACTCTTCCGGTCTTTATTATAAGACCCAATTTGACTTTTTATTTAGTCTTAATTATAAGACCCAATCCATTTTGTCTCTTATATTTATGCATTTTTTTCCAAGATAATCCTTCTAATAATGATAGTTTTAGCCAATATACTTAATTAGCAATGATATTTTAGGAATGACAACACTTATTTATTATAAATAACCAACTTAACTTACTTCCTTAATCTCCTCAAATAAGTCAATTGGGTCTCATAATTAGGACCGGAGGAGTATTATTTTAGCAAGAGATTTGATTTTGGTCCAGAAAGAGAGATTCCCAGACAGATATCAACGCGGAGGTGTTGGATGTGCCCAAACAGGAGAAAGAGAATGGCAGATATAACCAGCTCATGTTGCTTTTCATACCCATGTGATGTTCTCAAGTAACCAAGCAACTCAATGTTAATATAAGAGAACACCGGAGCAAGACTAACAAAAAGTGACTCTCGCTTGTATTAAAAAAATCACAAAAAAAAGACCGCTGAAATTAAAAAATTGTACACAAGAATCCGTTCACATAAATCATTATTAAAACACAAACTATTATTATTAAAACACATATTAATATTGTAACAGTTTTCTATTTATAATTTTTTTTATTTTGACGGTCTTTTTTTGTGATTTTCCCTTTGTATTATGTTAGCTAATAATGACATTGGTGATATTGATAATTTATAAAGATATCTTACTATTCTTAACGCAGACTTCTTTCAAACTTGGCATATAAAAAATAATTAAAGGATTAAATTGAAAATTTGGGGTGGAAAGTGGAAACAATATTACAAGTCAAGAAGATTTCAGGAATAAGCCACCATTAACTTATTGAAAAAATATAGAGTCAGGAATAGATTGTAAGAAATTAGAAAACCCAAAAAAAAAAAATAGTGGGAGGAGCAAACTCACGTGAAAAGGGAGGAGGGAATAGCAGCGACCATGCAACTGATCGGCGTTTGCCGTTTTCTTTCCGCGCTTTCCTTCAAGGAGTATCTATCATCGTACGTCCCTTTGAATTCCTTCCTCATCTCACAACACAAAATTCTGTGAAACGACTTTTCTAATTTCTTACGTTAAACCCTTACCTCCCAATCGCCGTCCCTCTTTCCCCTCTCTCTCTCTCTTCTCCCCTCTCCCGCTTCAAATACCATTTTCTCAACTGTCAATTTCTCTTCTTCATTCCCATTTCATTTTCCCTCTGTCTCTCCCTCTTGATTCGTTCCCATCCTAAATGGCCGCTTCAGCCCCGTCCGTCCTCCCCATTACCAGTACCCAATCCGCCGGAGCCGGCAACCCTGTCATTGAAGTTCAGCCCCCACTACGTGCCTTCATCTCCAAAGCCTCCGATTCCCTCCGCCACAGCCTCTCCCAGCGCCGTCCCTGGGCCGAACTCCTCGACCGTACCGCATTCTCTAAACCCGAGACCTTATCCGAAGCCACCTTCCGCATCCGCAAGAACTTCTCCTACTTCCGCATCAATTATTATGCCATCGGCGCTCTCGCTCTCGCGGTTTCTCTCCTTACAAACCCTTTCTCTCTCCTGATCCTCCTGGGTCTTCTCGCCGCCTGGGTCTTCCTTTACGTCTTCCGACCCTCCGATCAGCCTCTGGTTCTTTTCGGTCGAATCTTCACCGATTTTGAAACCTTGGTCCTGCTCTCTGGTTTGAGCCTGTGTGTTGTGTTTCTGACCAGTGTTGGGTCGATTCTGGTGTCGTCGGTGATGGTAGGTGTGGCTGCTGTTTGCATTCATGGCGCCCTGAGGATGCCGGAAGATATGTTCATGGAAGCACAGGAGAGCTCGCAGCATAATAGGTATGTCGCTTTCGTAGGTGGCGCGGCGGCAGTTAACGCTGCTATTGCCGCCACCGCCGCATCTCCGGCCCCTCCACGATAGATTGGGGGTAGTGGAACTTTCACTTGATGCTTTAGTTGATTTTTCTGGGAAAGAATTGAGCGTAGAAGAAATCTTTTGCACCAATATCAACACTCTTATATACATCCACACACACATGTATAGGGGAATAGCATGGGATTTGCATGGATTTGACATCTTGATTTTTGTTTTTGTTTTGTATGGTGTAGGATTTGTGATGTTTCTTCAATAGGTTTATTCGATGTTGAGTTTTTCGATTTATCTTAGTAGATTCTGGATTGTACAGAAGAGAAGGATTTATTGTTTGTACTTGTTTCCGAGAATATTCCCACCCTCGTCCTTCTGTGCACGTTGAGTTGAGGTGTTCCATGTTGTTTAGAGAGACCGACGTCTCATTTCTCAGATCGATAAAGCAAACAGTACAGTGCTCTTACCCTGTTTATGAACCACTTCTGATATATTTTATACCGATTAAAAAAATTTAAATTTTATTAACTCTTATTTAAAGTTTAACAACTTTTTAATTTTTATCCTATTTAATATATATTATAAATTATGTAAATAAAGTTAATACAAAAAATTGTCATTGTCCTGTAAATAGGACAAAAAATATCTTTTCTCTCTGTCCTATAAATAGAACCAAAGGATTATATCTAACTTCTTGTGTTGTCTTGATTGATTTATTTCATCTTTTCGAATTAAAGGAGACTCGCCTGCGAAACTTGGAGATCCGAATGTTACCATAAATTGCAAATGAACTAGTGACACAGTTGACGTGAGTTCGCTTTTGAACTTAATTAAGTATGATCATATAATAACTTTACATGTTACAAGACTAAACTCTCTGCACGTAATGGGATCACAATAAAATAAGTTTAATTTGCCATTATTCTTTGTAGACTTCAACCCATGAACAAGTTGGCTGTTCTGTTCCGTTCTGAACACAGTTTGTGTTTAGTGCTCAAATAATAAGCTCATGCATGCATTTGTACCTTCGGCCCCCCCCCCCCCAAAAAAAAGCGAGTCATAATATTCCCATCCTAAATACAAAGTTAGTTCATGGTCTGTTTTGATTTTAAATCTAAGAATTCAATTTATTTTGGCTCACAAGATTATAATTATTATTAAACAAACATATTTGTTATAAATAACTAATTTAATTATTTTTTAAAATGTTTGGAAATTATTTAATCTTCTTAGAACACATTTTTAGTTCTTTTAATTGAATTGAGTCCCAAAGAAACAGTATTATTTTTAAATGATGAATGATGTATATATTCTTTAAATTTCTTTTAACGCATAGAAAAATGGGTCTACTAACATAAAATTGATAGTACAATATATTGAAGATGAGTTATAAATAATATAATTAATTTTACAAATAATATATGAAAAATGAGCTAATTAATGATAAAACCTAAAAATAAGAAAATCATGACCAATTATAGACAATAGTGATGCTCACACAGACACACATATTTTTACCTGAAATGATACTTACATGAATCATTCAAAGCTTGAGCACCATATTAATTTTTTGTTCCATATTATAAGCTATACAAATATTTTATTTATATAATCTGTCATAAAGTTAAATTTACAATATTCACTTTAAATCAGGTGTAAATTACAAAGCAGGGACCACGTTACTACACTTTGGTGATGACAAAAATGTATAACGTTATGTGTAGTCACCATAAAAAAAAAAAACGTTATATACTATTATTTAATATTCTCTGCTGGGTTTTAGACCTGAAATTCTTTACTGGTTGTTCATTCACATAATATTGCAAAAATAAATCAAATTGCTAAAGACAATTAAAACTAAATTATTACTTGAATTTTTTTTTGTTTTACTTTGGGTGCATGATCAATTGAATTTTATTATTTTCCGATAATTTTTCTCGATCAATGCTTATTTGATAATTAGCTTTATTAACAACCATACACACCTAATTGAAGGAAATGATTATTATTTGTTTAGAATAATAGAATATGCATTAAAAATTAAGGGGCCAGTAATTAATATTTGACATGCTGTTAAGTGTGTCAATATCTGTTTTTATCCTGGAAGTTTTTGCTGAAGAGCTACAAGCATATGGACTCCATTTATTATTATTCCTTTAATTTTAACCAGCGTGGACATAGGTGTGAATTCCATTAGTGAACGTCAGGGCCCTGATATATTTTTACATTTAACTCACCTAATTTAATTTTTTAACTACACAAAACAGCAATTTAACATGAATGAAATTATCGGAGTGAATTTCTTGAAAATTAAAAAAAAGAAATAAAGAAAAACATAAAGAGAGAAAGAAGGAGGGAAAGAAATTATCAGAGCCAGCGTTGCTGTAATTGAGCATTCAATTCATTGAAATCGATTGTCCTTTGCCCCAAAATTTTGGCCGCTGTGGGATGCGGTGCGACGCGGCGTTGCTTCCCGAGAGACATTTGTAGGTGTGGCTCCCTGATCTTCTCTTGCCGCCGACATGGATGAGCTTCCTTTGCACAAGATTTCAATCTCAGGCCCAACCTTGGCCTCCATCATTCAACGCTTCTCTACCTCCCCCGGCGCCGTCGACGGCCTCCTCTTCGGCCACGTCACCTACGTCACCCCATCCACACTCTCCGACGACTCCGCCTCCGAATCCTCCACCCTTGTCGCCACCATCACCGGTTTCCTCTGCCCCGGCACTATCAATAGCTTCTATGACTCCACTGGTGCCGTCGAACTTCACTCACTTCGCCGCCTTCTCAGTGACCCTGTTCTCAACCACCACCCCTCCCTCATCGGTTGGTTCTCCGGTCGCCGTAAAACCCACCCCCGGCCATCAATGCGAGAATTCGCTGTCGCTGTTTCTCTTTCCTCCATGACGCAGCTCGCTTTTCCTGTTAAGAATGCACCAGGGTCTACCAATTTTAATCCTTGTGTGTTTTTACTTTTAGCGTCGCCCTTATCGGACCAATCCATCCATACTCATGAGTACCGGGCTTACCAATTTCGCAGAGGTACCGAGTCTTTCGACCCTAAATCAATGGATATAGTTAACATTGGGCCTGCGTTTCGCGGGCATTATGGTTCTTTTAGCCCTATTGCCCCCTTTCCAGCATTGGCTTGCGATTTTCGGAACTCGCCAATGAGCGAGGACCGGGATGAGAGGATTTTGAATCAAATGAAGAAGTTTTCTAAGGATCAGAGAGAGCTGGATATGGGTGCAGACGGATTTGACGTTGGGAGCTTGAATCGATTGGTGGGGTCAGAAGCAGCGAGTTATACTTCTGGCTTGGAGGATTTGTATGAGAAAATGCTTGTTAAAATTGAAAATTTGGCCAGACAAGTGGAAAGGAGTTCTGCCAGGGTTCTTGAGCAGGTGAGTTTTGTTGTAGCTGCAGAACAAATACAGTGATGTTCCGAGTGCTTTAGGTTTTAGATGATTGAAATTGCATGCGGGTTTCCTCATTATACTCCCTGACCTAATACGTTCAATTGTTGGTTTTATTGTTTTAGGAATATAATCAATTGTGACTTCTATTTAATAATATTTTTGTAATGTGGGTTCCAAAAATTGTAACCCCACTTATAGAGCGCAAATAATTACTTAGCACGGATTAGATTTGTTGCTTTATGAATACATCAAGATTTAGACATCTCCATTTCTTGATGTTGTTTGGGTCTAATCAGAAGCTATAAAACATGATGCAATAACTAATGGTGATCGTTTTTCTTTATTATCTCACAGGAAAACCATAATAGGAAGTTGAGATACAAAATTCTGAAGTCTGCTGTCCCGGAATAACTGTCTATATCATTTCTGCCGACCATTTCTTTTTTGTGTCAGGTAACTTTATTTCTTTGTATTTCAGTTCTTAAATTTTCAAACTTCAGCAATCTCCTTTGATGATTGAACAATTCATCCACTGAAGAATAGAAAGGAGCCGTTTACTTCATGTCAGCATTGTTATACTTCGTGAGCTTATATCCTTTGCATTGATGGAAAGCATTAACCCGACTAACGTTCAAGTTACACGAGAAATATTTTCTGAGACAGTCCAATTAGGAATTCAAGGACCACCGTAAATTTTGGTTTTGCCTTTTCTTGGCATCCCACAATTAGTTGATTAACAATGAAATAGGGACGTAATTCATAGTAACAATATTCCCATCCAGTTGACAATGTTGTTATCCTGTTGCATCCTCGGGTTTGCTTTTTCTTAGGTGACAAGCCATGGTCTATTGACAACAAGAGCATGACCCTAGAGTTAAATGGCTTTGCAAGTAGTGAGCAGTGTGCACAAAATTTATGTATATCATTGTTGAGATGGGACTTTCTAGCATGGTCTGGTGGTTCAATTTGTGTTTTCTCCTCTGTCATTCCATCCTGGTTAACTGGTTAAGGATGAACCATTGAACCCTCCTCATTGTATCAAATACAATGATTTTCCGATCCAGTATTATTTTCATCCAACATTCGTCTCTTTGTATTTAATGAGGACCTCACAACACTGCGGATCAGCAGTGATATGAACCTGCTATATTTTACTCAAATATAGTTATTAACACCATGCCAGGACGTGCGGCAGCCACATGGTGCATTGCCATAGCATGTTGTACTGTGCAACACCATTGGTGCTTGACCTGTGGAAATTTGTGCATCATACGTGCAAAATCCTCCGGACAAGAAGTCAATTCACAAAAGATTACAGCTGAGGTCTTGATAATTTCTAGACTACTATTAATTAGGGGGTGTTTGGATGGAAATCAAACTATAGTTTCAGAAGTGATTTTACAGTATACGAAATAAATATGTGAAGGAATTTATCTCGATTTGCGGAAAAGTGCTTTTCAGAAACACTTCTCATGCCATCCAAACACCCCTTAAGAATACCTACTACAGCTGTATTAAAAAAGGGGGAATACCCACAACAGCGCTGCATGCCCAGATTCAAGTCTGATCTCTATTTTCTCCTACCTATATGCCCTCTTGTTCTCTAATTTTCCTTTTCCGTACGTATGTAAACACTTCATTTTTGCCTTGACTGTGTCAACTATCTCTGTAACTAATTTTCTTGAATTTCTTGTTTGGGACATAGTTGTCTTGTTAATCCTTTATCCCCCCTTGTTTATTTTGCCAAGATAAATTGCCCTTCTTTTTCTGCATTCGGGTTAATTACCACACTTTATTTTGTATGTGGTAATTTCTTAATTTATTGACTACCACTTGGGCCCCTTTTGGTTAGCACCAAGAAAGGTAATCCCTTCCCAGTGTACAACAATTTGTTAAAACCCTATAATCTCTATGGGGTTATATAAGCCATATTCTTACATGGATTGTTTGCACATTAATGTTAAATTGAGCAGCATGGTGTTCCTTGTATGTACTCAAAGATGCTATTTCGCTCAGATTCTTTTCCTACCTTCATGTTCTTTTGTTTTTTTAAAACTGTGTTCCAATCTGGTTAACTTGATAAGGTGAAAACTATATTCATTATTTCTGATGCCCTTCATTAGAGCTTTGTAAAGGAGTAAGTTGCTAACTTGTTACCCTATATGGTCTTCATAACATCTCAGCCTCATTCTTGATAAGAAGGCAAGTTTATGGCTGACTCGAGATGTGGTCAGGCGACAAGTAGGCATGTTATTGAAGTGAACTATTGACGTATTGACATGTCAAATGAAGGTTGATGGTCCATAGTGGCTTTGTTCCTTAGCTTACAATATTTTGAAGGCTTTCTTTTTCATGCATATGTATTTTATTTAGGTTACCATTGTAAAGACCGTCATCAGCTTCCATGTATTGATCACTTGAAATCATGATGTGAAAATTTTTTGACAGAATATAGATGTGATTGAGCTTTGAACCCGGAGTAATGATATCATATGAAGGCTCAGCAATTATTTCTGCAATGAACTTTTCTTGTGCCAACAATATTGTTTATGGACCTCTTGCAAAAATTATGTTTTGTTATCAATTCGTATGTTCATGCATTATGGTTTTGAAGGCGTTGCCAATCATTTGCCGTTGACAAGTCTACATTTTGTGTGGTTCAAAGCAGAGAAGAGAAACGATAAACAACATACCTCTTTACTTGACTCGGATTATTGACGGTTTCTTCTGGAATCCTCTAGAAACATGTGACTGAGTACCCTTTGGTGGAAATGTGGTATATGCGGTTCGGGCAGATGATGTTGTATTTTAAATCTAGGGTGATTCCTTAGGCTCAAGCATGTAATAGTAATTGTGCAGGGTAGTCGAATTCTGTTCATGTAATTTGCTGTCATCTATATTTTGTATTGCCTTGTATTCCCTGCGCCTTCCTTTTACCGATGTTAAATGAAAATCTTTTCAGCTTTAGTTGAAATTTGCTGTACTGCCTCCGTAAGGTTGCTTTATAGGAGAGAAATGCAATCAATGTGCATGGTAGTATTTTAAATTGTTACACGTTATAATTCAATTTGAAATATACGATGTTCTGATTTACCAAACTTTCAAGGTAAAAAGAAAAAAGAATTACCTAAATTTAGGTATCATCTTTTCTTGCATGTATGGCTAGGAATAGTGTTAAATGATTAGTGCTCTGAGTAAACAACTTTGCTTAAAAATTTAATTTTAATTCAATCCAATTGTTAAATGACGGAACTTGAGCAATATATTAATCTTATTTGGTAAATAGCAAGTTTTTTAATTATGATGTTTAATTTGACTGAACTTTAGGATCGAATTTTGGAGTTACAGAGGCCGGCTGACATATCATAATTCTCCCAAAGGGTGATCGTTTTATAAAATATAGAAAAGCCGGGGGGGGGGGGACACAAAAGATGTTGGTTCCGTCTAACGGTGGTGTGGAATGAGTTTTGAACGATCAGTTAATATTCTATTGATTACGTGCAAAATCAGCATCAGTTTGCTTCGAGACAGCTTCATCCTCCTTCTCTGACGAGTACCTATGGAGAGAAAAACACCTTTAAATGCCAAATAAAGAATGTGAGATCACAACTATTTGCTGTTTGCTTAAAATTAAAACATCATGTCGGCTTATCATCACGTCCGTGAATATAAAACGTGATTAATTTTCACTTATCGTTATATAATAATTAAAATAAATTAGGTGATTGAATCAGAAGCTAGCTTCTCACCCCCTGGCGTTTGCCCAGCGGCAGAATTGGTAGAGTTGGACAGTCTCATTGGAAGCATGACAAGCAAGCAGCAGATAGTTGCGTGGTCTCACCATCCATGCAAATCTCATATACAGTGCAGAGTATATGCACATTACTGCACCACATTATCTCCTTCATTAAATCACTTTCGCGCTCTTATTTTAAAAAAATAAAAAAGTGTAAAATGCCACAGATTGTTGAATATCACAACAAAAATATCTTGGCGCTATCAGAAAACTTGATGGCAAAGCAAATACGGAAGAAGTTTTGCACAAGAGTGTTGTCCAATTCCAAATTCTGAGGAATACAGAAATGTTCGACCTGATGTCACGTTGGCAGAGATCATTTGAGGAGGTTTATTCATGTCTGCCAACCCCTGCAATGAAACAGCTTTACCATTACCAACCTGATCATCCAAAAAAAAAAAAAAAAGGAACGAGTCAAAGTGAAGAGAAACGTACTGCAACCACAAATCCAAGGTTGGCAACAGGTCCCCAGAAGTGTGTTGTTTTTGGACCAACTGGACTGTTCCAGAATGCTCGGAAGTAAGCCATATTTCACTTGATACTGACGCTCTGGCTGCTCCAACGGTCAGGACAAAATAATTTAGCCACCTGTCATTCGAACCAATATATGCAAAGTAGCATCCAAAAAAAAAATCTAATCGGATTTCCTAGGAATCTGATTCCGATGTTATAACCTCCCAAGATTTTTCACCCACCAATTCTTATAGCTTAATTTCTCATACAAAGTACTCAGACGACAACACGACTTGTTGAGCTTCAACCAACCTTGACCCCGGGGGAAAATAGCTTCAACAACCAGAAAATGTTGGCGAAACCACCCAAGTCACAGGGCGTTGCATGGATTGCAAGGAACAAAGAAAAATGGGGAACTACTGCTAATAACAAATGACCCAACAATCCCATAAATCAACAGAAAACTTGGGCAAATATATATATATATATATATATATATCTATCACACAGACAGACAGAAAACCGAGGCCAAAACACAATCCCAGTTCTCAATGAGATGAAACTTTGATGTGAGGGGTGTGACGAAATCCACTTAAAAGAGAAGAGGTTTACCTTATTATCTTGTGCACAGAAGTATGAGGACTGAATCTGAGAAAGAAGAATGGAATAGAGAGGGTGGTGATATGTTATTAAGAAGACGGTGGATTCAAAACAAGGCCAAATTGAGTGAATCACCATTAAATTTGAATGGAATAGATCTAAACTAGTCTTTTACATATAAAAAATTATCAACATGCAACTATCATAATATGTAAGCTTAGGCTTGACAAGTAGAATGAAGAGCCATTCCTCCCAAAAATAAACTGAAGTTAGTTCTTTGACTTTCATTTAGTTTTTGCTGATGCCTTTGTTATGAAAAAGAAGTTATGACTTTTTATATAAATTTCAATTTGACATTTATAATAAATAGTTGGAAATGTTTATCGGCAATTGCACAAAAATATTTACATTATTAAAAAAAATACACATAGCATGAAAACATCGAGTGTTCAAATATTTAGAAAAAGACTGAATAATAAACAATAGTGATAGATGATTAGTTTTATATTAATGCCAAGTTCATGAATAATAAATAAATGATGATTAATGAATTCATTTTATTTAGCATACTAGTTAATGGCGTGGTGGTGTATGATTGAATTAAAAACAATAGCTCGTAAAACAATCATGAATTAAATAAGAAATAAACATGAATCGAGACTACTTGAAACTTGAGTCATATCAACTTCACAGGAAGTAGATCCTTTATTTTATAAAATCAACTAATTTGATTCAGTTTATTTTTAATTCAAATTGAACTGAACTAAACACTAAAATATCCCTAATTGCCTGAGCAAACTACTTATAAGAAAAATTTGATATATTCTAAGTGTTAAAAAATGCCACTAAGTTATTCTTGATGTGAATAAGAACAATTTTAATCTTTACTAGTATATGTTTGGTTTCTTATGTTAAAGCAACCACATCCTTAACTAGAAATCATGTGATATCAGTGAAGAACCCAATCATTAATCACCCAGCCCCACAGGGCACAGGCACTTTATTGATACAGTATATGGTTTGGAAGAATGTGAAAGAGTGATTGTTGCATAACAAATTGTGAAAAAAATAAAAATAAAAACAACACTGTCAGGTGAGTTAAACAAATATTCAAATTATCTAGGCTTTGACCTATTGAACGAAATCTGCAATCAAAGTTATTTCACAGCTTATACCTGAGAATTTTGAATAATCATTTAAGGTAGAATATACACTTAATGGAAAACAGCATATAATCAAATCATTCTTGCATTTGAACGATCAAAATCAAAATGCTGCTCTACTTAATTCCCTCCCTTGGGCAGAGTATTTCATTGATATGTGCATGGTAACAGCAAAATCAGCATCAATTTTCTTGGATGCAGCTTCTTCCTTTGTGACAAGTACCTCAATAGAGCAACACTTCCATAGATGCCAACTTAGAAATGGAAGCACAACCATAATTGTACGCAGGTTTTTTGAATAGAGCTATAATATATGGATAGTTTTCTGGACTGTAACCCTGTGGTTGACTCATCAACCAAATTCTTTCACATCTCATAATCTTATCATATTGAAGAACTTGATAACAAACTCTCTCAAACATTGCACCAAAATTTTGTCTTTCGAAGAGACACAAGATTGAACACGATAGAGTTGTTCTGACTCAATCACATGCTCAGCAGGTTTTGCCCGGCAGGAGAATTGGTATAGCCGCAGTCTCATTTGAAGCGTGCCAAGCAATTTGCAGAAAATTGCGTGGTTGAACCATCCAAGCAAATCCCATCAACAAGATGAATACACGCACATTTCTGTAGCACCAACACAGCCAACAGGGAAGACTTAACCAACGTACAAAGACCAAAAATTAGGTTCATTTTTTTAGGTATTTGCTGTCATATTTTAATGTAAAAGCATAACAGGTGGGTATTTGTAGAAGTACTACATAATTAGCTCTATAAATGTCCTCCATTTATTACACTTTCTTCGGAAAAATCGATAACAAACGCCTCAAGGGATTCCACTTAAGTCTTGTCCAATTCCAGATTCTCAGGAATACAATTAGTTTCAACCTGCTGTCATGTCAGCAGAGATCCTTTCTGGAGGCTTATTCATGTTTGCAAGCCCCTGTAATAAAACTGCTTTACAAACTTGGTCATGAGGGCATGACAGGAGAACTTGTAATCCTGTATAACAAGAACATTCTTTATGGCCTCCAATCTAAAATAAAACAAATAAATGAATGATCAATGCAGCTGCAAATCCCCAGTTGGCAACAGCTCCCCAAAAATGGAATGTTTTCGGACGATCCGGGCTGCTCAAGAATGCTCGGAAAGAGGAGGCCTTGATACTGACGCTCAATAAAAAATAGGTTAGATAGATGACATAATAACGATAGTCAGTAGACTGAATTAATTGTTCATTGAAAAAAAACACTCAGACACAACTAGAAAGGAGGGTGAAAGATGGATGAGGCTTTCATTCTTACTCCTAACCTTGCCCAAAAGCCAAATAATGGAAAAGGAATGAAGCCACGAATATGATAAATATATACCAAGAAGTAAGGACCTCAATCATTCTCAGTGCAACTTCAAGAACAGATAAGCGCAATCACATCTTCATTAACCGTGCGCCTCTCTGTGTCGTGGGAGAGCTAAGGGGAAGAAAAAGGGAGTTCAGGGTGCATTTGATGCTTCACATCCGTCACCGGTAAAAGCTTTTTTTTTTCCCCTCACTCTTTGGTATAAAGTTCCTCTGCAACTTTAGGGTGAGTTTTTTGGCACCCAGTTCACCGGAGCTTTGCTCTGACTATATCTGGATCCGACCCACGTCGCACACTTGGCTGTGGTGGGTGAATCTCCCAACAGGGATTTTTGCATACGCTGAGACTCGAACTCAAGACCTTACTTAAGCAGTACCAAGCCGCTTACCACTTGGACCAACCCCTATTGGTTGAAGCTAATACTTCATGTCTTCATGTTAGGTTTAGTCAGGTCGGAAATCATGATGGGATGGACCCATTTAATTCTGATAGGCCCGTTTAAAATAGTGTAATGGATAGCTCATTAATGAGCTTTGAAATTGGGGCATGAGTATGTGCCCAAAAAAAACAAAGGGGGTATGACTAGGCCATGGATTCTGTGGATCAAGCCGTCATAAGGACTACCAAGTCCCAACAGTTAGGCTCAGCCTCCATTGTTTCACGGTTTTTTTCTGTTGGGCTGATGATCCGTACTTTACCTGCTTCTGCTTCACAGTATAAGCACTTTAACAAATTCATTAGAACTGAAAAATGATCATTAGCTCATTAAATTTGTCTCAAATTGAAAGTATTTTTTTCAGTTTTACTCATATTAAATGAGGTTTGAAAGAAAGAGAGATATGAGAAGTTACATTTAACTATTAATTGCATGAACAGATTTGACAAATAATTATGAATTACTCTTCAAATCATTTACATTTTGAACCAAATCATTATTCTAGAAGCGACTTACATTATGAATAGAGAAGTTAGCTAAGTTAAATTATGTCTTAAATGTAATGAATGGAATAAAATAAATAAAATTATGGATATATTTCCTTTTCTTTTTCTATTTTTGACATCCATTAACTTATTTAATATTTTATATATAGTCAAGTTCTATGATTGTAAAATTTTACGTGGATAAACATGTATATTAGTGGCTTTGATGCTACTGAAAGTTGAGTCTGAAAAGTTTTTCAGGATCAAAGCATGCTTTAAAACTTAAAAAGTATTTACAAAGATACCCACAAAATTATCTATCAATGACACTATCACAACACCTGTAATTTTTTTTTGGCTAAAACATAGGTATCCTCCTATTGGAAAGCAATCTTATTTGAGGCACTGTCAAACATTAAATGTGGACAACTCTCTCCCAACAGAGTTTCAAATCTTAGTTTTTCACATTATGAGAGATTAGCCCCTTCTACTAGGCCTAACTCTTGTTAGTACAACAACTACAATTGATTCTGTTTGTTCGGTTGCGCCCATGCGTAGTCTGGGCCGTTTCCATCTGAATGAAAGAAATGGAGGATGCAGAGCTTGGAGCTTTCTTCGAGATTGGACCAGAAGTAGAAAGAGTTCTCTTTAACTTTCCAGGAAATGGGCCTTCAGCAGATCCTTCCGTACAGAAATGAACAGTCCTCTAATTCATCATCTGGGCCCACAGCATTTAAGAACCATAGGCCCACGTTTTGGTGAATATCTGTTCTTTGTGGGTTCCACTGCGTGGTCCACAGTATTATGCATGAGATAGTAAGTAAAATTCTCTGCTTTCCCCCGATGAAAAAAAAATGCTCAACGGGCTTTGGATTGTTAAAACAGAATAAATAACAGCTTTTCAATGACTAGGGTTAAGTTTTCGCCGGCATCATTTCTTTTTTAAAAAAAATGCAAAGCTCCCCTTACGTGAGAAAATATATTTTTAAGAATTTCCAAAAAGTGATTTATTGCAAGAATTTTAAGAAAAATGAATGTGAGAGTAAACTACCAGCTCATAATCTGATGGGAAAAGAACTGGTGCTTATAGTTAATATCCAAATCAACTCTGCAATACAGAACGCCGATTTCAATGTTTTCTTGTTCTGTCACCTTTTCATTATTTGAAATGGCAGGCTGCGAGAGCACATATTTGCATAGAATTTGTCAGATAATTTGCTGAGGGAAAACAAATTTTAGAACACATCTGGAGTTCTGAAATTATCACATGGATTTAGGTGATGAATTGTACCATTTTTGAGGTGTAAATTACTTTTATTTTATTGTGACAAAAGAGTACCCATTGTGACATTGAATGATGAAGTCCCAAAACTATAATTAAGGCTGTCCTTGTTAACCGTCCAGTTCCTCTTTTCTCCCCCCTCATTCCTCAAGATATTGGTTTCTCCTGAAAGTTTTTTTTTTTAAATATTTTTATTCAAATCAAAATAAAACCCCTCTCACATATTTATTTTGTATATCATAAAATTATTTTTAAAATCATCGTTTGTTTTCTATCCAAATACTTGCTCATATAATAATCCTATTGCCATTGTCTCCTCTCTGCAATTTGAACTATTTGAGAAAGTCAAGAAGCATGAACAGTGCCCCAACCTTAGAATGATGTCCCTACTCTTTAACTTTTTTTAGAGAAAAAGTTGCAATTGCGAATTGTGCATCCAGCAGATTTACGAAAGAAAGTGATCGAGGTTTCTCCCTTCCAATAAATATAATCTTTCATATATACACATAGTTTTTCTCCTTATATTTAGTATTTTACTGGGAGACCGATGTTAAAATATTGTTAGAGGCAAAAAGTGCAATTCTATAGTATTCGATCTTAGGTGGCTTCGTAGATTAAGTAGAATTTCTCTCTTTTTAATAAGCTTGTCTTTGAATATGCCCTTAACATTAGTGTTTTTTTCGGGGGTAAACTAACGGTAGTGTTTTAATTGAAAAGAGAGTCGCCTACAATAGGTCTTGACTGGGAGAAAACCAAGTAAAGTGCTAAAATTCCCCCTTCTCACAATATGTTAGTCTCTTAGAATGAACTTCTTTTATTATTATTATTATTACTCCCCTGATTCTTAATATAAGACCTATTTAACTAATTTGATTAGATTTAAAAAGTTAGGTAAGTTAGTTAATTATAAAAAATATGACATGTTTTTTTTAAAACACCATAATCATTTTTCTTAGCTAGTATCCTCCCTCCTTCTACTTAATTATGATTAAGGGAGTATCTATATGGATAATTTAGAAAAAAATGATAAATATGATAAATAAGTCTTATACTTAGAACCAAAATCAACTCAATAATTAGATTCTAAGAGGTTACTCCTTAACCGCAGGGATAACGCCACTGTTAATATTTTTCCATATCACAAAGAGGTTACTTCTATTTTAGGTTAAAAATTAATGAAGGTTGAAAATTTGGATCCAAGTATGAGGAGCACATTGGCATTTTCTTTTCTTTTCTTTTCATTTTCAAGCTGGCGCCTCCTCATAAGCCATGTATAAAACTCTGGACTGCATATATTGCGGTGAATTATGCGTTCTTGTTTTGTGATGGTTAATTAAGGGATTTTGATGGCGTGAGTTGATGTTGTTAGTGTTATATGTCTTGTTGATTTAATGTGCTAATAATAAATTGTTTCATAATCCAAATTAAAGGAGTTTTAATTGGGAAAAAAACAAATTATACGATGGATGAAAGCCGCGTTGAATAAACAAATTAAATAGAGCCAAAGATATGCCTTGTTCCTTCCAAATCTGAAAAAGGCTATAAAATCCCAATGAATGAAAATAGAACAGTTCGAGACTAGTGCCTTTTTTTTCCTTTTCTTTTTATTAAAAAAAAGTGCTACCCCTATATTGGCCTTGCTTGTAATACTCTTTCCATGTTGTACAGCCCTATCATATTTAAAAAGTGTTTGGATAGAAACTAAATCATGATTTTTAATGTGATTTTGACAGTATACAAAGTAAACACATAAAAGGAGTTTTATCTCAACTTGCATAAACATACTTTTTAAAAGGACTTTTGGAAGAATCCAAATACCCCATTAATTTCAAGCACTTTGCAATCTTTTGTTTTTGTTTTTTTCAGAAGTCTTTGTTTATACTTTTCAGCTCCGGAAAGTTTAATATTCTTCTGATTATATAAATTAGGAAGAAATATTTTAAAGTAATCAAAATCATCATGCAAATCGGTTCTTTTTTTTCTTTTGAGTTACAAGAGAGCAGGATCGAACCTGCAACGCACACACTCCACACACACATACTACTCGACCAAACGGCTAGTGGTATCATGCATGGTTTTATATGGCGAAGAAAAATTCAAAATTTTATAGTTACTGTAAAATTATTGATAAGAAGTAAATTAAATTAACATGATTGTTATTTTGGAGTGATGAATAATATTACCTCCAATCCTTAATATAAGATCTTGTTTAACTTTTATTTTGGTTCTAATTATAAGATCCCAATCTACTTGGTTTATTATATATATTTGTGTATTTTTTTTCAAGGTAGTCCCTCTAATAATAGAAATTCTGGCCAATAAACTTGATTAACAAAAATATTTTAGGAAAGAAGACACTTATTTATTACAAATAACTAACTTAATTTATTTTTTTAATCTCCTCAAATTAGTCAACTAGCTCTTATAATTAAGATCAGAGGTAATACTAAATATTGTACCATGATACCTAAATAAAATAGAATATTGAAATAACTAGACAGAAAATAAAAGGGCAAGTGTGATATGATATAGTGATATCTTTTGGAGTATGGGATTGACCAGAGCAGTAGTTAGAGCAATAATTAGATGGGAACGAAGATTCGCGAAGACAATTTAGAATTATAAATATGTGGTAGCCTGCATATCAAACCAAATTAAGATTAAAAATTAGGAAGAGAAGATCTCCAGATTCTCCACTAGAGCTGTATATAATTTTACTTTTATGCTTTTTAGCTCGTGCAATGAACCACCGCAAGCTTGCAGCCATTGGTTACCCCAAAAAAGAAAATAACCTTCCCACATGTGCTTTCTTATACAACACTACATATTATATTCTCATCCCTTATATTCTAGGCCTATTTATTTATGTATTTATCTATTTACTTTCCTTCTTTATCCGAGGCCTCAAAGTCTTTTCCGCACACATCAGATCTGTGTTTATTTTATTCCCCAGGCAGCTTCTAATTAGGTCTCGCATTTAATTTTTCTCAGAATTACTTTTAGATTTGTGGCTCTCGTTATTCTTTTTAACTAATAAAGTGAAAAATACATGCTTCGAATTAGATGAATGGTTTCCCATAAACGATTTTTTTTTGTTGAAAAATATCGCGAAAGCTAATGTGTTTATTCCCTCATTTTCAGAGGCCAAATGGCCATTTGCATCTTGCATAGTGATGTCTGTCGAGGGTTCTACAATTTTCTCCAAACTCACTGACTTACACCCAATGAGTTAGTGGCTCACCACCCATATATATAAATATATATATATAATGATCACGTGTGAATTTGATAATTACACAGCCATTTTCAAGAAGATTTTGATGTTATCTTTACTTACCATGTGTTCTTTTATACATATGTACACAAAATTTATAAAATCCTGTGATCATTTTCCCCGATCGAACTACCAAAAGAACTTGTGAAAATATCACATTTTATGTGACTGATACATAAAGACAGACATCTATGTGGTATTTCACTATGTCCATAACTTGAAAGCACAAAACATCAAAGTATGAGTTAATTTGAAATAAATTGGACATAATACTCAAGAATAATCTTGATATATAGTCGCAGAAAACATCCGATCTGATCTGTATGTAAGTATGTTTATTAATGTTATCATTAGTTTTGTGTGAACAAAAGTTCACATTAATCTTCTTTATTATATTTTAGTAGTAATTAACTATACTGATATATTAAAAATAGTAAACAACAATACATTTTTATGGTAGTTATGATTTTAAAATTAGAAAGGTTTTTTTATGTGTTGTTGAGATTTTTGCATAAAGAAACAAATAGCTTGTAAGCAATTGAGAATGGAACGGATAGAAGTAGTGAAAGGTTATAGCGTGACGTGCACGAAGTTGGGAGTTTGGGTGTAGTCAACAATCACCAAATTCAATACACACATATCCACCCACGTGACCACCATCCATTTTCATTTGCTTATTTATTGCTGCTGGTTGAATGCAGACGGACGACGCCAAACCCAAGCGGGTCTCCTAAAAGGTACTAGCATATCCAGTACAGTGTTTGCAGCCCTTGCTTGAACAGTGCTCCAAAAATGAAATCTCCTTCCTCATTCTCAGATCCAAACCCCACAGAACCACTTCAATTTCAGCCTCACCGTGCAAGCACTTGACTAAAAACTCTATCTGGGGAATAATTAGTGCAACTTAAAAGCAAAACAACACCAGAAGATTGAGCTTCAAATTAAGAGAAACAAAAGCAGGAGAAAAAAGAGAGAGAGGGGGAAGAGCGACATACCTAGAAGATCTCATAAGGAGGAAAAGAGAGAGAGAGAGAGAGAGCATGAAGAAACCATGAAACTCAGGATGGATAGCGCAAAGAGAAGAACACGGCAGAGAGAAGATAGGTTCAGCCATGGCGCTATCCCTCCTGAGCTTTACGGATTCTTCTGCACGTAGAGAGGGATGGAGAATCAAATTAAGGAAGAGGAGGAGGAAGAAGTGGGAGAGGGTGAGGAGGGAAGGGGACGTTTGGGTCCTATTTATACAGCCAGATGATGGGGAGGGGAGAGAGTGGCCCAGCCTCTTATTTGTAGACAGACGTATATGTCCCCATTTTCAGTGCGATTCACCCTCAAGTCATTCACCCTCCCTCCGCCTTCCCTCCTTCAAAACTACTGTTCTCTTCCCAATTATTTACTCTCCCATTACTGCTCTCAATTATCTTGTATACCTATGAAATACTCATAAATTTAGTTTGGAGTGATTTTTTGTTTACCCTTCATATTTTCAGAGGAATAAAATTAATTAGTTTCTACGGTGTTGGCGGAGCATACACACACACACACAAACTACTTGTGATCCCAAAAATAAGAAGAGGAAAAAAAAACAGAGAAAACTAAAATTAACAATTGATGCAACTTTACCACATTGTTCTTATATATGCAAAAGTTTGGAATCTTACTTGAAGAAAGAAATAGCTAATGACTACTGATAGAAAAGCATTGTCTAGAGATTACATGCATATCATTTTTTTGTTTTTAGGATCATCACTATTATATGTGTAATTAATTTTTTCATTTAATTAAGATACTATTATAAAATATTAAAATTCAAAAAGAAAATATAAAGCAAAATAATTCAATTAATGTGGAGGGGAGTGAGTGGAGATGAGGTGGAATGGAACTGGATGAGGTGTTGTGGTGGTAAAGTCAAAATGGATTGACCGGTACGTCTAGTTGATTGCTAATTTATCTGCCACATCCCCACTAATGACAAACACAATTTAAATGGTAAAAGCATTTGAAAAGATTTATTAGCATACATTTACATACTATTCATCCAAAAGGATTTTTTTTTTCTAACCATTATTAACAAAATTGGAACCCCCGTACCGTACTCATAAAACTCCTTTTTCCTCCAAAAAAAAGAAGAGCTGAACTGTTGTGGGTTGTGGGCTAGGGCAGGCTAGTTGAATTTTTGTTTTCTCCAGCTCAACTCGTCATTTTACCTTCTTTTTTTGGCCCTATTTTCAAGCTTTTTTTAAACATCAAATTGAGTTACGAATTTTTATGTTAAAGCTGTTTCATTTTATCACAAGCTTATGTATAAATTAAATTATGGAATATGCTTGAAAAGCCAACTGAATGATCCATGTTCTAAGTCGAGTGACTGAACTTATGAAATTTTTAATAAGGCTATATGACCTAAAGAGGAATTTAAAAAGTTGATCAAATTAAGTCAATGCCTCTAGATTTAATCAAACTTTATTAAACATGTATTTTTTTGACCTGATATTGCAAATGTATTTGGAGAAAGGAAAGTTATTAAGTTGAAATTGAAATTTATGATCTGCATAATGGGATTTGTTAATTTTAAATATTGGCTTGTGCTCAGGTTTTTTTAAAGATTTATCGAAAATGTTTTGTGAAGAAAAAGAGGGTTTGTTTGCATATGGTTACATACTTATACTGAGTACTTACAAGCACGTTTATGTAAGCAGAAACCAAACTCTCATCACATATTTATCTCATATTTCATAAATTATGATTAAAAAGTTCTTTTTAAACGATCTTACTGCTATTCTAAACAAAAATGAAGTTGATGATTAGAATTAAAACTTGTGACTTGCATAGTGAAATTTATTAATTTTTAAGATTACAATATGCTTAAGTTTTTCTAAGATTTATTGGAAATGTATTGGTTAAGTGAATTGGAAAAATTTCAACCTAACCTCTTCAAGCATAACTCAAATCTCTGGTTCTATTTTATATGGGTCAGTAGGATCAGTGCAAAAGATTATAATATTTTCCCCCGAATTTAAGCTTCAAGAATTAATATTATTATCCTATCTGGAATTTCAATTCGTCTTGTGATCGATCAAAATCACGTGATTATATTTAACATAAGAAGTGATGACCAGAGAGAGGATTATATTGTAATGTTCCAAAGTCCAAATTAAACTGTTTGTTACGAAGAGATCATAAACAATTTCATGGATTAAAAAAAGGCATTCATGGATACATACACGCATTAATTATGAAATGTTAAAGGGAATTATATTGAGTAATAAGAAGATTTTTTTTTAATGAACGTAATTGGAACTATTGCCAACTACTACTCGATGCTAGGTTTCTCCACTGCTACGTGTATTATTGCTTTTGTGTCGGGGTCAAGGTCGACGATTTATCTTTTTCATCCTTCGACAATTATCATCTCAAGACTCGAACTATTCCAATCTCAAACTGGGTTTCTCACAAGTAATGATAATTAAGTCGGCAGCTTGCCTAAATTTCCCTCGCTTGAACATCTAGAAGTACTCCCAAAATAGGACTTCTTCCATTAAGTTGTAGCAGTGTACGTAGTACCATACCCTCAACATATATAATATTGTCTCGGATCCTTAATATAAAAATTAGTTTAATATTCAGTTTGGTTTTAAATATAAAATCCTAATTTACTTTATCTTTCATGTTTATTCAATTTTTTTAAAAGTAATCATTATAATAGTTGCACATATTAAATATTTCGTTAAATAGTACTCTCTCCGTTCTTTATTATAAGAGACATTTAATGTTTATGGCATGTTTCTATATATAAAGGACACTTAAAAGTTGTCTTTATTTTTTTTTTGTTGATTTCTTATTTTACCCATATTTATTGTCTCCAACTCACACTCTCTCTCCTTCCCACTTCTCTTTCTTTTAATAATTTACCATTGTTCTCTCTCCTTATTAATGAGGGCATTTTTGGAAAAAAAGATTATACTTTTTACACATTGATTGTTCTTAACTAATTTTAACTATTTTTTTTATCAACGTAATTCGGTTATCCGTCTCTTATAATAAGAAACGGAGGGAGTAGTTTTAACTAATACACATGATTAGTAATATAATGATATTGTAGGGAAGATAACACCTATTTGTTACAAATAACTAACTTAACAAGCTTTTTAAATCTACTCGAATTGATTAACTAGCTCTCTTATATTAATGATAGGAGGTAATGTGGTGTATGTGAATTGTTTATATAATCGGTGGAAATTTAATTTCACGTGATGTAAACCGCGGAAGGATTGATTAAGCAAAAGTGGGACACATCACTACAGTACAGTTAGACGCAGTAGGGAGACATTGAAAGGGAATTCTGATTCTTGATTCGGCAAATATATATGTGCATATGAATTCAATGCTCTGTTATGTATATATATATATATAATCTCCATACATATTTTTATCGATTTCCGTTATATTCCCCACCACATGTTGAATCATGCCATTTTTTTAAGTCATTAACTATTAAAATTAGGTACCCCCCTTAATCATTGCTAATTCGAAGATTATATATTATTGTAGGTAAAAAGCTGTTCAACCTAACCATCATGTATGTTAAAGATTTCATCACTTACATCCTTTTCTTTCAGATTACCGCTTAACTATATACACGTTGCACATTCACTTGCAATAATACCCTTTTTTCCATCTAAACAAAGCTACTGTTTATTAGATCAGTCCTATTACTACCTTCATATTTTCACGTAATTTAATTTATTTATATTCTTAATTTATCTTAGACTTTTAAAATAATTGATAAATAGGAGCAATTGTTTTTCGGATAGTTTGCATAAAATAATTAATTTCCTCGCCTTCTAGAGCTCCGCATAGTGTTATTCACTTGCTAATTAATTATACATCAGTGTTGTTCTAGAAATGATTATTTTTCAAGGGTTAATCTTACCATCGCGGGCGGTATCGAAAGAACCAATTTTCCGCCCTCCGTTTAAATCTTAAAAAAATAAATCAACACACGACTTGTATGCTCCTCTCATTCGTGTTTGTCTAAAGTACTTGAATTTTTCAGAAAAACTTTTCTATTGTAAAATATTATTTTTACCATTTATCAGAGCTGTAATATGTTTATAAATTGATGCTGTTTATTTTAAAATGAAAAATCAAGGAATTTTTTTTATAAATTTTATTGATTTAAATTTTGTTAATTTTAATAAAAGTAGCTAAAAGAGATTATATTGAAGAAGGGGGAGCTAGAATTAGATATTTCTTAAAATTCTTTTCTTATATAAAATGTGCTCTCTTGATTCAAAATATAAGTATCAAATCTTTGAAAAGGTTTTTTTTATAATAATCATTTTGAATTTATATGATCATTTAATGCATTTTTTATTTTTATTTTAATTAATTATATGTCTCTCTCATCTCTTTTTCTTGCACTTACTTTTCGTCATTTTTTTCACTACTTCTCTTTCTCGTTTACTCTCTCTATAAAAAAGAGTGTTTTAAAAAGATAAGTTATATTTTTTTTTTACATATTTATTATCTTTAACTAATTTTGATCAATTTTTTTAATTTTAATTATTTGATACTTATATTTTATATGGAAGGGGGAAGTATATTGGAAAAAAAATGAATTGAAATGGGGCCTCTTGGGGGGAAAAAACCAAATGAAAGAAGAAAAAAACGGATAATATAAATTTTGGTCTTTAAAATTTGTTTTCATTTTGGTTTTAGTTTTTTAAATTTCAAATTATAAATTTTAGTCCCTTAAATTTTTATTTATTTATAAGATTGGTCCTTATAATCTAATAAAAATTTAAACTATTTTATCCTAACTCATAATTTAAAATTTGAAGAATTAAAATTAATACGAGGATAAACTTAAAGTAGTCCAGACTATGTTAAAAAAAAAAAAAGTGAGTAGAGGGAGCTGGGAATTCGAGGGGTGGCCCCAATTAGGGGTGCGGCGAGCCCCTTTTCCATCATAGGGAGTACCGAGGCATTTTTACCCAAACCCTATAAACAATAAAAAAATTTACTTAAATACTATAAGGTGAAAAGTATTTGCCAAAATGCTACATTAGAAATCGTTTTTCAAAAGAATGATTTTAAATTTTTGAAGAAGTAGTTCATCTGAAAAATAATTTCTTCATTTTTTTTCAAATAAAAAATTGAAATGATTTTGCAAAAGAATGATTTTAACACCAACACATTTTTTAGTAAAAATTATAACTAAAAACCCACATTATTAACTTTGCCATCTCCTTCAATTTCATTATGAATTTTGATGAAAATTCCAATTGATGACCCAATCCCCTCTACACATACATTTTTTTTTATTTTATATTTTCTGCAAAACATGAAAAATATAAATAGATTTTAGGGTTAAGATAAATCCAATACTTTGAAAACCTTAAAATATTTTGTGGTGTATTTAACATCTAGAAGTATTTTTTAGGTGCATCCAACACCCTGAAATATTTTTTTTGCCTTAGTATTGGATGCACCAAAAGATATTTTATGGTGCTAGATGTATTTTTAAAAAATATTTTAGGGTGCTGGATGTATTAAAAAATACTACAAAGTGCTAGATTCACTTAGAGAAATATTTCAGAATACTGGATGCAACTCAAAATATTGATTTGTCGAATTTTCCATGTATTTGATGCTTAAATTAAATAAGTCTTTTCATATTTTAAAATAAGGCTCCTTGTTTTTTTTTTCTATCCTCCAAAACCTCATTTTATATGGTAAAGTTGAAAAAATTTCATTCTAAAACAGATTTATTGACTTGACTATCACTTTTTTTCTTATGATAAATCAGTTGAAGTGATTTATATTGAGATCAAAGAGAATATAAGCATATTTTACATTTATTTAGTTTATTTTATATATTAATTTTAGATTTAAGTATCAAGATAAGAAATAATCTTCCCATAAATTTTACTTATATTTTTTCATCTTTTGCAGAAAACATAAAATAAAAAATAAAAATAAAAAGTATGTGCTAAGGGGATTGAGTCATCAACTGCAATTCTCATCAAAATTCATAATGAAATAGAAGGAGAGGGCAAAGTTAGTAATGTGAGCTTTTAGTTGTAATTTTTACTGAAAAAAATGTCAACGTTAAAATCATTCATCTACAAAACAATTTCAATTTATTTATTTGAAAAAAAGAATGTTAGATAAAGAAATCGTTCTTCAGGTGAACGACTTATTCAAAAATTTAAAATCATTCTTCTGAAGAATGATTTCTGATGTAGCATTTTCGTGAATACTTTCTACCTTGTAGCATTTAGGTAAATTCTTTTACTGTTTATAGGGTTTGGGTAAAAATGCCGATTCCCGGCATCATCAGCTGATGTGATTTTGAGGTTTTGATGTTTAGAAGCATGATGAGCGTGGGGATGCTGTCGTATGAACTGTGCGATGGTGACTTGGATTTCATTTAAGATTTTAGATTAATACTTTAACAGAGGAGAGCGTGGGATGAGTTGACAATGATGAGGATAGAAGGCAGAGACACGTAGTAGGTGGGAAACAAGCTATTATGGTATGGTCATCCATTCCATTCCAGTAACATCACTCCTTTGGGTTTCACCGCTTCCACTGTTTTAATTCTTCCCCCACTATTCCCCGCCTGCACTTGTTCACCTCTACTCATCAACCCAATACATTACCTCACCCGTCATTTGATCTTAATAATAAGAGTTAGTTGACTAATTTGAAGAGATTAAAAAAGTAAGTTAAGTTAGTTATTTGTTCTAAATAGGTGTTGTCTTTTCTAAAATATTTTTGCTAATCAAATGTATTAACTAGAACTATCATTGTTAGAAGGGCTATTTTGAAAAAAATGTATAAATATGAAAGATAAAATGAATTGGGATCTTATATTTAAAACCAAAATAAAAATCAAACAGGTAAATAACAGAGCTAGTATCAGTAATTATGGACTCATGAAGATTTTAAAATATTAAAAAAATTACAATCAACGTTCACCGTTTAGCAGATGTACTTGATAAAAAACGTGTGGGAATTATCTGTTAAACAGTCAAACGAGTTAGCTCAACCATCTCGACACATGTTCGTAACGTTTTAAAATGCGTGGGAATTACTTGTCAAATGGTCAAATTGGTTGACTCAATGGTTATGACATTATTGTACTCTTACCATTTTAAAATCTTCATACATGCTTTTATATCATTTTTTTTCCTGTCTAACTTGTTTGTTAAATGATGAATGTTTTGAGTCTAATTTCCGTGACATTTTCATGTTATTTCGAAATATTTATGTGTATCTTGACATTAGAAATAATTTACAGTGTCTGGATACCATTCATTATATGCTAGACTATCACATTAATTCTAACACACTTCGAACTCGGGACTGATGATTTGTTGTATTTACAAAATTTTCATCCTGAAATGATACTACCTCCGGTTCTTAATATAAGATTTTATTTGATTTTTATTTTGGTCATAAATATAAGATTTCAATCCACTTTATTTCTCATATTTATGTATTTTTTCCAAGATATTCTTCTAGTCAATATATTTGATTAGTAAAGATATTTCAGAAAAGACAACACATATTTATTACAAATAATTAATTTAACTTTTTTCTTTTAATCTCTTTAAATTAGTCAATTAACTCTTATAAATAAAATCAGACGTGGTAATTAGGAAATGGAACGGGGCACAGGGGCCCTGACCAGATTCAAGAGCTGGGCATGCCTTTGCCCCTGCACTCCGTGGAGACGATACAATATGTGATGGATTTGACATTTGCTTATGTGCGCCATAAATAATAATAATTCCTTTTTGAAAAAAAGATGTTTCAGATCTAATAAAAAAGAGCATAATTCATTTATTCCACTGAGGCCATAAAATTAGAAAAGCGACGTGGCCATGATGTCTCTGTTCATTCTATAGTACTCCTCCGGTCCTAATTATAAGACCCAATTGACTTATTTGAGGAGATTAAGGAAGTAAGTTAAGTTGGTTATTTATAATAAATAAGTGTTGTCATTCCTAAAATATCTTTGCTAATTAAGTATATTGGCTAAAACTATCATTATTAGAAGGATTATCTTGAAAAAAAATGCATAAATATAAGAGACAAAATAGATTGGGTCCTATAATTAGGACCAAATAAAAAGTCAAATTGGATCTTATAATAAGAACCGGAGGAGTATATCGCAAGTTGCCAGCTCGGCACATAGATACTGTGGCGGAAGCAATGGCTGGGCTAACTTTTCGCAATTTGTTTGGATGCAGACATGGTCCCTCTTGGATGTTGTAATGCAATAATGAATACATGTTTGTACAATAAACCCTGTAACTTCCTCACTGCGCCAACACTACTGTTGACTTATTTCTTTATTTTCCCTTTCAGCTCAGCGTTTTTGAATTAATGGTTTCAAAAGCTTCCACCGAGGCCATCCCACTGCCACTGGATTACCCCCCTATTCAATCATTTTTGTTGTTGTTAAAACTAGGCACCTTCATGTTTTTTTAAGGAAGAATTCTATTCAAGAAAAGTGAGAGGAGAGGAGGAGAATAAAATTTTTAATAAGTTTGATTTAAAAAATTTTAAAAAATAGGGTTAAAAAAATTTAATTACTTTTTATTACTTTTTTATATTATTTCTTCTTTTTATTAAATTTTCAGAATCCCACCTCTCTAATTTTTTAAATAGAACTCATTAAACTTTTTTTCTCCCTCCTCTCTCCTCTATTTTCCTTACATCAAATAATATCTACGATTCTAATTATAAAATCTCGTTTATAATTAGAACCGGAGATAGAGATATTAGTACTTTTTATTTTTTTTATTTTTTTAGGGTGAACTATAGTAGTACTTTTTAAGATACACCTCTCCCGGTAAAATTTTAACCCTGGATTCACCGAAATTAACTTTTGTCGTAAACCCAACTAACGCCATGCCTTTCAGCCTATCCAGTCATAAACTGACTTTGTACTGGATAGTGGATACGTATAGTTATCGTTAAAAATATTTTTTAAGGAAAGACAAGGGGTGGCAGCTGGCAATGAGGGAATGAATGAATGGAGAGGGGGAACAAATGACACTGTTGTGAATTGTCGTCATCAAAAGTCAAATAGTCAAATCTACTCCTATATACATTATTCCTATGAATACGATGAGCCGTTGATCCCTTATACAGGGGGGTGGGCCCCCCATGATCCGACATTATCTTCCGTCCCCATTCCTCATTTCCTATATTGTCCTCATCCCCCTCTTGCATCCCGCGCCTTTCCCGGATCTCAGCCTCCTCCTCCTCCCCCCCTTTTTCCCCAATGTTTTCATCCTTTTCACCCTCCTCCCTGTTACTGTTACTCCCCATCTGCTCGTGCTTTTGTTTTTTTTTTTTTTTTTAAAAATTTTTTTCACTATTCTTCACCACTATCATATTTGTAGAGAGAAAAAAACTTAAAAATATCCTGCCTCCAGTATTTTAATCTTTAATATAAGATCCCAATCCACTTTATCTCGTATTTATTAATCTTTTTTTAAAATAATCTTTCTAATAATAACAGTTCCAGCGAATACACTTGATTTCAAGGATATTTTAAGAAATATAATACATGCTTATAACAAATAACTAACTTAACTTATTTTTTTAATCTACTTAAATTAGTTAACTAATTCTTATATTTAAAACCCGATGCAGTATGTTTAATGTCCTTAGGGCTGAAGGCCCAAACAGTTGCTCTCATTTTTCAGTTCACTCTTCTCAATTATTTAATCTTTCCTACCTACGCGCCAACCCTAAACATCACTTCAACAATTTCCTGCATATGGGCTGAGCCCACCTCCCAGGTCTGTTGAGACTATATCCGGCTTCTTCTGTGGGCTATCCCCAAGCCCATATTTCCTGCTTCAATTATATTTCTCATTCACCTGCCATGAGTGTAGGCCTGAATTCCCCCAAAAATCATCCCAAATCAAGCTTCCGACGCATTCTTATCTAATAAAATGCCCAGGTGCTGGTTAAATTTACTCACGGGCTGCATTTTTTAAGTCCCAAAAATCTCTGCAACCAAGGGTGATCGTCATAGAAATTACAGCATTCATCAACATCCACACAAGCAATATATGATCCTTTTTTTTGCCTTTTTCTGTTTTTTAGTCTTTTTTTGCTTTCTTCTTTTCTTTTTTTGGGTGCTTCTTGTTGGGGATGAGGGGAAGCAACGGCAACATCATCCTTTACATGCAAATTTTGTGGTTTGCCACAATGAAGAATTCCCTCCACAAGAATCTGCAGAAGAAAGAATGGACAACTCTCTTTTTCTTGTATCTGAAATACTGAGATTAGTTGCCATCACGAATCAAGAATATTAAGGCTTGCAAACGGATCTACAAGAGATGGAATAGTAACTCATTCCATACATCGGGTACCCCCGGCAGGCACCAATGTATGCAATCAGAGTAAGATGGAGGATTTGACAACTGTTCAGGGCGCAATGGCTCCCAAAACTTCCGGAAGATTGATGGGTGGCCGTCCTTTCGGTACTCTGAGAGCTGCGTTATGTTGAGGACAGAAACTTTAGAGGTTAACCTGCTCAGGAGATTCTCCACCATGCGCATCGTTGGCAGATCAGAGCCACTTCCCCAGTATCCCGCAACATCAATAGGCTGCTTCTCCCCATAACAGTTTCCCTCACTCCCTGGCTTCCACTCTCTGCTCCTGCATATAATTTTTAGGGCTCAGCCCAGTCAGACATGTAGAGCAAAAAATGTTTTTATCACCAGGAACGGCAATAGTCAAAACTTGACAGATATTTCTCTTTTGGATGGGATTCAATGCAAGGGAAGAACAAATGAATAACTGAACTGCATTATAAATTATAAATTTATACAATTATCAGTATGAAGTGAACTGGTTTCACTTTTTCCCTAGTTATGCTCAACAGTGTCCTTGGGAATCGATCAGGCAAAGTTCCTTGTTACGCAATCTCAAGTCACCCTTTACCAATATCAGCTCAGTGCATTGAGAATTTTATTCTTAGACGGTCCTATGATATCGAATCCAAGTTGACAAGGAGAAATATTATCTCCTAAAGTAGGTCTTGCATTTACATTTAGGACCAGAGGAGTAGTTCACAGACTAAGTATTCCACTTCTGAGAATCATCCTAAACAATTACCTGGATCCAACAATAAGAGGCCCATTGCTCAAGCTAGTTGGATTAACTTGGCAATGTTGGCTTATATATATTTAAAAAAAAAAAAAAACTTGGCAATGTTGGCATAATCTACACCAAATGAAAATAGGGATGTAGTCCAAGTCCCATCAATAAGAAAGTTGGTTCCTGAAAACTCTAGAGAGAAGATCTTTTAAATGAGGAAAAAAACTCACTGCCATAAATTTAGTACGGGTTCATGACACTGCAAAATTTGATGAGAGATTCGTTCAGTCATAGAAGCTAGCCAGCCAGGGGAGAGGGAACAGTCACCAAGATCACGGTCACTAATCATGACCAACTAAAACGGACTAACCACGATGAAACAACCTTGACGATCATTTATGTAAGTGTAGTTCTCAAGTATTTAGCCACAAAGTTCTTCAATAGTGGAGGAGCTTCATTGAAGGGTCAGTATTGTGGTGTTGAGCCCGAAATGTGTTCACATGTTACAATTTTGTTATAGAACTTAGTAAGGTAAAAGTTAACAGACACCTAATGAATTAAATAGTGAGTTATCTGACAAGCAATTAGCTCAGACTGAACGTGGCAAAAAGATTCATGTCTAAAAATGTAAATCGCTAAAGATGTTTCTTACTAAAAAAGATAATCCAAACCCCACTAAATACATTTAGATCTAAGGATGAGGGATAATCCAAACCCTACTAAATAAAATTAGATCTAAGGATAAGTGCTTACCAAAGATGTGTTGGGGACATGGTCACAAAGAAAACTCGCTTCTTGAGTGGATCAACTTTAGATGATACCCAGTCTGCCCAGGCCCCCATGGCCAACTCCATGGCTCCTAACCCATCTAACTCTTCACAGGCCCCATTTTCTGCATCAGCCCATCTGCAGAAGTACATGATGATACAATTAAATTACAGTGGAAAGATCTTATAATTCCATTGGTACATTGCTAAATTGATACTGACAATAGCTTGACCGGGCCTTGTCTCCACCACAAGTAAGTGTTAAAAACAAGTATATCAGCATGCTCAAACTGTGATGCGTGCTTAAGAACAGAATCTGGACGAATTATCCGCTCATTTAATCTGTGATTTACTGGATCGTCAGAATTAGATTCGACAAGCAATGGAGCCCAGAGGAATTCCACAGTTGCATTGTACTCCTGCAAATGAGATATAGATAACAGAAAAGTGATGTTAACGGGATTTTCAGCTATTAGTTCAGGTGATGAGCGAACATGCTCATCAGCTCAAATTCTTAGAACATGCCAGAAAAGGAAAATGTTCATTGAGAAAAAAAAAAATTTTGTTGGGGGGGGGGGGGGGGACTAAAATTAATACGAAGGCACACATATACATTATGGCAACTACAGTTGAGATAGCTCCTTTGCCTACCTCTGCTCGGAAAATTGTCAAAGGGGCATTTGGCGACATTGACCTTTTATCCGCAGGAACTACTGACTGCAACAAACACACCATAGAAATCCACTGTCCTCTGTTTAACGAATCGCCAACAAACATTAGCCTTTTATTTCTTAACTTCTCCCACATCTCGGCCACATTCCATCTGTTTAAAACAAGAAATCAGCGAATCTTGACAGAAATCATTCAGCGACTCCAATTTCAGAGGAACAAATTTTGTTCTGCTACGAACTACACTATTTATACTTAGTCCTTCATTAACTGCTTAAAAATATTGTAACTTTAATTAAAGTTTCTATTTTGAGCATTCAGTCTAATGCCATCAACGAAAGCGTAGACGATGCATAAATTGAAAACAACGGCAAGAGAGAAGCGAGATTCTAAATGCACAAATAGTCTGTCCTAAGATCGCCAAATTTTACTCGGATAAAGCCAAAAGAAAATAAATCTCCTAATCATAAATAAGGGGGGAGAAGGCTAAGAAAACGAAAGCACCTCTTCAAATTACAGTTATGTGGTTGCCATCTCCAGTATTGGTACCCCAAATCCGGCCGTCCATGCTTGTGACAAGACAGTTGGTCCGACATGTAAGGGCAATCCGATTCGTTGTACAGTGGGTGTGAGCTATTATCATAAACCCACTTCCCCGAGAAAATGTCACAGCCTTCAAGATTCTCTCTCGCGCTGCCGGATTGCTGGGAACGGTCTACCGACGAAATTTTCCTGCCACTATACTCTTTGGTGGAGTTGCATCTACTGAATCTATCCAAAATCCCTAAAATCCAACCACACCCATTTCAAATCCAAGCTAAAGAAGCACAAAACCAAGGAAATAGACAAAAAATCTCAAAGTCTCGAGTGAACAACTATACCTGAAGCACGGTTGAGCTGAGCAGGAAGATTGGGTTTGACATATGTGACTGGAGAAGTTTCTTGATGATTATGAACATGATCAGGGTTTTCGTGGATTTGATGTATACTACTTTCACTGTGGAGGAAGGTTGTCACGACCACGAAGATGAGGAAGAAAAGCACAAGCAAAGGAAAATGGGCCTTCTTTCTGTTCCACCTCTGCATCATGACGATGGTGGTGGTTCACATGGAAAGGACGAGAGAAGCGAAATCGTGGGCAAGGCCAGCGTTTGACCAAGTAGAACACTGAAAGGAACGTGAGCCAGTTTTAGATTTCTTCCTAAATATGGGGTCCGTATTATGATGAGCCCACGTATTAAAAGCAATGATGGGGTGCTTTACTCATGTCAGCATTCGGAGAACCCCATAAGACCCTTCGTTTCGCTTGATTTTTTTTTTTTGGCCTTGATTTCGCTTGATTAATTACAAAGGCAGCAGCCAAAGCATGGCATGATCAAATCAGGCTGGATGTTATGTTTATATTATTAAGATATATAGAAGATTAGGAACCACCTCTCTCTGATTAGTTTCCCTCCTTAACCACCTCTGCAGGGAATAATTGATTTTGATCATATCATGATCATTAATTTGTCTCTTGTTATGGAATTAATATGATATATGCTTTTATCCAGTAGTTGCCCAAATAATTTGGTGGTCTGATGCCTGACAGTATCTCGAATAAGATTACTTTTAATAGGAAGATACTTATACTTCAATAAAAAAAAAATGGTGGTGTGGTAAGCTTGGCCTTGTTCAATCATATTAACCTGGATTGAATTGGGAAAAAAGTACATAAACTTAGCCGAACTAATAATCGGAACCAAGTTGGACATCATATTTAACAGAAAACAGAATATTAATTTCAAGAGGAAAGTTATTAATGTGTTCCAAACCCCTGTTACACATGTGGAATAGAAAGGTATGATGTACCTTTGGGTTTTTTTTTTTTTTTTGAGCTGAAGAAAGGTATGATGTGCCTGACGAAGGGTACATGGGGACGCTCTTATTATTGGTATGTTATTATTTTTTCTTGTTTTAGTTTTGTAATAAATGAAAGGTACATGGGTATCAAAAGTTAGCTGGAGCGGGATTAGGAAATTGTCAAAGTTAGGATTTTCTTGGAGAGCAGAAGAAGAAGATTAAAGAAACAAGGCTGATGGCAGAATCTTCAAAAAGTCGGCCTTGTGGGTAGGTAGGACCTCATTGTTCAAAGCTGTCATTGTTTCACTTCCTCTTCGGGGCAACGACTTAAACTTTGATTAAGCATTCCCCATTTATATCATTTTAGAAGCTACGCCGTAACCTCTTCCTATGAATTTCAGTTCGCTGGGATATCATGGAATTTGAAAGCATTATGGTCATGATATTTCTACAAATAATAAGAAAGAAACCTTGACGATTTTTATCCTCTTTTCTTTTTCCACAAAACAATTCCTTCACTTCCTGAGATACCTCTATAATTTTGGACTCTTCTCTCAACCAATAATAACCAAAAACCACAATTCAAAAGAAAGAAAGAAGAATGACAAAAAAAGAAACTGAAAATTACTAAATCTCAAATCAGATTTGATAGCAACACTAAATTTGCAAATTACGACAAATTTTTGTTGATATTCTTTATTTGGTATTTATAATTTTTCAACTTTTTTTAATCATTTTCCCAAAAAAAAGGAGGAAAAAAAAAACCAAATCTAGCATTTTGAGGATTAGGAGACTTCCAATATGGTTTACACTTCAACTCCCTCCCCAACCAAAATGAAAAAAAAAAAAGAAAAAGGAAAAACTCAGACACTTGACATATATATGCACATTGACGAAACTCAGTACTTGATTTGAAATGTGAGAAGATCTCGAGTACCGTGTGGTGCGTACAATTAGGAGCACATATATGGGTACCCAAGAATCTGTGTGAAACCATGTGTCATTGATGAAAGATATAGGCATAGAGGAGCTGGTTCCAGACATCAGGAACACCAGGGAGGCACCAGTGAATGCAATCTGCGTAACTGCTAGGATTGGCCATCTGCTGAGGAGTTAAGGGTTCCCACTGTTTCCTATAAATAGAAGGATGGCCTTCTTTTCTGTACTCTGAGAGCTGTGTGATGTTCAACATCTGAACATTTATGCCTCTTGTCGTTAGATCTTGGAGTACTTCCTCCACCACTCTCATCATTCTCCGTTCTGACCCCTTCCCACTGTATCCCTCTTTTTCTATCATTTTTTCTTCTTTGTAACAGTTCCCATCCTCTGCTCCTCCCCATTCCTCTGCCCTGAAATATGGTATCAGATTTCAGAATGTATATAGGCAAATTGAGTTGTTCTAGAAAAGGCCCAATGGGACCTTCTCATAAGTAAATGAAGTATGAAAAGGAGAGGTACTTTTGATGAGTGGGTGACATGCTGACAAAAAACAATTTGGTCTTATTAGGATTGACGTGAACCTCCAACCAATCAGACCAAGTCCTGAGTGCCATTTCATACACCCTCACCATCTCTACTCCTTTGTAAATCGCATCTGGGTCATCAAATGAGCCCCAACTGCTCCATCAAAACAAGAAACTTGAGAATTAGCTAACGGCGGAGTAGTAGCTAGGGATACAGATAGAAGATAATGGATAATCAAAAAAAGGGATGATAGTTATGTCGAACTTACAGGACATTCATGACAGGTCTCTTCCACCAGAGGTAAGTGTTGAAAACCAGAATGTCTGCATCAGTCCAGTACCTGGCATGCTTTTCAATAGCCTTCACTCTCACAGTCCGATCGGGTACGCGGTGGGTGACTGGATCATCCGAGTTTGATTCCACAGTAAGGGAGCCCAGTAGAACTCGATGGTTGCATGTATTCCTTTATGTATATGTTTCAATGAAGTAGCCATATACTTACAGGACATTCATGACAGGTCTCTTCCACCAGAGGTAAGTGTTGAAAACCAGAATGTCTGCATCAGTCCAGTACCTGGCATGCTTTTCAATAGCCTTCACTCTCACAGTCCGATCGGGTACGCGGTGGGTGACTGGATCATCCGAGTTTGATTCCACCAGTAAGGGAGCCCAGTAGAACTCGATGGTCGCATTGTATTCCTTGTATGTATATGTTTCAATGAAGTAGCCATATATTCATTAGAAACATGAACAAGATATATACCTGACTGGTAAATGTGATAAGAATATGTGAAGGCTGGCTTACTTTGGCCTTGAAGATGCTGAGTGAACCATTGGCAATGGTGCGCATGGATTTGAGAGAGGAAGGGATTGCAGCGTCAAGAAGACAAACCATGGAAACCCATTGGCCTCTGTTGAGGGAATCCCCACAAAACATAAGCCTCTTGTTCCTTAGCCTTTCAAGCAATGCTGTGGCATTGAACCTTATTAACATAGAAACAACAAAACCACACAGACCTCAAAAACTTCATTCCTTCAACACTTCATATTTGTAGCTACACGCGAATTCATCTTCTTCATCATGTCACTCACGAATCATAATCATAATGAAAAATTTGCATTAATTAAACTAGAGTGTTTCATCTACATGAACTTTCATCATGATTTAAAAATGATGATTTTTTTTAATAAATGCATATAAGAATCATTATTATAACAAACAATGAGAAGTGACTAAAATTGGGTGTATATTATTGTGTGGAACACATGTCAACCTGGGTAGGTCACATTCGTGGGGTCTGCAACCCCTCCTCCTTTAATTTATCAACCTTCTTTTCCTGTTGGTGGTGACAAAGAAAAAAGACGACTTTTATTATCCATATGTCAGCGCACTTGCTCATAGTAGGTACAAGATGATGATGCATTTGCAAGTTTCCTCCTGTTTGCTTGCAAATGACAATCTTATTTTCTCTGTATTTCACAAAACCAATTGATTCAACTTCTGAAATTGAATTATATAGTGTGTCGAATACATATAATCAACCATAAAAACTGAACCCACATGTTATTTTTCAGGTGTCACGGTACATGTAGAACACCAGAGTTTAAACATGACCTATTTAACGATTATTTTTGAAGTCGTTCATGGAACATAGGCATGACTCGTATATTTCATTTGTTAAAATTTTTTGGTCATACATACATGACGAATAAATACTAGTGTATGTACCACTGCTATGTATTTGAAACATTGAATATATATATATATATATATATATATTAATAGTATCAAACTTCGGTTTGACATGACTGAGAAGGGACATTTAAGGATATATGTACCATTTTGGTTGTGCTGTTGACGTTTCCGCAACCAAGTACATTGCTTGAAGATAGCTCAACACCCATCCTCCTCAACTCCCTTCGTCTTCCACATAAATCTAGTGCCATAAATAACTTAATATGCAATATGTAGTAATTATGTTTTCTTTGTCATTGGTTTCAATATTAATTTTTAATTTAAGGAAAACTATTTCTATGGGAATTTATCTATATATATATAGTATGATTATCATCGATATAATGCTCTAAATAAATAATAATATGTCTGAAGAGGGGCTCGCTTTCCTCTAGTATCCCATTATAATGTGGAGAGCAATAATGAATTACACTGCAACATCTGATAATCGGTTCGATCTTCTTATTCGTTGAATATGCTATATGGATCCACTGACTTTAATAAGTTTCGGTTGGCCCAAATATCTACTGTCAGTAAGAACGACTAATCCCTAACACTGTAGATTTTTCAAAGAGATTTTAATATTGTTAGATGTTTAATTCCTTCTGTGGTATTTTAAGTAGAAGTGCACGCGCAGCGAAGGAGAGAAGTACAATGTGGGCACACAATTAAGGAAAGCATCCAACACTGGGATGGCTTTAAGCAAAGGGTCAGCTTCACTTGCGAAACAAGGAATTCAAACATACTTTGAAATTTGAATATCAACTCACTTTTGGTCAGTCCAGCATCACGGGTCCTCACTTCATTTACAAACTTCTCATCATCGACCCCATTTTAGAACAATTTGAGCAACTTGCAAGGTGATTTGAACAAGCAAAATAAGTTGGGTTTTATATGTGCTCTTTTGGCGTACCATTTTCTTTTTTCTTTTTGTTAAATTGTCCTGCAAAAAGTTCGAGGTTTTTTTTAGTTGTAAATGCATTTTTAAATAGAGGATTAAGGTGTATCTAGCACCTTAAAATATTTTGTGATACATCTAGTTTCCTGAAATATTTTTCAGCTGCATCTAGTACTTTAAAGTTTTTTTTTTTGCCTCGATGTTGGATGCCCTAAAAACTATTTCAAGCTATTGGACGCACATAAAAAAATATTTTAAGATACTGAATGCATCAGAAAATGGTTCAAAGTGCTAGATGAACTTAAAAAAAATATTTAAAGGTATTAGATGGACCATAAAATATTTTAGGCTACTTGATATATTTAAAAAAATACTTCAGAATACCGGATGCATCTTAACCCTTAAATAAAATATATTTAAAAAAAATACTAAGAGAGAAACTGTATCTCCGTTTTGATCCTGGGATCGTGCCTCCATACGGAGAGGCGAAGGTGAGGGTATGCACCATACGTTGCGCTCTAACTTACAGGCTTCAAACATTTTCAGGTCAAAAAGAAAAAGGCTCCAAAATTTTTGAGAATGGTGAAGAATCTCATGTATGTGATGCCTTCTTCAAGACTTCCCATTTCCTCTTTAACTAGAACCTAAATTGATTCTTTTTGAAATCTCATAAAATAAAATTTGAAAAGTTGAAGTCTTGGAAGCAAGGATGCCCTAAGACTTGAATATGCACCCAACCCAAAGAATTGTGAGGGAGAAAACATGAAAGGAAAGCAAAAGCACAAAAGTTGAGTATATTAATGTCATGCTAGGCTGCATGTAGTCATTTAGGCAACCACAAAAAACGTTACAAATTGAAATTGAATCCTTTTTTTTTTTAACAGCGAAATTCAATTCAAAATGTTATAGTTGTCGTTATAATAAAAGATATGGTAGTTTAGTTATTTTTACATTCATACACACACATTTACAAAGTACTCTGTCTGGTATTTATTATAAGTTTCAAATAACTAATTTAAAAATAACAAACAATTAGTTAAAAATAATAAGTAAGTTAAAAATCTAGTTTTGTTTTCAAATACTCCTCCGGTCCTTAATATAGGACTCAATTGTTGAGTTGGTTTTGATCCTAAATAAGACTCATTTCTCATATTTATCAATTTCTCTAAATCACCCCTATAAATACTCCTCAACCATATCAAGTAGAAGAAGAAGAGGGGTATTAAGAAAGATGATTATGGTATTTTAGGAAAAATATATCACATTTCTTATAAGTAACTAACTTACCTAACTTTCTTAATCTAATCAAATTAATTAAATTGATCTTGTATTAAGGACTGGAGGAGTATACCCTTATAATAAATGAGAAAAAGGATAAAAGAGAATGTACATGAAAATATAATAAAAGAGTATGACAAAGAAAAGAAAATAAATAATTAAAAGTAAAATTAAAAAAAATACATTAAATGTTGAAAAAACTCCAAATTAAAATTTATAAAATAGATTACACCTCTCTTTAAATTTAAAACTTATAAATAAAATAGAAGAAAATACTATCTAAACTTGTTAGTATTACAAGGGAAGCAAATCCTCTCACTCTCTTTTTTCTCGTTCTTTTCTTCACAAAATCTCAACTCCATTTTTAATTAGATCAAAAAATGGATAGTTAAAATTTAATATTTGATAAAATTTTTATTATATTAGTAACAGTTTGATTATTTGTATTTATGTTCATAATAATGATTTTATAAAACATTAAATATAAATCATCTATTTTTTATGTAAAGGTCAGTGAACGTGAGATTTTGAGAAATAAAAAAGAGAGCTGAAACCGCACACAACTTGTAACGACATACTCTTAAATCTTGTTTGGTACACGGGATGAAAGGGTTGGGGCTTGGGACCAAAATACCCTCTCCCGTCATAGCTTTCTCCACCATCTCGACTGGATCATCACCACCTTCTCCCTTTTGATCGAGTTCACCAAATTCTGGTCGAGCCCAAGACCGCTGATGGTCGGAGTTTGCTAGATGTGATCACGTGCCTGTTTGGAAGGGTTTAAGAAATTTCTTATAGGCATATTTCATGTAAGCTGAAATTGCTCTCACATATTTATCCTGTATTCTGTAAATCACTATTAAAAAATGACTTATAAACTGTTCTAAACGGCCTTATGTGGATTCAAATGGTATGTTTCCAGATGTTTGAAGCCAAAAGGTGGAGCTTGTGTGCATCAGACTTGAAAGGAAGGCGAGGGCAATTGTGTCTTTGACCCAAATTTTGTCTGGTGTCATAAATTCATGAGGATGTGAATGGCATTGGCGGTGACTTAAAAATTCGGACGTAGCAGAATGGGGCCAATGGCATACAGAGGTTACATGAGAAAGGGGAGGGGAGGGCAGGCTGGCAGACGGCATTGGTGTGGTCAAACTTAAGTACCGATGGGGACAGACTGAGTCTCTTCCGCAGCTACACACACGAACATGAGAGAGAGAGAGAGAGGGAGAGAGGGGAAGGTGGCGTGAAAGAAGAAAGAAAGAAGAAAGGGGTCACATTAATCAAATCAAAACTGGGGCAAACGAAACAAGTGGGCGGGAGGGACAGAGAATGCCCCACCCTTTCATCCTTTATTCTTATTTATATTTATAAAAAGCATCTCTTTCTCTCTCTCCCTCACATTCTCCGCTTATCTTCCTCCCCACTTGCACCCCCCAACTTGCATTGCCCGACGACGTTCCCATTCATTCCTCCCTCTCCCTCCCACCAAATGATGACATCACGTCTCTTCCTTCATTCCCCTTCCCCCATTTTTGTTATATACAACCCCCCCTCTCTCTCTTTTCTAATAAATTAAATTTTATTCCATCATATACACACCTAAAATTAGCTGTGTCTATACTTCTTTCTTCTCATCCAATTCTTAACAACACCCCCTCCCCAAAACGCACCGTCGTTGATTCCTTCATTTTGGTCCCTTTTACTCATTCCTGATCTGTCTCCTTCATAAAATAAGAGCAAAGCATAGAAAGAGAGTACATCTTTTTTATCTTTATGATAGATATACGTATTATAATACAGCAACTTGCATGTCCCTTTATTTCATGTGCATCCATCCCATCCCCCATTATTATTTACTCAGAGAAAAGCTCGCCCTACAGCCGATCACAGCTACTGATTGGCTCTATTTGGAAGAGTGGTAAAAATCTCTCATAAATTTATTTTATATAAATCAAAATAAAATTTTTTTTATATATTTATTAAACTTTTTTAATATATTTATTTCGTATTTCGTAAATAATTATTAAAAAATTATTTATATTGAAAAACTAGTTATAAACTATTTATAACTTATAAGCGGTCCCAAATCAGCCATTACCTCGCGCATATTCCCTCCTCCCCAACTTTTCTTCCTCTTTCTTTCATGTTTCTTTGTTTGTAATAATAATAATAATTTATCCACAATAATTACCCTTCTTGCTTACATCACTTGTAAACCCTAATAATCCACAGATAATAAAAGATCACCTAATAATATCGCGTAATGATCCGCTTTCTCTTCTCTAAATTGTTCCTTCTTTAATTTGTTGCCACAAATTATACTTTCCAAACTGACATAATCGACATTATTCTCAGCAAAACTGCAGGGTTTGCGATCAATTTAACATCTTTATAGAGATTTAATTACATGCCGAATGACCTCGATCATCGCAATTATAATTTCAGCAATGTCAACTCCCTTTTTCTTTAATAATTAAACAAGCTAATGATATACATATACATATATATATAATCCATTCAGTCATCTCTTGCATTGCAGTGCGAAGCATGTTTTTCTGCAAGCAAGCCATGGGAGAAGTCAAAAATACTAAACCCAAAAAAAAAAAAACACCAACAACAACAACAGAGACAGCTAGCCACGGCGAACTTGCAATCCTCGTAATCACAAAACAAGGCGGTGCCCTCTTTTCAAGAATACAGAAGCATAATAAAATATTGAATTTCTAATTTCTGATACTATTCAGAAAATATTCTCAGTAAAAGAAGAAAGAAAAAGGAGGAGCCAGAAAGAAATTTGCTAATCGTCCATGTCGTTTCGTCTGGCTAAGTCCTCGGCCTTTTGCGCCAGCGACTGCAGGTTGCACCGGACGATCGTGTCCACGAACACGCACGTGTCCTCCTTCGTGTTCCCCTGCGGCACGTCCACCACGTACGACTCCACCACGACGGTGCCCTCGCCGTCCCCAGCGGAGTGGAGTGTCGTCACGGAGCGGTAGTTGGAGAGCCTGTGCTCCCCCCCGACGACGCTGAAGCTCAGAACGTGCCGCTCGTCGTCGAGGACCTCGAGGCGCTCCGTGCTGTTAGAGGCGGGGAGGCCGGATATGACGTGGACCTCCCGCAGGGTGCCAACGTCGCCTTCGCCGACGAGGACGTGGCAGCTCTTGACGAAGTGTTTGTAGGCCTGGGGATTATCGAAGCGGCGAACGACGGACCACACGGTGGAAAGCGGGGCGGTGATGTTCTGGGTGACGGCGGAGCAGCACTGGTTGGGAGCAACGGCGTGGGTGTGGTAGCGGGCCACCTGGTCGGGTATGGTGGCGATGGAAGAAGCGGGGAGAGGATCGTCCCGAAGGTGGTGGTGGGGGACGGCGGCGCCTGGATGGTTGACTCTGTGAAGGAGAACAGAAGATTTAGGAGTCATTTTTGATAAAGAACAATTATCGTGCGGGTGAATTTAGAGGGAGGGGCGGGGGGATCGGGGCAGTTAAGGAGTAAGAGTTATATAGTAATGGTAAGATGAGAATGAAGGAAGAAGGAAAGGAAAGAAGCTGATGATGGTTGGGGGGGCAGACTTTGGAAAGATGGAAGGGTTAACGAAGTTCATGTGGGATGAGCCAATTAGGGGCCAACTTGCACCTCCTTGATTTACCAAAACGCCCTTGCTTTGGATGTTCCCATTTACCACTTTGTCCCCACCACCTCCCTTCCATTCTTTCCCGCGTGCGTGCCTGCGAGACTCTTTTCTTCAAACTGTCTGGCTTGTTTCAAGTTTGAAGACAACACCCGACTGTCTCAAAATTCATTAATTTGATAAGTCTCCTCTGCGTGGTAAATAACAAGCTCATTATAGGTGCCAAATCGTCAAACAAATGGTGAGGTCAGTTTGTTTAATGACAATATTTGAACAAATCTTGGTAAAAGACGCTTGTATGTACGCAATAGAAACTTTTCACAATGGTGGATATATATATAAAATTTCAAATATGAGAATAAACAAAAATAACGAGATTTATCGCAAATACATTCTCAAGAAAACACATTTAGGAGGTGTTTGGTAACTATTAAAAATGTTTTTAAAAAACATTTTCTCGTAAAACAAGATAAATTTTTCTAATTATTTACTTTGTATATTATAAAAATACTTGTAAAATCATAATTTAGCTTTTACTCAAATACCCTCTTAATGTGTTAGGACAGGCTGAAGTTAGGGGACTTCTTTCTTGATTTTTTTTTCTGCATAAGATAATAGATTTAATTGTCACGTCAAAGAAGAAATGAAGGACAACGAAGCACCATAACACCATCTTTTAGGAAGGGTTTTAAGGGGCTTGTCTCTCTGAAAATATGTATAATTTTTTCGAGTGGAATTGACATTTAAAGGACGAGCTAGGTTGAGCGAGCGAATTTGACTGTAAATCCACTAACAATCAGTCTGTTAAAAATGGGAAGAGGAGGAGGGGGTATTATTGGGATTAAGGAAGGGAGGAGGAATGGCAGTTTGGTAAATAGGGGGGCGCAGGGAGGCCAGTGTGCATTAAAAGAGGATCAAGTTGCAAGGAGGGGTTTTCGTAAGAGATGATGACATTGACGTCTTCTCCCATTTCCTTCAAATTACAACGCACGCCCCACCCGCCCCAAGCTCTCTCTTCCTTTGCTTTTTTCTTAATCCCCTCTCGAGCCTTGTCTCTTTCGGTCCGCTTTTCAACTATTCATGACTTTTAAAATCATTACCTCAGAGCCAAAAAAAAATAAAAATTCTACCCTCAAATTAATTCGGGTGACTCAAAAAGCTAATTAAAATATTTAATTTTAATAGATTATATATTACTCCTCCTATCCTTAATATAACATTCAATTATTAAGTTAGTTTTGGTCCTAAATATAAGACTTATTTTTCATATTTATCATATTTATCTAAATTATCCCCATGGATACTCCATTAACCATAATCAAGTAGAAGAGGGAGAATGAGTATTAAGAAAGATGATTATAGTGTTTTAGGAAAAATATGTCACATTTCTTATAATTAACTAACTTATCTAACTTTCTTAATCTAATCAAATTAGTTAAATTAGTCTTATATTAAGAACCGGATGAGTAATTTACAAGTTAAATATATTATTTTAAAAAAAATATAAATATTAAGAAATAAAATAAATTAAAATTTTATATTTATGATCAAAATCAACTCCCTGCCCATCATTTAACATTAGAGTATGGATGTATATTCTTTTCCAATCAACGTGTTAACCAAAAGAAAAATTGCCGTGGCACAAAATATTTTGACTTTATTTTTTTTTTTTGGTGCTAGACATGAATTGAGCAATTCATAATCCCATAATCGATCAACTACTTCTCATGAACGCGGAATTAAAGGTGTAAGACGACCCAAGTAATTTATCGAGCGGGAGTCAAGTGATATTGATTTCCTTTTATCATTTTCTAAACTTATCACCGTCAAATCTGTTCATTTATAATTCATAAATGGGAAATAACTGTAATTTTTTTGGGGAATTAAATACACACATATATATAGGGAGAGAGAGAGAGATGAAACGAGATGAGAATTAAAAGGTGAGCTAGTGGAATACGTCGAATGACGAGAGTATATATAGTGTCAGTGGAGAACAATATTGTTACCATATAATACATAAAAATACTTTTTTTTAAAAATGATGAAATTTATTTAATTTTTTACAAAAATGTTTAGCTAGTAGGAGATATGAAAACAACCAGGAAAAATCACCAAAAAAAAATCTTAAAAATAGAAAAATTATAAACACGGATTGCTACAATATTAGTATTAGTTTTGATAACAATTGATAAGCAAATAACAATAATTTTTGTGAGCGAGTCCATATATGTAATTTTTAATTTTCATAGGTGTTTTTAAATGATTTTTCCCAACAATTAAAACCTATAAGTGTGAGTGAATTCATATTTGGCGCCCACTATGCTTGGAATGGATACGAAAACATATTTATGAGACACAGACGCACTGTTTTGTTTGGTATTGTTTGGGTAAGGCTAGCTGGGTAGGCCTTAATGTTATAGAAGAAGAAGTCTTAATTGTGCGAATGGCATAAACTGGGGAATCACATGTGAGATGGTGACCTGAAATTTTTTTTTTTTCTATTGTCTATCCAGTTTACCAGAATTTTGTTCCGACTATATCTGGATCCGATCCGCGTCGCGCACCTGACTGTGGTGGGTGAATCTCTCAATGAGGATTTCTGCATACACTGAAACTTGAACTCGAAACCTCGTTTAAACAATACTATGCCATTTATCACTTAGACAAATCCCTGTTGGCTGGTGACCTGAAATTAATAGCAGCATGCGTTCCCTTTGATTCGTGCCCACACTCTCTTCAGGGCCCCCATCTCCATGGGCTGCCCCCTTCTTCCTCTCTCCTTCGTACGCACCTTCACTTTTTAGGTTGGTACAACTTGTGTAGATATGCAATTAATTTGCCTTGTCCTTAAAAATAGTTAGGAATCATAAAATAATATACAATTTCTTATAAATTGGTGGAAATTCTAAAATCTTATGGGTTAACCTGACTCAAAATTTAAAGTTATAAGCAAGATCGAACTTGCAATTTTTTACTTATTCACAAATTTATATGACATTAGATTACAACGCTCCATCACATTACAAGTAGATGACATGTGTAATATCCTATTTGTATGCTTATTATTATTCTTCTCTAGTTTTTTTTTGAATGAATATGAGTGGAAAAGTATTCCTCTGGTCCTAAATATAAGACTCCTTGACCAGAAAGAGTATATTTATACTACTTCCGGTCCTAATTATAAGACCCAATTGACTTATTTGAGGAGATTAAGGAAGTAAGTTAAGTTAGTTATTTGTAATAAATAAGTGTTGTCATTCCTAAAATATCCTTGCTAATTAAGTATATTGGTTAGAATTATCATTATTAGAAGGATTATCATGGAAAAAAATGCATAAATATGAGAGACAAAATGGATTGGGGTCTTATAATTAGGACCAAACAAAAAGTCAAACAGAGTCTTATAATAAGGACCGGAGGTAGTATTTTAAGTTGGTGGCCTCTTATATATTCAAATCAAATATTTAGAAAGTTCATATTTTTCTCTCTTTCCTTGTTTCTTCCCATCCGCACTATCCAAAAACATTTAGTGACAATGATGGCCCAATGCTAATTGACCCATATGCCAATTGCAATATGACCGATTCCTGTTGGTCCCCCAAGCATAAGCATAGAAAATTCTTGTTTGAATAGAAAATTTTCTTTTTCTTCTTTCGTGTGTTCCGTTGTTTAAATTTGTGTAATCTCAGGTATTTTTTATTGCCAAAGAAGGAAAAAAATAATAAGCGAAATGAGTAAACCCGGGGTTCATATTTTTGGATGCTGCACGATCTCTTTATATATGCTTTTACATGTGAATTGGTGAAGGTCATAGATACATTGAGATGGCCGTGAGAGGGCCTTCAAGTTTGATCAGAGGTTGTGTTAAATGTCACTTTCCCGATAAAAATAAAGGCGAAAATAATCACGCAGAATCCTACTTTCCAGATTTTGCAAAACAAGTTGCAGCTTCTACCTTCGGTTTTTATCTCTGATTTTTAATATAAGAACTAGTTGACTAATTTAAATAGATTAAGAAAACTAGTTAAACTAGTTATTTGTAAGAAATAAGTGTTGTCTTTTCTAAAAATATTATTGTTAATCAAATATATTGATTAGAAGTATCATTATTACAAGAATTAATTTTAAAAAAAAAGAATAAATATGAGAGACAAAATTAATTAGGATCTTATATTTAAAATCAAAATAAAAGTCAAATAAAATTTTATGTTAAGGATTGGATGAAATAATAAATAAACATCTACCGGAATATTCCACCACATGATATCTGCAGCTTTATCAACAACTTGCTTCATTATTGGGAAGGTTTGCTTTCCTCTCGAATCGCCCGCCCCATCCAATATTTAAAATCTAAATTAATTAATTAACTCTTATACAGCATGAAAGAGTGAGTTCACTTTGATCCTCCCAAAATATCTTTTGATGTTTTTGCCGATCCAAAACATTTTTTAACAAATACATAATTTTTGGAGTTCTTTTTATCAATCATCTAGATTTATCTAGTATAACTTTATAGTTATTGTTATTGTCAATTAAATGATGTATGAATGTATCACAGGAGAATAAAAAACCAATAAAACAAATGACAGAAAAACGACATTCCAATGTTTACGTCATTTTAGGTATTATGATTAAAACACATAACAATGTATTTATACATAGGTTAAGGTGAATAAAGAAATCCTTAATTATTATTCACAAATGTATTTAACTTTATCCGAGAATCAGTTTTAACCGGATTGGTGGTGACTAATTAAGGAAATGCAATGAGGTATGATGGCCTAAAATTAAAGAGAGAGGTGAGAAATTGTGTGATGAAATGGGCAGCGAAGAACCAGGCTGGTTCTCCTTCTTCCTCGCTCTGAAATTTTCATTCGTCTTCTTCGTTCTCTTTGGGAAAAAGAGATCAGAAAGAGAGACTTTTAATTTAATTTGGGGTTCAAAATTGTGACAAGGTTTGAGAATGGATCAAGTGGCCAGCGCTGTGGGAACATATTGGTTTAAAGACAAGGCCACCAAGGAACTCTCTTCTGTTGGCAGTGACATCAATGTAACTATACATCTCATTCATCTTAATTCTCTCTCTACTTCTATCCATTTAATTTCCTTTGTTAATTTCCAGACTTCCTTTTTTGATTTTGTTAATTCTCTCTCTAAAAGCTGCCTCTTGCATGTTTATTGATATCCAATTTTGAAATACGCGTTCCAGGAACTAATATTCACAAATCATGACTCAAATTTTGAGTTCAGATCTCGTAGACCTTGCATATAGTGGGATCTATACTCCCCTGCGCTAACTCGTACCATATGAACATAACTCTGCGAATTTGATCTCTTAACTGATCGAATGTTAGATCTGGTGGGTTCCTATTCATGTGACGATGATGTCTTACGCATGTCTAGAAGAAATTAATTAGGAAAATGACTTTTAAAATATCCGTTATATGTGTTTGTGTTTAACATATTCCTATAAACATAATTTCTGTCCCTGCGCTGATTGATTTGTTCTTCTTATTGGTGGTTAGTCACTGACAAACAGTATCGAAGGAGGAACAAAATGGTTGGTCAACAAAGTCAAAGGTTTGTATATCTCTTTCTTTCTTTCTTTTTTGACGATTTTGGTAAGACATGTCAGCATTATAGTAGTATTGTTTATTTCGCCCGGCAACATTGGTTAAAATTAATGAATCTCGGATATTTATATGAGTGTAGGAAAGATGCAGAAGCCATTAGCAGAGTTTCTGAAGGAGAACGATCTGCCCATAGGAATGTTTCCACGAGACGCGACAAACTATGAGTATAATGAACAGACAAGGAAGCTGGTGGTTCACGTTCCAGAGGTGTGCGAGGTGGGATACAAGGATTCATCAGTACTGCGTTTTCATAAAACTGTGAGTGGAGTTCTGGAGAAGGGGAGGCTGGCAGAAATAGAGGGAATGAAGACGAAGATGTTGATTTGGATCAAAGTGACCAACATTGCTTCTGAAGGCCCTTCCAAGCTCCACATCACTTCCGGGTTGAAGAAAACTAGGAGTAGGGAAGCTTACGAGGTTTCTAGAGATGGCGTCGTTGTAGAAAAATTCTAATGCCATCCTTCCTCTTTCCTTCTATTGATTGATTATTACTGTGATTAGAATGATAGATTATCCCTGTTTCAAACACTGCGCTTGACGGAGAAGAAACTGTCGCGATTCATTGAATTTCAACATAACATGCGAACCGCAAATGTGGCAAGTCCAAAAACTTAAGAAAGGGAAAAAGCCATGCACCAGCCGGGAATCGAACCCGGGTCTGTACCGTGGCAGGGTACTATTCTACCACTAGACCACTGGTGCTTTCTGTCGAAGTGTTGAATGTAAAACATGATTTTGATACAAAGATCATTAAACTGGTATAATTGAGACAGGAATTTAATCTTAATCAATTTTGTTCACGTAAAAAATAATAATCTTATCATTACGGCTTGTAAAACAGATAAACTTTCAATGATTTAAACAGCAAAAATGTTCCGTGCACCTACTATATATTTCTGTAACAATCATTTATTCCATTCCCAGGAATGCAAAAGCAGTTGATAAAGATGCACACACATGTATATATACACAGATAGCACTTGAACCAACATTTGGTGGGAGGAGAGTAGGCAGAATCATATATACAGTCACCGGTTAACGAGACTCTGGTTGAGTTGTGGATCTCAGAGACTAGAGGATCCAAAATAGAGGAAGCATAAGTAGCATCAAGAATTTAAAGAGGAAGAAAGAAAGAAAGACTTGGAAGCTTCGTAAGAGGACCAGCAAATAGCAGCAGCAGGAGCATGAAAGAGCATCCTGGGTACATAGCCTCTGATGAGCCCCCTGTATCCTTCTTTCTTCACCACCCTCTCAATCACATCCCCTATCGAACTGCTGCAAAATTTGTCACACCCACACACCCCCTGTCACAATCCCACCACAAAGTTCAGTACTTTTCATTCTATTTCCGCACCTACACATTCCTACCTCTATGCTATATTGTTTTTCTTACCTGGCATTGTAGCTGAGTTTTCACTACATCGAGTGGCGTTGTCACCGCCGCAGCCACCGCCCCTGACACAGCTCCCGCTGCCGCGTGAACCACCGCTCTTTCGTCTTCTGCGTTCCCCGGCGACAGCTCCGTCAGCCCTCTCTTCGCTGCCTCATACGTCGCAAAATGCACTGCTGTGAACGGCGCATTCATCACCACCGTCGTACGGTACGACGCGTACAGGGCACCGACCCCTTCTTCCTTGGACACTCTCTTTACACAATCCCACACTCCCTTGTATGGACTGCTCTTCAGCTGTAATCTCTGTTTCACTACATCCATCGGCGTCATCACGCCGTCGCTCGCCATGGTGGCGCAGACTCCGGAAGCTGCGTGGGCGGCGGGGTTGTTCGGATTTCCGCCGGAGAATTTCTCTTTACAGACTTCGTAAACAGAGAAGTACACGGCGTGTGCGGGACCTGCTCCGAGACCCATGGCGGCGATGCCGCGATAGAGCCCGGAAGGGCCTTCCAGTTTCAGGATCGAACCGAGAGCTCGCCGGGCTCCGACATGATGAGCCGGATCCAGCCCTGTTATGGCTTGCATTCGGGTCTTGAGAGTGTCCACGGGAAACATCGCCATGTGCTCGATTGAACCTGCGATGGAGCCTGCCACCATGTATTGCCAGAACTGTAAGCCGTCGTGGGTCACCACCGGAGAGACTGAAATTTCTGGGCGGAATTCCGGAGAGGCGTCTGCAGCGGCCATTGGTGGTGGGTTATGAAGCAGTTAACAGTTACGAATATGATAAATTACAATGCAATATCGTTACTCTTGAGATTAGAATCCAACTTGTTGGGGAGGCTTAAAAGAGGGAGTGAAGAAGGAGGGGTATGTGGGCATGTGAAAATATCTGGAGTTGCTTTAGTGGGAGAATATTTGAGAGACGGAAGATGGGACGGGGAAGAATAAAGAGACTGAAAGGGGAAGAAAAGGAGCTTTCCTCATTGCATCTTGCTTGCTGTAATTAAAGAACCAAAAGGATAAGCAGAATCTAGGAATACCAGGTGTGAGGATAATGGCCAAGACAAAGAAAATGGGTGTGAAGTTGATGGGAAGGAAGGTGCAATTATCTGGATTGGCCATCTCCTCACACTTCTCAAGTATCTAGCTTCTTGCATGAGCTCAGTGTCTTCCGAGCACGATCCAGTAAATCTCTAAGAAGATATTTTACGACTTTTGTAAGATGATATTATTAAGAATTCAAGATTTATCAAGAGAATCCAACCAAGTGAATCACATCTTATTCTCTCTTGAGTAGGTCCTCCACATCATACGTGTATCGTCTGTCACATACATCGGCCCTCCACATCTATCCCTCGTCTTCTTATTTCTGGGGCTGTCTATATTTCTTCACTTTCACAAACGGTTGTGATCTTCTGATGAGTTTTCACGTTAGGGAGCTGATTTGGTTGTGGCCATCTTTTGAAATTATCACGGCTATGATCTGTACGCAATTACCCATATATGTATATATGTATGTGCATCTAAAGTGATATCCGCTTCGAAAGATTTCAACTTTCGGTAAAATCTGTACACTACTCAAGTCTTCCAAATTATACCATATATGATATGTTATGTATCATATCGTGATGATGACAACGAATCTATTTAGTCTGTTAGCTGACGCGTGTGCTTGTGGAATTTAACATACGAACAAAAATGGAGTAGAATGACGGGTAATGTGACATGCAGATGAGGATGCCTTGCCTTTTTGTGTTCAACATTGTGCGGTGGAAGGGAGTTGGTGTCCCCGAGCTGCTTTTCAAGAGTATCCATTCTAAAGTGGCAGTTTCTTTTTTCCCTCAACTCTTGCAGCACCAGTTTCAACACCTGTTATTCCCTTAACTATTTACTTATATATATATATTGAAGGGCTCATATTAATGTAAAGTGCCATCTAATGTGTATAAGTACAGCAATTAATATTTAAATTTCATTAAGAGAGTGTTTGGGAACCCTTATAATACTTAGAAAAGATGCTTTTATATCGGTTAAGACAAAATTCTTCTCACATACTTATTTTAAACTCCGTACTATATATGTTAGCCTGGAGCTTTTCTTTTCTCAATGCCTTTATCTTCAAAAGCGGAGCTCACTTGTCCCATGAAAGGCATGTTTTGGTATGGAAAAGAAAAGAGTACAATCAAACAGAGAAGATTACCTAACTGATATGTTAAATAATACTCCTTCAGTCCTTAATATAAGACCCAATTATTGAGTTAGTTTTGGTCCTAAATATAAGACCTATTTATCATATTTATTAATTTTTTCTAAATTACCCATATGGATACTCTTTTAACCATAATCAAGTAGAAGAAGAAGAAGAAGGGGTATTAAGAAAGATAATTATCGTATTTTAGGAAAAACATGTCATATTTCTTATAATTAACTAACTTACCTAACTTCTTTAATCTAATCAAATTAGTTAAATGAGTCTTATATTAAGGACCGGATGAGTAGTCATTTTTATTGTTTTAAAATTTCTATAAGAATTAATGAAAAGAGATAAATATTACTCCTCCAGTCCTTAATATATGACCCAATTCTTGAGTTGGTTTTGGTTCTAAATATAATATCCATTTCTCATATTTATCAATTTTCTCAAAATTACCCCTGTGGATACTCCCTCAACTATAATCAAGTAGAAGAAGGAGAGAGAGTATTAAGAAAGATGATTACGGTGTTTTAGGAAAAATGTATTACTTTTCTTATAATTAACTAACTTACCTAACTTTCTTAATCTAATCAAATTAGTTAAATGAGTCTTATATTAAAGATCGAAGGAGAGTATTGATTAATAATGGCAGAAATACACTCAACTGTGCATTGACTTTAGATTTCCAAAGGTTCGTGCTTCTAATAATCAAGGAACTAATTAATTATTCTCGTTAAATCGATGTTGAAATTTTGTGTGTTGCGGTCGTTCAATTTTTTTTTGCTAAGTACATATATTCTTTTATTAAAAATAATTATGTCTAACTGTCAGGGACTAAATATAAATAATTTTTCTGCCAGACCTAACCTCCTGTAGAGATTGTTCATTTTGCTTTTTTTCTTTTTTAGTTTTCAAGAGTATCCTCTCATCAAATAGTAAGAGACTAATTTCTCAGAGTACTATGTAACATAAACTTCTCTCAACAGTGTTATTTTCATACAATATTCGTTTTACTTTTAGGTAAGCCTCCAGGCATAGAGGACTCAGCCCAAGGAGGAAAAAAACAAACAAAAAAGTTAGTAGTGCTTGAGCTCATAAAGAGCCCATTTTCTTCGAAATTCTTTGGGGAAAAAAATTTTGGCATTGAGATTGAGTTTTGAGAAGAGCAAAAAAAAAATTGAATGTGGATCAGATGAACCATCTTTCATAATTATGAATAGTTGGAGAAATTATGTGCAGATGGCAAAGGAATATAAAACGGAAGTGTGTTGGCGACCACCTGATAGGGATTGGATAAAATTGAATGTGGATGGAGCAGTGTCTTCAACAGCCTTGAGAGCAGGATGTGGAGGTGTTCTGCGCAACCATAATGGTACCTGGCTTGCTGGATTTAAACATTTCATAGGCTCTTGCTCAGTGTTGGAGGCCGAACAATGGGCTATTTACAAAGGCCTGGAATTAGCTTGGAGTATGGGATTCAAAAAAGCAGTGTTGGAATCTGATGCTTATAATCTCATTCAGGCTTTACAGGGCGAGAACAACGTGATCATGGAAAGTCTACTAATGTTGCGGATAAGAAACCTTTTGGCACTCAGTTGGCAAGTTATATTGCAGTACATCCCGCGAGAGAGAAACAGAGTAGCGGATTTATTGGCGAAGGAAGGACTAAACAAGTCTGTTTTTTTGCATTTTTGTCCCCCTCATCTAAGCACTTTAGTTGCTACTGAATGTATGGGATTTAATCCCCTCATGAGTAATCTAATGTAGTTTTCTGGGCTTTGCCCTCTTTCGTATCAAAAAAAAGAAGAGTAAAAAAAAAAAAAAAGGAGAGTTGTGACACGTGTAGAAGCTTGGAGGAGAAGAGTGGCAGTAATTGCGATGGTGGCAACATCTTCAAGCAACACGACCTTGCCCTGTGCCATTACCATGCAATGGATCTCGTTTTTGTTATTATATCCCTCAACTTTATTCTTGAAATGATTCTATTTCAAAAATTTCCAGTCACCGCAAATTCTTTTCTCATTATTTTTTCAATTCAAGTCCTTCCCATGATCATCAGCCTCGTTCAGCTAAACTATATAATAAGCGCGGCTCTTTTGGTGTGTCACTTCGTTTTACTGACCATGATTTGGCTTCTGAAAATGCTTAATTTTCTATACATTGAAAATTGAAAGAGATCTTTATTCAGGTAATGTAAATAACAATTTGCTCGCACCTAAACTCATTGTTCTAAAATTTCCCGAAATTTCATTGGAGATATAATATTAAATAAGTAACGTTGGACAGTGGACCGGTCCAGTGTCCGCTACCCAGGCCACGAGTTCGCCACACGCCTGAACTTTTCCCGCAATCACGATCGTCCACGTATTCTTGATCCCACGGCCTATATCCACATATATTCAACTCCTGTTGTTCTTCCATTCTTCAGCATTGCCGTTTCTCAATTCTCTTCTCTTTTCCAGTACCCATTTTCCGGATTATACCGACTTGTGCCCATAATGGCTCTTGCATGTTTCAAAGTTCCTTCTTTTTCTCCTTCCGCCGTTGATGGCGAGGGTCTCCGAAGAAACTACACTTCTTTGCTTTCTTCTTCTTCTTCACTGAGTCTTGCGAAGATCAGTGGAAGCAGAAGAAATTTCGTGGCCAATGCATCACCTCAGACGAATTCTGCTGCCACAGCCGTTATTTTCGAACCATTTGAGGAGATCAAGAAGGAGGTCCTTTCTGTTCCCGTTGCTCCTAAAGTTTCTTTGGCTCGTCAGAACTACCAAGAGGAGTGTGAAGCTGCGATTAACGAGCAGATCAAGTGAGTACTTTTCATCATTTTTTTTTTCTTCTTATAAAATATCGAGAATTTTTTGTTTCACAATGAAATTTTTGGAGATATGAATACTTTATTCTGCGCATTCTTTTCACTCAACTGTAGATCTTCTTTTACTCTATTTTCTGCTTAAGGAAAAACTCCATATGATCTCGAGTGTATAAAGATCTTCGTGTCATTTTTCTTTGGGAGAATTACAATGAGATCACAGGAAAGAAAAACAATTGAAAAACAAATCCTAGATGTTGTCATTTTCACTGTAGTAGGACTTGTCATTATATGCTTGTCATTATAAGCTGTTGAGGTTGTTATTAGGACTTTTTGGTAATTATTTCTTGATTTAATTGTAATTCCCCTTTTTCTTTTCTTTATACTGTTCACAACTCCTATTGAACTTGTCTCTGACAGTGTGGAATACAACGTTTCCTATGTGTACCACTCCATGTTTGCGTACTTTGACAGAGACAACATTGCTCTGAAAGGCTTTGCCAAGTAACATTCGGAAACCCCATAATCAAGCTTCCCTCAAATTCATCCTACGATTTCTCTAATCAATTGCATGTTCTGATTTCCTGGGGGGAACAGGTTTTTCAAGGAATCAAGTGAAGAAGAAAGAGAGCATGCTGAGAAACTTATGAAATATCAGGTTTTTCCTCCTCATAATCCACGAGTTTAAACCTTTCTCAGATTCTCTCTTGGGATATGGAGAAAGGTCCATCTAATTGATGATTCTTGTGACTGATATTTTTATAGAACGATCGTGGTGGACGAGTGTTACTTCACTCTATCAAGAATCCCCCCTCGGATTTTGAGCATGCTGAAAAGGGAGATGCATTGTATGGTGAGTCTTCTGATATGATTGCACTATTCGTATCACTTTTGAAATTTCATCGAGACATGCCTCATGTTTGTGGAAACTTTTATGCTTTTTAGTAAAATTAACGTTCTTTATTCACACCTGACCCCTGCAATTATATATTCTCTTGTTCCAACCTTCATTTATGAGTTGCGCAGCTATGGAATTAGCCTTGTCTTTGGAGAAGTTAGCAAACGAGAAACTACTGAATGTGTACAGTGTAATGTCTCTTTACTTCAGCTTTTTGTTGAAAAATGTTCCTGATGATGAGGAAACAGCAAATTGTTAGACCTCTGTGTTTTTCCTCGTTGTTGAATATTATATATATAATGAATGATAGGTTGCGGACCACAACAATGATCCTGAATTGGCTCACTTCATTCAGAGCGAGTTTCTCCGTGAGCAGGTAACATTCATCCGTTCTATGGCCTTTTTAATCCATATGCATTCTGGAGGTGGAGTCAATAGACAGAAAATGAGGTTTCATTCTTCTAATTCTTGACTATTCTATCATGTCGAAAAGAGTGCTAAAAACAAAGATGAAGAAAAGGAGGACATACGACAATATTTTTATACGTTTTCCTTTGTGTAGGTTGAAGCAATCGAGGAGATAGCGAAGTACGTGGCTCAGTTGAGAATGGTTGGAAAGGGTCACGGTATGTGTTCATGAATGTTGCATTTCATTCCTTACCGTTCCTCAAGTATTGCTTTATATATTAACGTAACACTATTCACAATATATGGACTCAAATCATAATCAAGTATAAATAGGCGTATGATTTGGAAGCATGTCAAAAGTGAATTCCTTGATGATGCGGCGTCACTTCGATTATTACATTCATTGATGATTATTGTAATTGCCGCTTCTTGGCTTGCAGGCGTGTGGCACTTTGATCAAAGACTTCGTCATGATGCGTGAGGTGCATGCAGGATGACAATAAGAGACGATTGCTTTACTCTAGTTTGGTGTGCGAGTTTGTTTCTGTTTGCAGGAGGTTGAGATTACTGCTTCTAGGTGATTAGTTAGTTAAATTTGAGAACTGGAAACTCGTAGGAGGTTAGTTGGGAAATAATATTTCACGTACTCGTCTCATCATCTCACATTAATTCTCCATTGGGTATGAAGAGACCCGACTTTTAAATCTAGAGTTCGTTTGAATTGAATTTGTAAGAATCATCATGAAACAGTGCCGGATAGGGGGAATATTGTATAAACCTCCAGTAATGGTTCCTCTACAAATAAAAGCTTAGCTCCAATCCGGTACTTGCAATTTGCGAAACAGCAGAGCTGGAATTGCAGTATTGTACTAATCTAATAGAAAGGCGATTTCCATCTGGAACAAGTCAACATTATCCATAAATTTATCTTCGGCGAAAATAAGAGAAATTAAAATTAAAATAACATGATGAAGTGCTCAAAATTTCACTATTAAATTGAACAAAATGAAATAAAGGACTATTATCAAACTAAGCCGCAGGGCCAGCTCTGACGAACAACCTAGAAGTATTCAAATACGAAGCGAATCAAACTTAGGCAGCTGCCTCATGTTGAGCAGCGAGCCTCTTTCTAGCCTCCTCAATGATAGACAACTTAATACCACGGCCTTTAGGAAGAGAGACCCAAGGCTTTGTCCCTTTACCGATAATGAAGACATTACCCATGCGGGTAGCAAACTCATGCCCGGTAGCATCCTGGACGTGGATTGTTTCAAAGCTTCCCTTGTGCTTTTCTCTGTTCTTGATGACACCAACACGACCTCTGTTCCTGCCTCCAGTCACCATTACAACATTCCCAACATCAAATTTGATGAAGTCGGTGATCTTGTTGGTTTCCAGATCCAGCTTAATGGTGTCATTTGCCTTGATCAATGGATCCGGATACCGGATAGTGCGCCCATCATAGGTGTTCAGATATGGGATGCCCTTCGTTCCAAACTGAACAGATCGAACCTTGCAAAGCTTAAACTGCGAAACGTAAAATGCAGACGTCATTTAGACAGAAAATACCACGACAAATAACATCCATCCAAGTAAAAGGTCCATAGTTTGTCCATCGAACCACATGTTTCCTCTCACAATGTCAATTAGCAGCAGCAACTAATGATCGGGTAACAAACGTGTGATTCGCGAAATATAATGTAAACATTTAATGTCAATTTGTTATATAGTACTTGAAAAATCAGATCGGACATACCTTTGCCTCTTCATCCCTCAAGGACTGGAGACGGAAACGGCCCTTTGTGTCATAGAGAAGCCGGAAGTTTTCATTGGTCTTTGGAATAGATACAACATCTGACAACAAAAATGAAGAAAAAGGTAACCATCTGAAACGGTCGGAACACCAACAAGAACACCTAATTAAGTTCATTGCAGACTGTCAGGCCATACAAAAGTAGTGTGTGGAGAAAGTAATTACTGGGAATGAACAATTACTTGAATAAGGAGATGGTTAAATTTTCTGAGTTTTGTTGCCAAGACATTCATAATTCTAAAGCTCAAATGTTGCACTCCCAACCATTGAAAGAAACTATACTTGGAAAGTGGCCCCATTGTCCAACAAGTCAAATCAACATCAATAATAATTCGGAAAAAACAGTTTAAGCAACATCATAAAGCAATCAAATTGAATTCACATACCCATGAAACCAGCTGGGTATGTCTTGTCTGTCCTAACCTTGCCATCAACAAGAACATGGCGCTGCATCAAGATAGAAATGACTTCTCTATATGTGAGAGCATATTTCAATCTGTTTCGCAGTATAAGGATAAGAGGCAAACATTCCCTTGACTTGTGGGGTCCAGATGATGGCTTCGGTGCCTGCACAAACAGAATGTTGAGTGGGTGCTTCAGAGTGGATGTTTTAAAAGAAAACAAGCAAATGAAACTGAAACAAGAACTGGAAAAGAACCATACAAAGGCACCGCCAAGCTTATCAAGCATCCAATGTTTAGGAGCATTGAGCCTCTTCAAGTGCTTCTTCAACCCCCTAGCCTGAAATTCAAGAAAATAGATACCACAGATAATATGAGATTATAAACGCATACAATTTTCCGCAGTATTACAACAAACATCAATAAAGTCGTTCAAAGAAAAATAAACATATACAAACTAGTTCAAATAGCTTTTAGTCACAAAAAGATATTAAATTGAAAACACTCAATAGGTTGGGTACAATTGGGTCTCAAGTAGGATAACATTCTCTACTCCCTGCTCGGGCATGTGGAGGTTTGAGAAACGTTTTAAGCTCCATATGAGCCTGAACTCGTATTATCATTTTTCAGAAGGCTATAAAGCAGATAATGTAGATATATTCTACAACACAAAAACACATCAGACAATAGGGCACACTGATGCAAAATAAACCAGCAGTATATACCGGAACATGAGACAAGGAAATTTATCTCCCTCGACACTGACGGATCAAGTCATTAAAAAGAGAATAAGAAAAGAAAACATAAGCATCATCGTCAAAATCAAGATCTTATTCCATTCACTTAGACGCTATAAAGGTCAGCCACAAGCACAGTGCTCCCACGAAGGACAACAAAATCACAACTGAGGGAACTTTGGAGCTACATATAAGAAACTGCGATTACAAAGCAATGCGTATTATTCTGGATATGGAATCCAGTAAGGATGAAACTCAAGGAGAACGGAGAAAGAGAAAAACAGAACTAGGCTACGAGATTTGGGAAGAATGACTGACCATCTTGGTATGATAAGCTCAGAAATGAAACCTGAGTGCGCTAGCCTCTGCTCTGAGTGAGAAAAACCCTAGGCTGCGTTGAAGTATATATACCGAGTCGCAGAATAAAAGAGGATTGGATTTCCGGGGTTTTGAGAGTTTAAAATGAATCGGGTTAAGCGTAGGTCCGATGATTAGAATCCAGTCCAAACAAAGTTGGGCCTATTGTTTTCCTTCTTCCACGCCCACGGAGTGTTTCAGGCTTATATATGGAAAACAAAAAAAAATCCCGTACAAAAGTGGATAAGCCCAATTATTTTTGGTCCATGCTTCAAATTAATATTAGTAACAGTAAAATACAACAGGACAATGAAATCTAATTAGTTGCTGTCAGTTCATACTCCTCCGGTCCTAAATATAAGATCTATTTTATAATTACAAAATAGGTCTTATATTTAGAAATCGGAGAAGTATAATTAGTAAGCATTTTTACAAAAATATGAACTTTTTTTGAAAAAGTACATAAAAAATGAGGAACCTTATTTAACTCCAAACAATATTTTTTTAAAAGAAATATATTATTTTCTCTTAACTCTTATCCTTTGGGTTTCATGGATAATTTTGTAAATATACCATTTCAAACTTCTAATGTCGCCTCTAGCTATGTGCAGACTCATTTAAAGGAGATACAGGCGAACTGACTTTTAACAAAAGAATGGGAAAAAAATAATGTCAAGTCTCGAATATATATATATATATATATATATTTCTCATATCATTATAAATTTATGTCAATTAATCTATTGAAGAACTTACCAATAAAAAAATGCCAAAGTAACTGGCCCTTTTAAAATAGTCAGTCAATAATCGGCGTGGAATGCGAATTGCTGGTGAAACTTGGATTTATTTGCATTGAATGAAAGTTGCTTGGCCAAGGGAAATCCTTCTCCTTCGCAGTTCTCAGCAAACACCAGAAAGTGGTGCCTCCCTCTTCCTCTCCCTACTTTGCTTTACCATCTATCCAGCATGGCCTAAAGGTCACTCTCACATGCACATTTAAAGGAAAAAGTGACAGTGGGAGTGAGAGAGGGAGAGATACCTAACCTCCATGAAAAGCATACGCTGCAAGTGATACACAATACAAACTACTGAAGCCAATCTCTCTGTTTCTGCTACGCCATACAAAATGCAAATTTCAAATCTGTCTTCTTCTTGTTCTCCTCGCTCTTTCTTCTTCTTCATCTTCTGCTTCCTCCTTCTTCCTCTGTTGCTCTTGTTGTTCCTGCTGGCTGCTCCTTCTTCTTCTTCTTCTTCGCACGGAGGAGATCACCTTGAAGCTGAGAAAGTGACGATGTCTGTCTACTATGAGACTCTGTGTCCGTATTGTGCAGAATTCATAGTGAATCATGTTGTGACCATCTTCCAAACGGGTCTCATCTCCATTGTTAATCTCAGAATGATCCCCTGGGGCAATGCCGTCATCAAACCCGATGCTTCCTTTGTCTGTCAGGTTACCTCCCTTCCTTCAATGACTGACTCATAAGCCGTAGTTATTAGCATTATGTCAAATTTGATCGTACAGAAATTGAATTGCAAACATAATCTTGTTTCAAGAATCGGTTTCTTTTGTGAGGATCCAACTAAAAATTATCTCTTTATTGAGGTAGCAAATTAGAAGTTTTCATGTCATATTTCATCACTTTAACCCATTGATATCGCGTCTTAAAAATTATCATCGTAATATTCCTTCCGTTCCTTATTATAAGATCTAATTTTTTTAAATAGGTTTGTTACTTTTTATAATATCCTTTTTAAGTTTGTTTGAACTATTTCATCCTTAATTTAATGTATTTAACACATTCTCTTTCTTTATTTATCTTATTATTACTCTCTCATATTTATCTATTTATATATGGATATATTTTAAAAAAAATTATATTTGCTATGTATTAATTGTTTTTAATTAATTTTAATTTTTTTAAACTACACAATTTAATTAAAAAGATCGATAAGAAACGGAGTAGGATTTGCGGACGAAGTTCTCCGTAATCATCATATTCGAGGGAACTCTGAATTTTGTGATGATGAAACGAAATCTATTACAGATACGGGTCCTTTCCTTGGATCATGGTTGCATCCACCGAAGTTACTCTGACTTTATTAATTTAATGTTTGTGTAGCTGATTTATTACCCATCTGCATATTTCACCTACCCCCAATTTACTTCAGTTTTTTTCCCCCCAAATTTGACCCCGACAAGAGGACTTGATAGATCATGTCATTATGATATTAATGATTTCATATTGAAAATTACTATACAACAAATTAATAATATTTTCTTGGAAAGTGCAGCATGGAGAGGAGGAATGCTTACTCAACACAGTCGAGGCCTGCACTATCAAGATCTATCCTGATGTGGTACTCACTACCACCCTTACATTTTCATTCGCTCATGGTTCTTAATTTTGTTATGCATTTTATTCTTAGTTATTGTTATCACAGTGGGGTATTTTCTTGAGTTTTACATTCTGGTTTTAATAATGTGCAATTAAGCAGCAACCTTCAATTGATAATCTCATTTAGCCTTTGATGCTGACAAGTACTGATACGATGGTGTTCTGATTTCAAATTCAATTCACTGGGCCATGTTTTGCATATCACCACAATCTTAATGAGGAATTATTGTAATTATTATATAGTTTACAATTTCACAGTTTCATTAGCTAATAGTTTTTCCCTTGTTCAAGTCGGACACTTGATAGAAGAATTTGAACTAGAAAACTGGGACATGCTTCATTGTTTTCTCTTGGAAAAAGTACTCTGCTTAAATTTGTTTAGTTTTTCCCGTTTAACTTGATAGGTAAGCTTCTGGGACAAGTTGATTGTTAAAAACTGGAAAGGGGGGGGGATAAAGTGAGCATTCTAACTTCAAAGACTTTTCAATGCATAGGAATTTTGAATTTTATTAGGTATCGTGAATATAGGATAGAAAATCTTCTAACCGTATTATTCACAGAATATTAATAACATTACTTCTTTAGCAGTAGTTGTACAGTGTCTGAAAAGTTAAGGACCCCACTGCTAAGAGATGATAGCTTGGAAGATTTTTAAAATTTATAATAATGTTTTTAATATTGAAATCTTGTTAATATATATATATATATATATATATATAGAAAAATAAAATTCAAATTGCATAGCTGCTTGTTGTATTTCTGCACATGTTACGGGCCCGGTATAAAACCAATCGCCCAATCCAGACCTATCCAATATAGTGGATTTTGAGGCCCAACAATCTTTGAAATTTAATGTCTTTTTTGAGATTATTGGTATTATATTGGCCTCATTAAAATTTTATCCTTTGTTTTTTTTTTAAAGTATAAATACAAATGTCCAAGTCTGTAATTAATTAAAAAAAGTGATGTTCAGATGAAGCATTTCAGATTCATACACTGCGTGGAGAGGGTAACGCTAGAGAAGATGCAAAACCAATGGGTGAACTGCTTCCAAATGAGTGGCTTGGACTCCTCTCCCCTTGACTGCTATTCTAATGGCACCGGCAGATTGGTCTGTTCTCTCACTCCTTCCCAATTATTTCCTAAAATACTGATAAGTCCTAAATGCAAAAATTTAATCATTAATATATCCTTATTGCATGTCATCACCTGACATTTTGCCTTGAATAGGATTTGTTAGTAATTAAATTTCTTACTTGGGACTCCTCTATGATTTTTTTTTCTTTCATTTACTGGCTATTTCATCAATCTCTCTTACCCTTTTCGCCATCATTTCCTTGCAATATGAAAACAAAGTAGATTGAGCAAATGTACGCCAACCAAACAGCTCAGCTTAATCCACCCATCAGATTTGTTCCCTGGGTGGTTGTGGACAACCACTCACTTCAAGAGGTTTTGTCTTCTTAACCGAATTAAACAAAATGAGGATCTCAATCACTGTGAAGGCAACATTTTGGTCTTACTCTGTTTTTAATTGTGGCTGCAGGACTATCCAAATTTTGTCAAGTATATCTGCGATGCTTTCAAGGGAAATCCTAAACCAGATGCTTGTCTCTCACTCTCAGTCCCCACTACTGATCCTAACCATTACACCAATTCCTTTCTTCCAGTTTGCCATGCTTCTTACCCTCAAAATCTTACCGTTCCATTATCCACGGCATTAGGGACACATTCCCCCTAAACGATGCTTGTGCTTGTTCTACATCCTCTTGGCAGTAATCTCCAGATTCCACAGCTTGTCTGTGAATGTGCAAGTGTACATTATTATGAATCGGTTGATTTATCTTTACAGACTATAGAATTTGCTTCGTTTTGCACTAACTCATTGTAATATTTGTCTTTGGAACTCGATATAAATTTTAGACAGACATCATGTACTAAAATGTAGCTCATGAGAATGTAGATTGTGAAGTCCGAAATGAAATTTTGTATCTTGTCATAAGACAATGACATGGAGCTTTGTGTTTCCTTCGAATGCTGTGAACTTCAGGCCCGTTTGGCAACCCTAAACAAAGAAGAGACCTTTTCTTTTAGGTTCCATTAAATAACTCATAATTAACTAACCAACAGAATAGACTACAGCTACCTAACGGTTATATTGAGGTTTTCTAAATGAATATATAAACACACCTTATGTCAACGACCAGTTGGCTTTTATTGCAACATATTCCCTCTGCTCTTCAGAATCAGACTCTGAATAGATATCCCAAGAATGGCTTCTTTCAAACTAGCCATCAGAATTATGATAACTTTTTCCCTTTGCTTTCCAATCCTTCAAGCTGAGGGTGCTACTTCGTCTCCTGAGAAAGTTAATCTAACAGTGTACTATGAAAGCCTCGGCAAACCTTGTGCTGAATTCATCATTAGGAATCTAGGCGAAGTCTTTAATGGAGACCTCATTGATATCGTGAATCTGCAGCTAGTCCCTTGGGCCAATGCTTCTATCAACAGCACCAACAACTCCATCTCATGCCAGGTTTCCATTTAGTCTCTCTAAATCTTCAACACTACCTTTGTTCTGTGTCTCTGTTAATATCTTGCTTCTTTCATACCTACCATCTTAATTATACTTAGAGGGAAGGAGGTGAATGCTTGTTTATGTAATTCATAGAAAACTGAGGGAATATAAATTTTGGTCTTTCTGCTAATTCAGAACTGCTTTCAAGCGTGGTCTTCCTTTTTATAACTGACTTGTAATTCTACAAAACTTTGCAGAACGGCCCAGATGAATGTAAGCTGAACTCTTTGGAATCCTGTGTTCTTAATCTGTGGGATGATGTGGTAAGCTTAAGATGCTCTCTCTGCTTCTTTAAGAGCACGTATGGATCAGGGAAAAAAAATTAACGAAAGCAAAAGAAAAATGACAGTTCTTGGGCTCTAGTTTGAAATCAAATATTTTTTTATTCGTTGATTCTCTTCCATCTAAACATATTCTTCAAATGTATATAGAAATTTAACCTCTGAGATGGTATCTGACATGTTGGATAATAAAACCATGATGCAGAACAAAAATTATGCTTTGATTTACTGCTTTGAATTCCTGGTAATTGAGGGAAGGCTCGAGAAGTGGGAAAGTTGTTTCAGTGAGTTGGATTTGCCTCAACAGCCTGTTCTCAAGTGCTACAACCAAGGCAAAGGAACACAGGTTATTTCACGTTTCTCTGACTTTTATCTATATACTTCTTCCATAAATTTATATATTTCTCGTACTCCTACTTCATTGATTCTAGTGTCTTAAAATTTTACGTATTTGAATTTATATGCAGCTGGGAAGAAAATATGTAAATGAAACAGCAAATCTTAAGCCACTTTGTAAATTTCTCCCATGGGTGATGGTGAACAATCAATCAATTGGAAAAGTTTGTCTCTTAGCCTTCTTTGTCTACCTTTAATTTCAAGATTATGTCCAAGATTATCATCAAAGTTAATTGATTAATCAATGTCGTTGTTGGTTATGCAGGACTACGCAAATTTTACAACTTTTGTTTGCAAGGCTTATAAGGGCCCAACTTTACCAGCAGCCTGCCATAAACTAGAAAGCAGCTAATCAATTTGTGAAATGAAATTAAAAAAAAGAAAAAAGAAAAACAAAGCAATTCTTCTTTTCTTAATTTCTGGAAACGCTTATAGTGATAAAGGTACTATTATTCTGGCCATAAAAATGATTGCTGGAGAGGTTCTTTGAAAAGCCTTCAACAATACGGAAACTGCAGAGTATCGCAGATATTATAACCTGGTCTATCTCAGGGTTGCATCAGCTTGAGTTTTTTACGGAACTCACTAATTTTAACCAACTTGATTTGTACCCAGAAAAGGAAAAAAAGAGCAACTTGGATATATGATGTCACCAGAGACGAATTATTTGAAACAACAATTTACATGAAACCCTCGGTGGCCTTTCTATGATTCAACGAGGTGGAGGGTGTCAGAATACCAGGATTTAGAGAGATATAGAATATGAACTCGGTATCTTGCACTGCAGAATGATCTGAGTTACAATATAAAGAGTCTCATATGGCATGTGTGGATGACGTGTCAACTAACTAATTAAACCGACTTATAACTAAGACTTGACAAGGTCTTAACTAAACACGTGCATGACCTCTAATAGAGGGCAAGCACAGCATATGCATGAAACAGAAATAGAGACATGCACGTTAGTGACAATGCTCACATAATTAGCTTATTGACGTATTGGATCCCATGAGACAAAAGGTTCAGCAAGAGACTGAAGAAGGCATTTGGCATCTCAGATGCTGAATGTATAAATATACTCAAAGCCAGAGAGACAGTCTATTCAAATCAAAGCATATATTGTATGTAGGCTCTCAAAGAGAAATGGCTTCACACACAAATTTCTTTGGCTGCTTGCATATTTTGATTTCTCTGCTGATTTTGACAATGGCCTATACATCTCATTCTGTTAATATCTCAGATGATAGGCGTGCCCATCAGCTTCATCAAAAACAACCCCAGAAGGTCAACATTAACTTGTACTACGAAACCCTCTGTTCAGATTCTCAGTCCTTCATTGTAGATCATCTTGTGCGAATGCTTAACACGGATCTCAAATTTATTGTTGACCTTCACTTGGTTCCATTTGGCAATGCTCGCATATTCCCAAATAACAAAACTGTGAATTGCCAGGTTCCATCTCCATTCCTTTGCTTTTATATCTAAGATATAACCTCAAGTTCAACCTGTTTCTTGTTTGCTTCATCCTTCTTATAGTCATCTGTAGATGGGTCAATTTGCGGGCTGCTTCTTTATAAATTGGTATTCTCATCGGATCTTGTGACCCCCAGTGAATTTAGATTCTAGTGACCTGCAGCATGTTTTTTGAGACAGTAGATCATTAAGTTCATTAATTAATGTAATCTCTTGTAATTAATGAAATAACTTTTTTTATTTTCAATATTCATGAAAACTTTTCTCGAATTTGTTTGAATCACACAAGTTTCAATGAAATCCCGTAGACCTTTTTACCATTTTGAAAATATTCACAAGCCTTTCCTGAGAGTAGAAGGAAAGTTTATGTTTTAATTCTGAAGTTAGTGATTTAGTATTAGAAGGGCCAAAATGAGGGGAAAATAGGTTTTGGTGACCAATGTGAAAAATAATTATTTCATTTATAAAGAACCGAAGTAAGTTTTTAGTCTTTTCATATGTCTCCTGTTATCAATAATTTTTGGCAGTTACCCATAATATCTATTTGGGTTTGATGTGGATGTGCAGCATGGTCCTCTTGAGTGCTTCTACAATACCATAGAAGCATGTGCTCTTCATGTTTGGCCATTAGTAAGTCTTATCCCACACCCCCCTTTTTAATTTCTTAAAAAATAAAATAAATCTTATTGAAACTACACTCACAACTTTTTTGATACTGCAGACACAGAGTTTCCCCTTCATCCGCTGTGTAGAGGCTCATTTGCAGCAGAAACGCAAGGACACATCTATGTGGCACCTTTGTGCTAACCATCTCAATTTGAAACCTGACTCTATTCATAATTGTTACACTACTGCACTTGGAAAAAAGGTTTGTTGTAACTTTTTCGGAAATGAAGGGTTTGGGTATGTTGATTTCTTTTAAAAGCAAAAGCCAGAAATTGAAGAGAAGTCCACATAATTTTTACTCTTTATTCTTTGGATAAAAGAGGCCTTCTACCAAAGATGGATCGAATTTGTCTTCATGTTAATGGCTGAAACTTATTGATATATAATCTCAAAAAAATAATTACCTCGCTGTTCCTTTGCTTGAAGTTGAACTTGGATATATATATTGGTTCAGAGCTCTCACCAACTGATCCATGCAAAACAATGAAAATGCAGCTGATTCTGCACAATGCTGAGGAAACTTTAAAACTGAATCCTCCTCCTAAGTATCTCCCTTGGGTGACTGTGAATAACGAACCACTCTTCCGGGTTAGCAACACACTCTCTCTATATTTTCCCTTCAAGATATCTTTAATTTCTGTTTGTGTGAAGAACCTTGATTTGCTGGTGCAGGACTATAGCAATGTCATAAAGTATATCTGCAATGCCTACAGAGGAAACTCCAAACCCGGTGCCTGCAAAACCACCAGCTCAATTCCATTATCTCCTTCACTTTGTGATCCGCCGAATACGAAATTTGTGTCCCCTTAATCCTATCGCGTTTCATTTTAAAAATAATTTGTTAGGGCACACTCAACTCTTGTTTATTATTCTCATTTTGTCGTAATGAACTGGTGAGTAAGTTTAGTTTGCTGAACACCTTTTAACCATTACGACAGAAAAATGAAACTGGTTCTGTTTGATGTGTTTGTCGTCTAATTAATCACTTGCTAAAAAAGTGAGATTATTTTAACTCGGCAAAATGTTCACTATTTTGTAATAATACTAAGGTCTCTTTCAACGATCAGCAACAACCAACAAATTTGATTTGCCCCTCAACGTGAGGGTAGAATGAGGGCATGACTGTTCTTAAAGTATGTTTATGCGTTTGTTTAAGAAACCAATGGATATGATATCGGAGTTGGGACAAAAAAGAATGACTAGATACTCTAGTGTTGTTCGTATTAGCCATATATGCTCAAGTTTCCTCTAGGCAAGCCCTGTGACTTTGTGCACCTGGAACCTGGGCATTCAAAATGGGATCAAAAGCATCCAAATCCATAGAGAAATCCTCAGTCAGTAGAGATGGAAGTTGTTAATTGTCTCCAAATTCTTAGATGGAGATTTCTCTACGGATTTGGATTCTTCTGATCCCCATTTCAACTGGGTATCGCAAATGATCTTTCAGAGAAAGAAGATGAAGGCAGAGAGACCTGAAATTGATACCAACTGGGGCTGCTTCATCTTCTTCCCTTTGCTTTGGGATCACAATTTATATGAAAATGGAGGTCAAAGTGAGGACTGAGGACAAATCAAGGTATCAAACCGACAAGCTAGAGAAAAGGAATATTTTTCCCCGACGTCATTGGACCATTTCTTGACATCAACATGCAATCATGTATGATTAAGAATACTATGTTGTCACAACTTTGAATCTCGAATGAGTTTAGTTTCTTTTCTTTTCTGTTGATCCGATCTTTTGAATCCTAATGGGAAATGATTCGGTTTTAATTTTAACTCGGATGATTTTCTTCAACCAATAAACTAATAATATGGTCCTTAGATTGTTACATGTAGTCTTTTTCCTGTTTTCTTAATTGCAAGCACAACATACCTGTTCTTGATTATCAGGCAAAAGAAAAACTATTCCTGATTTAGCATATGCCAACTGATAAACGATTTCTTTTTCCCTTGGGCCATTGCTAAGCAACTAAACAACTAAACAGAACTCTTTTTCCGTAAAGAAATAATGGACTGGACTTGAAATGGGCCTGTTTGGTTTGGTCATGAAGATAGGGAAGCCCGTTTCCTTTCCACTGATTAGCATAGTTTGGTTGGCCTGCGCAGTGCACTGTCGAAGGGAGACGGAAAGCGGCTTCGGAGGAGGGGATGTGTTTGTGTGTGTTGTTTTTTGTTTTTGTTTTTTTGAAAGGGGGGGGGGGGGGGGTTTAAATACAAAAATGCCCTCAAGTGATAAAAGGCAAGTCACGGGGGTCAAACCTGGATGTTTGATTGAAAACGAACCGTCAAATCGTTAATACCTACCCCTTTTTTTAAATATAAAAAAAAAATTGCACTGTGCTACAAGTTGTTAGAACACCTTCAATTGATAATACCTTCAGAAAAGGCTAGTCATGCATTAGAGCTCCATACATTACAAATTCAAATTAGTTGAAGCTGTTGACTCCAGATACGAGATGGTCTTATACTTAAAAAGAATACTTTAAGATTAGAAGACAATTAAAAATATTGATGATTTGAGAAACAAAAATCAACGGAAGTAATGGAATATTAGTTGAAACTTACGAAATGTTTGATTGAAAGTGATGCTTAACTCCAATGATTTTCCTTAACGTAAGGTCCCAAATAGGATCGTGAGTCATGATTTTAGAATTAATGGGAACTCTGGACAGTTATCTTTTTTTCTTTTTCCTTCTTCTGCTACTTTTTTTCGAAAAAAAAAATCAAACAAATAATGTCTCATGAAATATCTGTTTTAAATCACATCATTACTTTGCGTATCCTTCTTGCTCTCTTTGTTGAAGGACCCCTTAATAATTTGAAAAAATGGAGGTGAGGAGGATAATCCCCCATCATGACTGTGCTATTTTACAATTCGTAACCCCTTATCTTCTCTTCCCATCCTCTTCTCTTCTCTTTTTTTTAATTACTGGATTAATATTTTAATGGTCAGATTTAAACCTTTTTAAACTTATTATTAAAACATTAAATTATAAAAATAAATAAATAATAAATTACAAATTATATTAAAATTTAATCCTAATGATTTTCAAATGCACTAAATATTTTTAAAAATTTTTTATAAATAGCTTGTAAAAAAATTAAAATTTAAACTGTTGAAATTTGTTAATCTAAATGTTAGAAAAAGAAAAGGAGGGAAGAGGATGAGAAGGGAAAATGAGAGATTTCGAATCAGCCATCTCACTATTGCAAACTTGCCTTTTCCATAGTTTTGCCAATAAAATCATGAGAGGTTCTTTTCTGAACATCTGTAATAATACAGCAAAATTAATCATTATATTATTACCCAAATTTCTCTAACAACAACCTTGAAATGAACGAAAACAAGAAAGATGAAGCAGATCTAAGCATTGTACCCTGGCTTCCCTTTGAATAAATGATTCAAAGGATTTATACTGTGTTTTGTGCATTATTGCCGGTGTTTGTTCGCTCTCAAACTCTAAACTTTATTATTATATCCTACTTTCATTTGATATATCAATCTGATAGGTTAACTTTACCTGTTTACCTTGCTATTAATTTTTCACTTTTGATCCTCAATTTTATTTTGATTTCATTCAACTATTCAACTACTAATTTTACTACAATAATAACATTTTATACTATTATGTCAAAATATTTAATAAAAAGCTGCTGTGTAGTGTTGCTGGCGATGAAACAAAATAAATAATTAGTTCAACGAAAGAAAACTGAACAAGAATAAGAATTAGATCGAATGAAAGAATTAATTAATACCCCTTAATTATAAGGAATCAAAATAGAATCAAGGGATTTAAGTAAATTAAAACATAAACTGTTTAAGAATTTGTAAAAAAAAAAATTAAAATTCAGCGGCATGACATTTTTTTTTTCCTTTTGGGTGGCCCGAGGCTGTGTTCTATCAAAATAATGGATAAAGATTTTTGTTGTGCATCGTTTTAATTTACATGTTTCACAAGTGCGCACTGATTTGAGTTATCCCAAGCATACCTTGCAATAATGCGAACCATCAATTTTCAATTCTAAATGAAACCAGCTCTACCAGAAAAAGAAAAGAAGAGAAAAGTGAGTGGCGAGGAGGAATGAACTGGGATGAGAACGAAGGGAAAGATGAGCAGTGAAAAGAAGCATGGAGTGACTTGACGTCGTGGTAGGTCTGTGACAAGATGGTGATTTTGCATTAGTTGTTAGCGATGAACATGCACGTCAAACACTATGGACCAAGCCTTGTTATGTTCTTACAGTTTAACATCTCCCACATTCTCACCCTTCGCCTTCGTTGTGTTCCCGTCACTGCTTGTTCCTTCTCCTTTATCTCCTTCCTTCGTCCTCTTTCATATGACCTCCTTCTCTTTGGATGTTCATCTGCGTGGCACCCTACTGGCCTCTCCCTTATAACCTCACTCAAAGTCAAACGTAGCTCCCTAGTTCCCATCAAACTCACCTATGTATGTTGCTCCTCATAAACAGCTCATTATGGTGTACTCATTTAACATCAAATATCCAACATTTCCTCTTTCAAGATCTTATATGTTCTCTGACGATGTACCTAGAACCTGTAGGTTTAAGCATTGTTCTACCGCTGTATCACAGCTTGTGATGAGAGAAAGTAATTCAAATTGATCGAACAGTAAAAGCTTATGGAGTTTTTAACGGGAGGGCAGGTGGGTCAGTGATGTGTAGGGATGTGCCGACTTTGTTGAAAAGCGTAGCTTTTACGAGGCAAAGGGACAAAAGATGATATACAATACAGGAATCGGAGGTTCTGGCTCCGAATTAATGATGAAAAGGGAAGGTGGGGGTCGGTATGCCTTCTCATTGTTCCCTGCATAATTAAACACCTACTTCTGCTTTGCTCTCCGCAACTTGTCCCTTATAAACAACCGTCACACTCGCATCTTTGTACCTTGGAGGCTTCCCTTTTATATCCTTATCTAACGTTTGACACTTGCACCAGATTCCGACCACTCTTACACACACATGCACTCACACACTCGCACTTTTGCCTAGTCATCCAAACATGGTGCTACTTAATTCTTCGCAAAATTCTCATTCCATCCAATCCTTTTTTTTGCCATATAAAAATTTAAGTGAGTTAGCCTTGACGATTTATCAAGATCTAAACAAGTCTCATTCATTATGGAACATAGGAAATACTCCTCCGGTCCTTAATATAGGACCCAATTGTTGAGTTGGTTTTGGTCCTAAATATAAGACCCATTTATCATATTTATCAATTTTCTCTAAATTACCCCTATGGATACTCTCTCAACCATAATCAAATAGAAGAAGAAGAAGGGGTATTAAGAAAGATGATTATGGTATTTTAAGAAAAATGTGTCACATTTCTTATAATTAACTAACTTACATAACTTCCTTAATCTAATCAAATTAGTTAAATGGGTCTTATATTAAGGACCAAAGGAGCAGCATGATTTAATCCATGTCCTCACATTGATAGCCAAATTTAGGGCATATTTGTGTCGGTTCATCTTAAGTATTTATAAATACTTTCATATAAATTGAGACAAAATTTTCATTATATATTTATTTCGTATTCCATAAACTATAACTAAAAAGCTGTTTTTGAAAGCTTCTATCACAATTCCAAACAAGCCTTTAATCATATGAATTATATCAGTGTTCTTGTTAAATATGGATTAAATCCTTAACATACTAGTCCTTCAATCACGTCGTTGCATTATTCATCAAGCAAAAAGCAAAATATAGCATGTTCGGAACTTACCGACTAACCGATAGTTTCAAGTTGATAGTTGATTGTTTTTTAATATTATGAGTAGAAATAAATAAACTCTTTAGAAAAGGTGAAAAGGGTTGTCAAAATAATTCCCAGTATTGGGTAAAAATCAAGTCTTTGAATGGCATAATTTAGCATTTGGCCAAGAAAACAAGTATAATTGAGCACAATCATGCATGGAAAAGGGCTTAGGCTCAAAATTCCACAATGTGGCATTTGTCACACCAACATGTTATCATGCCTCAATATATCACAGGATGGCGATGTCATTACCAAACCAGCATGTCCTCAATCATTTTATTTTCATTAATTATTCCATTTTCAGTCTTCTTTTTCTTCAATAAAAAAGGGGTGGAGAGAATGAAGGCATTTGGAACAGCTATTTGCGCATCTCAGTTCATAAATACAATTAATGCAGACAAATGATAAAAAAATATCAATAAAAGATCTTCAATTCAAACCCTTATTGCATGTTATGTGCCTGGAAGAATTAAGCTATCAAATTTTACAAACAACTTGCCTCGTTCTGCCATGGAATATGGACCTACCCAGGCAAAGAATGGTCCAACTTGGTGTGCCTCAAGGAAGAAAATCTACGCATGATCGTAAATTATTCCGGACCCCATGAATGTACATTGGACAGCAAATTCTATTGAGCCAGTTGGGTTATCTTGTCACTGCAATAAATAGCTTATCATTATTCCCTTGTCAAGTGCTTGAGGGCAACATGTGAAAAATTCCATGATCCACCAAAGAGACGCATTCTCACGTATTTAGGATATACATCAAACATAATATGAATTCTCTTTAAGACAATCGACGGATGACATATTATTACCAGATTCATTTCAACAGATAATTAGTGATGCAATTACAGTTATAGTGGACCTGGCACATGATCATATTGCTATTGATTAGGACCCACTAACCATTTGCCCACTTGATTTCCATATTGACATATAATAGCAAACAAAATTTGTATGTATCCCTCTGTTTTTTCTCTTCTCAACGCTTCAAACAGGAAATAAGGAGAAGCTATGAGGAAGATTTTATATGTTCTCCTTATAAGCAATCATTCATTAAGTAAGAAAAAGAGTTCTTTCCTTCATCCCTGTATTCACAAGCTAGCTAGGCAACCAAAGCTGAAGGTTTTGCGGTACACAATCAAAAGATGAAGGTAAGATTAAGATCAGTTTGCCATAGCATTGCAAAACCTTAATTTTTTGTAACCTACTCTGTAAACTGATTTCTTCATTTATTGTACGTTTTGCTGCTCCAGTTATTAGGTTGGATGCACCGGAAATTTCGCCAGAATAGTAGCGAACCCTTGAAAGATCTGATCATTGGTAAGTCAGACGCTGTTCTTCCCAATGCATGCGTTGTAGCATTGTACCTTACCGAAGAAAGTAATTAAACTTATCATTTGAACAAGAATTAGACAATAATTCTTGCATTATAGTTTTCTAGAATAACATGCCGCGGCTTGCCTTGTGCCATATAACCCAAGGTCTACCTAGCTATATTTGTTTGTGTCAGGGCATTCTTGTAATTGTATTTCAGGGCAGTCAGCACATGATGATCAACAAAACTACCAGAAACCAAACCATGGGACCAAGCATTTTAGGCAAGCACAGCGCGACCAAAACCTTAGAAAATCATTTGCTGGTCTTGAAGCAGCAAGGGTAGGAGATGATGACTATGAGGAAGAATCGTCAGATGCTATACCTGATCTCTTCCACGGATTTCTTGCAATCGGAACTCTTGGTTCTGAGCAAGTTGTCACAGATCCATCTACACCAACATTTGCTATTTCTGTTGAAAACATAACTGAGAAAGAAGATGAAGTCACTGAGAATGAACTGAAGCTGATCAACGATGAGCTAGAGAAAGTGTTGGCAGCTGAAACCAAGGATGATTACTGCAATGACTCATCAGGCAGAAATAGCCATGTCAGTGCCGGGAGAAGCAGCCATGGAAGCATTATAACACTTAGTGGAAAACCACTAGAAGGAATTGAGTCCAATGGGCAAGGAACTGCAGTCTGTCCACTTCAGGGATATCTATTTGGATCATCCATTGAATTATCAGAAACAACAACAGTGGCAAAGAAGGAACACAGGACATCACTTGGAGAGCTATTTCAGAGAAGCAAAGCGGAGGAGAATGCTGGAGCTAAATGTGAAAAGGAGGACAAGAGAGAAGCAGATAAATCAGCTATGAACCAGATGAAGAAGAAACTGAAAAAAAGAATGCTTCTTGCTTCTTCGCGAAACTCTTCATCCATAAATGGTGGACCTGTTGATCCTGCTTCAGCAGAGACAAAGCTGCAAAAGGTAAACTAATGGAATTGACAATTCAGTTTCCTACTCCTTAAACTAATCTGGACCTATGACATGTGTCACTTTTCTTATAATTAACTAACTTACCTAACTTCCTTAATCTAATCAAATTAGTTAAATGGGTCTTATATTAAGGACCGGAGGAGTATTACGATTTGGTCTGGTTGATCTTCATTATACTTATTCATCTCTTAACCTTATTGTCTTTCTGCTTCAAAACACGTGCGTAAAAAGTGTAAGGTACACCATAGATTTGATTACATTCATGTCCTAAAACTTAGCTCAACTAAATATATACTATCTCCTTTATCTCCTTTATTCCCATGATAACGCTGTAAATCAGTATGCAACGTTGTACAGATTGACTACAAAGTTTTGGCCGTTTCTGTCCTTTGTTGTCTTTCTTCTAAAAACTCTTTACCCAGTTTAAATATGATTTATTTATATACTGTTATAGCCTTAAGTTTTGGTTTTGGTGGCCCATAATGATTTGTAGCGTGTAGATTCTCCACATGTTTCACAGGAAAGTTCATCCTGAAAGTTCAACAATTATTGTTAAGGCTGGTAAAAACCAGAAGCATGAGAGCAAGAAGAAAATGATGAATGACGGAAACCACAACAGAGGCGACTCGGTGTATCCCGATGAAGATAGCACGGGACAGCCTAAAAGATCTTTTCTAAACCCAAAGGATATCATGCGAAATTATAGGGGCCAAATGAATACACACCAGTTGGCACTTGTGAGTGGAGATTCGTCTGGTAACAGGGAGCACTGGATCAAGACAGACGCAGATTGTAAGCATTCCAACTATTCATTTATGATCGACGACCTAGCTAGCAGTTCTTAAATGGAACTTTTCCATGAGCAGAATACTTTACATCTCATCTAACGTGCCTAATAGTTTGTCTACCTTCTACTCTGAATCCATTAACTACACTGACTCAACTTATTGTGGCGCAATGCAGACCTAGTCCTGGAGCTGTGAAAGAAAAAGTTTCAAGAGCTGCGCGCTTTGAAGCCACGTTCTATAATCAGTAAAAAATTAAAGTGTGCTTGTATGATATTTCTGTTCGGTGCTCTTAGCACATAAAGACAACATGTTCTATATATGTATGTGTTTGCTGCTATATATGAAGAACTTGGTAAGGAAACAAATAAGAGAGGTGGTTCTCTCCGATGCTACCTCGCTGCAATTAGTATCTAATTAATGTGAAGCGTTGCTTTGGTCTGAGCGTTATAATAAATAATGTTTACAGTCATGCACATGAGTTCACAGGACTGATCATTATTGAACCAATGAACATGGATAGCCCCACCATCTAATGGTCATATTTTGTCTTTTTTCTTTTTCTTTTTCTTTTTTTCCTTTGCTTTCATAAATGGTAATAATGTAAAACAGTAAAAGCAGGCCTAAGAAGCTATCCATGGCTTTTGGTGGCCTTTAGCTGTTCGTCCTCGTTTGGAGATGGATAATAAGAGGGTTATTATTGACAGTCAATTGAATTAACAGATAAATTAATTCATCGTGATATATATTTATATATATATAATGTGAAGTTTTTTCCTCCTTGTATTCTTTCTTCTTCTTGTTTTTCTTTTTTTATATATAAAAAGTGATGATTCTTGCATTCATGCCTATTGGAATATAAAGACTCTATACTTATACCTTATAACTCTCTCCACTAGAGGTACCGTTTGTTGGTCTCTCCATGTGATTTTAATTCTTCTTCTCTCTGTGTTTTGTTTTTCTATGGGTAGATTTATATATCTTGCACAGTCAAGTTTATATGCGATTATGCTTTCAGAGATATATACATTTATTTATTTATTTGATAATACATGTCTGACTCCTGGATGCGAAAACTCTATATATATAGAGTGCCAACTAATTGACTTAAGAATTGGAGGGAAAGGGAGGGGAAATTTTTTTTAATGAGTTCCATTCAAAAAATTAGAGAAGTGAAGTTATAAGATTTTGATAAAGAGAAAAGGTAAGATAAAAGAGTAAGCAAAATTAGTTAAAAGTTTTTAACCCCACTTCTCTAATTTTTTAAATGGAGTTCATTAAAATTTTCTCTCCCCTTCCCTCCCCTCCCTTCCTCTCCATTTCCCTCATACCAAACGAATCCTTAGGTTATGTTTGGTAGAAGTATTAAAAATGAGGGATTGGAATTGAGATTGCAATTGAAAAAAAATTTATTAAAACATTGTTTAGTATAAGAGATTGCTTATTATATGGGATTAGCTAAACTCATATATGTGGGATTGGAAAATACCATGGAGGGAAGTGGTATTCCCCAATCCCACCTCTATGGGTTTGCCTGATCCCATATAATAAGTAATTATTCATGCTAAATATTATTTTAATGATTTTTTTTAATTGCAATCACAATCCTAATCCCTCATTTTTAATACTTCGTACCAAACGGGACCTTAATATCTCCAACACTAATTATATCATACTACCTCCTGTTTTTAGTATAAGAGTTAGTTTGACTTCCAATTTGATCATAAATGTAAGACTCTAATGTCTCTCATATTTATCTATTTTCTTCCCAAAGTAGTTATTGTAGTGGGTGCACATGTTAAAGGTTTCATCAAATAGTAGTTTTAGCTAATACACATTATGATCTAAGATATTTTAGAGAAAATGATACATATTTATTACAAATAATAAACTCAAATAATTTTTTTAATCTACTTAAATTAGTTAATTAGCTCTTATATTAATGATAAGAGATAGTAATAAAAATAACCGAACTGACATTAAACACTTTCTCTAATACTTTCTTAAACACAAGGTTGTGAGTCGAAACTCTTTTAAAGGTTATATTAGGTGCATCATTATGATAAAAAATAATAATTTAGAACTAGTTGAAGATTGTCTTCCAGACTTTCCACCTTGAACGGAGGCGGCTAAGGTTGAAGGGGCGGTTAATTCAAAAAAAATATTTTCATACAACTATTTAATAAAGGAGGAAAATTAATTTCTTCATTTTGATGTGAATTTTGAATTATTATTGTTTCCTCCTGCTCATCTTTCTTTTAATTATTTTTTCTAAAATACAGATAAAGGATTTTTTTTTGTTATTCTTTTAGTTTAATTGTTTTCAATGGCCACAGCCGCATGGTAAAGGCCAAATCTGATCCGGGGGCCTAAAATGGGGTCAACAAAGTAATTTTCAACATCATCTAACGAGTCAGATCGAGTCCATTCCATTTTGTTTTTATGGGAATTGCTACTCAGATCAAAGCTAGAGCTTCGATTACACGAGGAATGAAAATATGGGAAGATGACAAAATGGAGTGGAGTGGAAGAGAATGGAGAAAATTTTTTAAGGAGTTTTATTTAAAAAAACTAAAAAAATTGGGTTAAAAATTTTAATTACTTTTTATTTAATTTTTTATCTTATATTTTCTCTTTATTAAAATTAAAACTCAACTTCTTTGATTTTTCAAATCAAGTTGATTAAAAATTTTCCTTCCCTTTCATCCTCTCCCCTCCATTTTCTGCGTGCAAAACATAAGCTAAAACAAACAGATTGGCTATTGAAATCTTGATTCCATTCTTTGTTTCACATTTAATCAAACATACAGATTGATAGAGGTTCAAGATCTCTTACATTCTCGACTTCATTAAGAAGTGAACAAAGGAAGCGATCATGAACTGGACAATAGATTGTGTTATATTGAGCTTTGAATACACGTACATTGCCTGCACCTCTTTTTTTTCTCTCTCTCTCTACGAATGAGCATGATACTAAAATGCACAAATCATATCACAAGCATATGCAGGTTTAATCGGAACATAATACAGACACACACAGCAAGCACAGCTCACGACTCCTTTCAGACCTTTTGACTTCCCCAAGTTGATACTTTGACCAGTTGTTTCCCTTTCCATGAGAGAACCATTTCATTCCCATTTTGCCCTTCGATCCTTGCCTCGCATGACGCCTCCCTGCTTCCTCCCAACATTTCCCTTGCTTCCATTAAAATCTCTTCGCTTAATCTTCTACCATTTATACCAAACCCATTCCCTGCCTGAAAATGGCAGTTTCCTCTCAATTCTTCCCACTTCTTCATCCAAGCAACGGAAGACACATAGGGTTCCACGAACAAGAATTCTATTGCTGTTCTTGCTTGTGAGAAACAAGCTGGGAAATTTGATTCAATTGATTCCATTAAGGCCTTGTAATGCATCGTGTTACCGTCAAAGAATGACCTGAAATTCAGACTGTTTCTCAGTTTTTCGTCGGCTTCTCCATCCCCAAAAGTGATGATTCCCCTGTTGCAGGTGTTCTTGCGGATCATGTTCTTGCCTAAATTTAGATACTCTGTGACTGATCTTCTGCTTCTTCCTCTCCCCATGTGAGGAAGTCCCACCATGCAGTTAAAGATTAGGAAATCTCTCCTCGCACTCCCACCTCTTTTGTTCAATTTCTTGAGTTCTGTAACCAACTCCTCAAAACTCTTTTCTTCTATCGTCGTCTTGAGACCACAGGATCTTGCGTATTCACTAAGGTTCCTTTTGGGTTCCTCAGAGTTTTGTTGCTCTGTTTCCCATTTGATTGATGTTAACTTCAGCGCTTTGTTCTGTTGAGAAATGGCCTCTATCACAGGGGGCCACTGAACGCCTTCTCCCATGTCGAAGTCTATTATGTGGATAGCTTCTGAATCCTCCGGTATGGCTTCTACAATTGCTGAATTGGCTACAAAATGAGCAAATCGTCCATAGGGGGTGCTTTGGTAAAATACCCTGAAGGCAGGATCAAAATTTTTGCTAGCCTCCTGTTGGAGGAAATGCGCCTCTAGATTTCCCGTGATGTTTTGGGAGGAATAATGGAATGCCAGGCGTTCCAGGGGATCTTCTGCAAGAGGGCTCGTTTTCTGGTTTATGCATCTCAGGATTTCTTCTACCAAAGCAATCTGGTTCTGATCTCTCGCCTCAACATGGGCTTCTAGGAGATGGGGAAGAATCACTCGGGTATCCATTTCCATGTCTTCTCGAGGCACGTTCAGCGATGCTAGTTGAAGAGAGGAATATTCTGATGATTTCGTGGATGGACTACAGCTCCAAGAATCTTCTGCTTCAGAAGATAGATTCTGAGAAGGATGAAAGGTTTCTTCACTTTCTTCTGGGTAGCCAAGGATATTCAGAAACTGAGTACTCAAATCAGGGTCAAGAGTATCCAATTCCATGGATGATATTCCCAGAATATCTTCTCCATCAACTTGGTACTGGAAATTATCTTGAGAGAGGTAGACAGAAGAAACTTCAAATTCATTGAAGAAGGAATTCTCTATGGATTTGGATGCTTCTGATCCCATTTCAACTGGATATGGGAAATGATCTTCAAAGAAGGGGAAGGAAAGATCGAATGGATAAAAACAGAGCTTATGTCATTGGGGACTGACCAGGTGGAGGGCTGAAGAAGAGTCTGATGAGGCATCATCTTCCGTCTTTAAGGAAGGTCTTTTGTTAAGGAGTTGATTTGTGATGAGTGGTTCTTTACGATGATCGCACCATCAGAACTTATAAGGGAAGCGGAGAAACAATGTGAAGGCAAATCAAGCTAGAGGATGAGGAACATATTATTATAATTGAGAAATTATGGGGCACTTTCATTGGTTTATTTTAACATAAATCTCGTTCTAGTTCATCGTTACATTTACATTCAATTGTATGATTTTATTTTTTTATGGTTTTAAATTTTAACAAATTTAAAAAAAATCATACGGTTTAAATTATATCTAGAAAATTTTGTATTATTTCTATACACCATATTTCCATAATTCTAAAACATAATCATATTATCTTTTTTTTTTGCCAACAAATAATTATATTATATTGAAGCTATAAGCACTGTGCAGTTGTTGCATATTTTATACTTTCAATTGATCATTATTTTGGTCAAAAAATTGATTATTGTTAATATTGATTTTTTTTGATACACTATTATTAATATTGATGATTGATTGGTAATTTGATATTGATTTTCATAGGATTCATAAAAATAAAGTGTGAAATTTATTTGGGATTGGTAAGTTTCGCAAATTGTTTTTGATAGTGGTCAAATGAATTTAAAATTAAATTAAAGAGAAATAATTTTTGAAATTTAACATATTTTTACACAAACTATGTAAGGATATTCATGAAATTAATAAACAATGAGTACAAAGGTTGGGGGGGAAAAAAAAAAAAGGATAGGGGAAGGATAGACCTTCGAAGCTACCAATCACTTTCAGGTATCTGCATCGGGGTTTACACCCCAGGTCTCCTTCATCCTTTGGTTTTGTCTTTTTATTGTTCTTCATTATAATTATAATTAATCAATTTTAATAATCCCTAATTTACTTTTCTTAATAATTCCTGTTTTTTCAGCACAATTGCGTCTCATTTCATCACATAAAACACCTTCTTAATGAAGGACTTCTTGCCTTTCTCTAGTTCCAATTCTAAATATATCATAATTTGATGTAGTCCAGTGGATTTTGATTTTTTTAGAATGTTTTTATATACAGTAAATTTATAAATTTTATAAGATCATTATATATATTTATATGAGATCAGGTATTTTCCTCTGGATTATTGGTGGCTATAGGCACACAATCGGCATCTTTCTTATACATTGAAATATATGTAACGCATTTTATTTTTCATGCTAACGGGATTCATATGTAACTTAATAAATTAAGTACATGTGCTCATATGAAATGTCCAAAAAATATGATTGTTTATTATTACAGTGATTCAATATCTCTTACGTTGGATGATTCATATAGATAAAGCAACGTAATAAAAGTATTATTAAGTTTATATTACCAACGTTAAAAATGTCGACATCAAAGGTAATCATCCCCCTAATTCCCCGTCGAGTACTTGAATATGATTCTATAATGCTGAGTATAGGACAATTTTATTATTAAAAAAAGGGTAAAATAATGCGTTAGGTAATGATAAAACAAGAAATAATGCATATAGTTTACCTTTCTAAAGAAAGTAGTACACCTCCATTTTTTTTATGTTTAACCAACAATAATTCTTGTAAACGCGTTATATATATGTGCATGGTGTGACCTTTGATGGTAACTTTTTGTTTTCTAATAAACAATAGCAAATATAAAATAAACCGTGCATGCATGTCACTGTTTAATATGGAAGAGGGTTACGTTGGGATATAACATATATTCATACATACATATATAATTGGAGGTGTCCAAATTGAATACTCTCTCGGTTATAAATGTAGAAACTAATTAATGAGTTGATTTTAATTTTAAATATAAGATTTTAATTTGTTTCATCTTTCATAATTATCACTTTTCTTCAAACTAATTTATCGAACTTATAAATTGATATATAATCAAATGTTACACAGGAACATTTTAGGTAGGCTAGGTTATATTTCTTCAAATTAAGTAATTTATATAGATTTTTTAATCTCTTCAAATTACTTAAGTAACTTATACATGAAAGATCGAAAGAGTACACCCCAATGTCTTTTTCTTAATTATTATTTTACCTTGAACGTTAATTATTTGAGAGTATAATGCAGCCAAAAGGTGTATCAATAATATAAAGCTGTCGATCATTTTTTCTTCATTTAATTTGCCTCTAGCTACTGCAGGATTATTTGGATAAGAACAACATTATATATCTGGATATCAAGAGCACCAGGATTTATTCTGTTGAAATAATTATTCCAATTTTTTGTTTAACACTGAAAATCTGTTATGGCAAATGGATCAAATCTGACAAAAAAAAAGGATCAAATTTGACTGAAAAGAAATTAAAAGTGAGTCAGATATTGAGATGTACATCTTTAACCACATGACATGAATCTATCTTGGACTCGATTGGCAATCCATTCGCATAGATTTGAAGTGAAAATTTAATCGAAGATTAATTAATCCTCAACAAGGAAACTATAGTCATGTGGAGAAATATATCGTTAAGGCTAGTGGGAATTTAAACTCTGCAAAATCGGAACAGGAAAAAAAAACTCATTTCCATTTTACATTCCATATATATATATATATATTATATATCATCTCATCATATATGTATAGACCACGATTCATGAGTGCTTACCTCTTCTTCTTCTTTTCTTATTATAGAGAATGTAGCCCGATAGAGGCATGTAGGAGAAGTAATGCATAATCTATGTTTCGAATTTAGTACTCCCTCCTGTCTTTAATATAAAATTCATTTTATAATGCAAAATATAAATTAAAGTAGGTCTTATATTAAGGAGTAAAAAAGTATATTAGAATCAACATAAACGATAGAGTTAAAAAAAGACAGTGCATATATAGCTGATTAACCATGTAAGTTACTACAAACTCAATAATTCGTTTTGAAAAATTATCATATATATTTGCCCGTAAAAATTCCATAGGACTAGTAGTTCTTGACAATAATTATAATTATAAAATGGTCAAATAAAAAATTCATATAAATACATAGATAGATAAAAAGAGAGAATAATTGTATTGAGTCAAAAACTACTAATGAGTCGGGATTTTAAGCTGCGCAGATAACTAAAAAATTAAAAGGGGTCAAGCTATAAGGGATAAAGATAAATAACATAATGCTTAATTATTAAGGAATATGCATGCGCCATCAGAAGCATATACAACAAAATAAGAATAAAATATTAAAGTTGCGTTAACCCTCTGTTACTGAAACCTATTTCTCGACTCTTTTGGAAGACAAACCGACAGAAACAAGTTCAGCCAATTATTATATTGAATTTTAATATGGCAGTAAAACTATGGAAACAGCGACATAGGGGTGTGTGAACTGATTCCATAATTGTAACCTTGTGATTTTGTACGTCCTCATGAAGTGTTGTAATAATGCATGATTTTTGGTTATATGGATAAGAGCAAATATTTTCTCTCTCAAAATTAAGAATTCTAGGATTTATTATCTCAGATACTTTCGTATGACCTGGTCCTTTTCGTGGTTTTTTTTTTTGGGGGGGGGGGTTATCAGCATCTTATTTGACTTGCTTAGGGATCCCTTCTTTAAACTCAAGGACCGATTTTTTTTTTAATTAACTGTCAACTATATTTTGTGTGTGTGTTTTGATATTGTGACTAGCTGTTGGGACCATGCTATAATAACATCATAATAAAAGGGGACAACACAATAATTAATAAAACATAGGAAAGTTAAAACTAGTTCCTCTTATTATTCATTGAAACCCAGGTATAAATATATATATATATATATATATATATAAAACAGAGCTAGATTAGATTAGTTCATCTCAATATAGTATAATAATGTTGCGTAAACCCTCTGTAATTGGAACTTCAAATTCTGGATTATCTCATGACGCTTTCGGAAAGGTAAAATGGAAACTTTAATAGATTAATATTTGCAGTAACACTATGCGTTAAAATGTTAATTATACAAGGGGATATTTTTATTCTCAATAATTAATACTCCTCCGATCTTTAATATAAGACCCATTTAACTAATTTGATTAAATTAAGGAAGTTAGGTAAGTTAGTTAATTATAAGAAATGTGACACATTTTTTCTAAAATACCCTAATCATCTTGTATTTAAGTTCAAACTTAGCTCATTGGTACGTGAATAAGATATGTAATACCGATAGCATCAGAAGGAGCCAACAAAGCATTATTATAATTAGTTTAGCAATTCTACGTGAATAATCGAAAGGTAAAATGGAAACTTTAATAGATTAATATTGCAGTAACACTATGCGTTAAAATGTTAATTATACAAGGGGATATTTTTATTCTCAATAATTAATACTCCTCCGATCCTTAATATAAGACCCATTTAACTAATTTGATTAGATTAAGGAAGTTAGGTAAGTTAGTTAATTATAAGAAATGTGACACGTTTTTTAAATACCCTAATCATCTTGAATTTAAGTTCAAACTTAGCTCGTTGGTACGTGAATAAGATATGTAATACCGATAGCATCAGAAGGAGCCAACAAAGCATTATTATAATTAGTTTAGCAATTCTACGTGAATAATCTTATTAAGATATACGAGTACATTATTGTGCATGATGATGACCTGTTATGGAGGTTCTTCCCTTAAAATATACACAAGTTCATCAACTAATACTTACAAGTGTTCGGATCAGGTCATCATGAGTAATCAAACATCATACTTTTAAATTCTATGACTATGAAGCCAAAGCACGAATAATAGTTTGGCTTATGCTCTTTCGAATTACTTTATTTCAAATATAATAAAGTTGATTTTAGCCCTGTTTCATTGGAGATTCAAATTCTGTAATGTTTCATGAATTAATATATTAATATTTCAGCATGCATTATA